CTGCACCACCATCGGTGACCAAGCTTTCTAATCCTATGCCCGTACCCACAAGAATGCCTTTCTCTACCCTTCTGTCTCGTCCTCTTTCTATCTGACTTTTAGGACCACATTAAAACCTTTTGTTATGTCCACAACTATGATCATATGCCCCTCTTCCTTGCTTGGTATCCAAATCCTTGTTGGGGCCTTGAATTTATATAAAGGGTATGGCTGAAGACTTGAACGAGTATTAACATGGGCATTGACTTGTCAGGCTAAGTGGCCTGTTTCCGTCCTGTACATTCTTTGTAAAGAGCTTTGAGATGTTATCCTTTAGGATGTATATTGCTGTGGATGTTCGGTCAGGGCAGGAATCAATTTGACAAGAATAGAATAGTCCGCCAACACTCATTGTCCTATGCATAATAGCAATTATTGTGAGGTACTGGAGGGAGAATTGTGGCTGTGGAACAATACTGCAGTGGAAAAAAAGCAATCAAATTCCTTCAGAAGAGGGAGAAAGAATAAAGTTGGCAGAGGATTAAAAAAAGCTGATTGAAAGAAATAGTGGTTTAGTAAAGTAAATATGCTGTTAGTGATCTACAGGATCCCCTGCTAAGATAGGATCACTGAGAGTACTGTATTTAATGCAGCAAAGCAGATTTATTGATAATTGCTTAGCAAGAATATGCTATTAAAAGTAAGATTGTTGGGTAAAACATTTGTTTAGATAAAATAAACCTTTTTTACAAGAAAGATTTACTCTTTAACTTGCTTCTAGTGTTTAATGCCTACAATTATTTTTAAAATATTTAATCAAGAAACAAAATTGCTAAAATTAAAGTTGTTGGGCATCATAAAAAGTCTGACCTTGAGATGTTTTAAAACCTCATCACTGGGCTCCTTTACCAGCTCCCACAGCTATCATTAGCACTCAGGGCTCCCTGTGCATCATCCAATATTCTCAGCTTTCGTCTTCTGCATTGCACATGATGCTGTTGTAAATCAAAACAATTCTGCTCTAGGCAGAGTTTAATATTCTATTTTCCCCTTCATTGTTTCTTTCTTTGCCCTTCCTTTCATGAAAATGGCAACTCATACAAAGGTACTGATTGATGGGGGGAATGCACTCCAGTACTCTGCCAAAGTGACATTTTATTCCTATGTGAACTCTGTGTCAATGGATTGCTTGAGTGTGAGTCAATGTTGGTATACTTCGATCCTGGCCTTGCGTATATTTCCAGCAATGATATTGGCTAGCTACAGTACCAGGGAACATTTTGCACCTAATCTCAGGTAGCCTGAGTCCAACTGTTACGGCCTCACAGCTGTTTCAAATGAGATCATCTAATTTGCCCGAAGGAATGAACCTGGAATCTTCAGCAATATATAAATACAAATTGTTGTCGGTTGTGTGTAATGTATCCCAATTTTTGTTGGTTTCAGCAAGACTGCTGAGGCATTGTCAAGGGAAATGTTTTTGTAACTGAAAAACTGATGTGATCTATAAGGAATTGTTTTGAGTACGTTCATGTTCTCAAAATGTTTTTGTACTTGAATCTATTTATTTATAAATATTTATGAGAGTATTTAAGGCCATATAAGTAGAATCCATAATTGTTTTAAAAGTTATTTTAATTGCTTTGTCTTCAACATTGTTGGATTGAGCTATGTTTTGTTAAGAAGCCATGTTTTAATTGCTTGAACAAAAATAAAACCTTGACGTTTGTTGAAGAAAAATTTTATGTTGACTTTAGAGATTTACCAATTATTAGAAATACCATTTAAGAACCAGGAATGTACTCCCAATATTTGAGAATTGTGTGAGTGTATCCTGTAAAGAATGCTCATTAGATTTAGTCAGTCTAATGTACTTCTAGTAAATTCCAAAACCACCAAGTTTGTTTCACATTAGAATAGATTCCAAAATGACCTTTTTAATGAAAAGTATTTTCCTTTTAAATTAGTGATTCCCTGATTAGTTGCTGCACGAGCATTCTTAACCAAATGGATTTATGGCTGAGAACATTTGATGGAAGTACAAAATCATTCCCGGTGCTGACGGAGGGAACAATTTTGTACTTCATCGGACAGTCTAATACTATCAAACAAAATTATAGCCTCAATCTATAATTGTTGGCATTTATCTTTTGAAGTGCTTTTGAGATGTCTTGATGATGTGGTAAGGTATATCTAATGCAAAGATTAGTATTATTTATATTCAGGATTTGTTTGGTCCATTGTTAACTTGTTTATTTACATGTAATTAGTTTTAGTTTATTAATAAATGCTAATGAAGCGCAAGCTTCTTTTGGATGAGACATTAAATCGAGGTTCTGTCTATCTGTTCATGTAGATATTAAAGATCTCATGGCATTATTTAAAAAGAGAAGGGAGTTTCTCCCTGTATCCTGACCAACAATTCCCCAGATGAAAATCGATCTGTTCTGCCTTTGTAATTTGTCTGCTGATTTTCACTTGTCAAAATATAAAACTTTCCATTAATTTTTTTTCTAAATCTCCAACTACTGCCCCATTTCAAATCCTCCTTTTCTTTCCAAGGTGATGGAACGAGTCATTGCTTCGCTCTTTTCTCTCCCAGCATTCCCTCCATGAACCCCTCCAATCTGGGTTTCGTGCTGCTCACAGCATGGAGACAGCCCTGGTCAAAGTGAGAAATGATATTCTGTCCACCTGTGACCATGGCTCTCTCTGTCTCCTCGTTCTTCTCGACATCTTGGCCACTTTTGATACTGTTGACCACTCTATTCTTCTCCACCGACTCTCTCACCTCCACCTCAACAATTCTGACCTTGCCTGGTTCCAATTGGAACTTTCCCACCGTCTGCACTTCGTGTCCACCAACGACTCCCCCTCAGCCCCCGCACTGTCATGTGTGATGTCCCTCAGGGCTCTGTCCTCGTCCCCTCCTCTTCAATCTTCACATTCTCCTGCTCGATTATGTCATCCGCAGGCATGGTGTCAATTTCCACATGTATGCAGATGACACCCAACTCTATTTCGCCGCCTCCACCCTTGACTCCAGGACCGTTGATGGCCGAGCAAATTGTCTGTCTGACATCAAATCCTGAAAGAGAGCAAACTTCCTCCAGCTCAATGTCAACAAAACAGAGGGCTGCTTGGCTTCCGGCAGCGCCTCCGCACCTCAGCCACTGACATTAGCACTTTTAATGGCTGCACTCTTCACCTTACTGATCCAATACAAAACCTCAGCATCCTTTTCGGTGCCCCCCACCCTACACCAGCTGTCCTTCAAACTCCACATTTGTGCTGTGACCTGTTCCACCATTCCCCACCTGCACAATATTATCTGCCTCTGCCACTGCCTCTCACCACAGGCTGCCGAGACACTGATCCCTGCTTTCATCACGTCCCGGCTTGACCACACCAACTGTCAGCTCACTGGACTTGCCAACTCATTTCTCTACAAGCTGCAGATTATTCGAAACTCTGCAGCTCGTGTCCTCTCCCGCACCAGGCTCAGCGAACCAATCAACTCTGTTCTTGCCCAGCTTCACTGACTCCTCATCCCTCAGAGAATCGAGTACAAAACCTTTGTTCTCACCTCCAAAACCCTCCACGGTCTTGCTCCCCTGACCTCCTCACCCAATATCAGCCTGTCCGCTCCCTCTGCTTGGCGGACACCAGCCTGCTTCACACTCTGGAACTCTGTCCCACAATCCCTCCGCCTCATCCCCCTCTGTTGTCTCCTTCAAGTCCCTTCTCAAGACCTTCCTCTTCGGCCACCCTCCCCACCTCCACCTCTCCTGACCCCAACTTCCAGTTCGAGTTCCAAAACCCTTGACTGTCTAGCTCGGGTCCAAAACCCCTGACATGAACGGAGCTATACAAGTGTAATTTGGAGTTGTTTAATTGAAAATGTATTGTTTTGAAGGATCAGTTTAGATACGAGCCACAGCCTTGGGGCATGAAGGCCAAGAATAGCCCAACTGCTGCTCTTTTTAATAACAGTTAACTCATTCATGGATTGGGAATGGAACTTGTGACCTTACTGTTCTGTATGTTTGAGCGTTGTACCATACCCTGCCTGATCTTCTAGGTCATTGAGGATTTTGTTTTATTAATTATAGTAGTGTCCTGTTATAATGATAGTTGGGGGGCCATACAACAAAATTACATTTGTATAGCACCTTTCACATCGGGCGGACTTCCCACGGTGCTAAACAATCAGTTTTTCAGACCCAGGTGGGATCGGGGAGGGTGGAGGGAAAGGAGGGTGACCGAAGGCACGGTTGAAGAGGAGGGTCTTGAAGGAGGCAAGGGAGGGCGTGAGGCGGAGGGACTGAGGGATGGAGTTCCAGAGGATGGGGGACGTGAAGCAGACCGGAGCCCGTTGAGCGGAGGGATTGGAGGGAGCAGAGAGCAAAGCCGTGGAGGGCTTTGATGGTGAAGACCAGGATCTTGAACTGTATCTTCTGAGTGATGGGAGCCAGTAGAGTTGGGTGAGGATGGGGGTGATGGGATCGCGTAGCCTGGTGCTTGAGAGGACATGAGCTGTAGAGTTGTGGATGATCTGCAGCCCATGGAGGAGGAGCTGGGGAGGCCGACAAGCAGGGAGTTTGCGTAGTCGAGCCTGGATGTTACGAAAGCATGTACGAGGGTCTTAGTGGCGGAGCCGGGCAATGTTGCGGAGGTGGGAGAAGGTAGAGCGGGTCATGGTGCGGATGTGGGGTAGAAAGGATAGTTGAGGGTCAAACAAGACGCCAAGGTTAGGTGGTGTGTGCATCCTTGGATGGTGATGCTGTCAGTGCCTGAGGTGTGTAGGTGCTGACAGGAGCCAATCAGGTGGACCTCGGTCTTGTTGACGTTCAACTGTAGAAAGTTAGCTCTCATCCAGGACTTGATGTCTGACAGACATTCTGTCAGGACAGCAGTGGTCCTGGAGTCGAGGGTGGAGGCAGAGAGATAGAGTTGGGTGTCATTTGCATACATGTGGAAGTTGACTCCATGTCTGCGGATGATGTCACCAAGAGGGAACATATAGATATTGAAGAGGAGGGGGACCAAGGATAGAGCCCTGAGAAACGCTGCACGAGGCGGTGCAGGGAATAGAGGAGAAGCTGTTTGTGGAGATGAAGTGCAGGCGGTGTGAGAGCTAAGATCTGAACTATTCAAGAATGTAATCATGAAGGTGAGAGGAGAGGCGGTGGAGGAAGATAGAGTAGTCAATGGTATCGAAGGCAGCAGAGCGGTCAAGGAGGATGAGGAGGCAGAGGGAGCCCTGGTCTCAGGTGGACAAAATGTCATTTGTCATAAAATCCCAAGCAGCAGTTTAACGATGCAGTCGCTAATCAGCACTTCTGCATGTGTGCATCAAAACATCCGGCTCCATCAGCGGTTAAACTGCTTCTGGATCAGAGGATGCCCAAATGATTAATCTCTGGGTCATCAAATTGCTTCTGGCATTGCTTCCTGTGCACTGTGATGATGAGTCAAGCATTTAGACTTGCCACATGAAATGTCAAAACAGTTGCGTGTAAATGCCAGGAATCCACACCCCAATTGTGCTATCAGTGATCCCGCATTATAATGGAGGTTGAACTTTAGTTGCTTTGGCAACATTTGGTATAAAACTGTTGACATCTTAAACATCATGAATCAATCAGAGCTTTTAATTAAAGTAATGCTTGGTTTTCATTCAGGAGAGATTTTGTAGTAGTACTGAGAAGCTTTATTAAAAAAAGGCTTTTTCAATTAGATACTGAACATTAACTGAAATGGTGCAAGATTATTTCCTGGAGTGAAATTGAAGGGAGAAGAGGTCTCTGTATGCTACTATTTTCATTATAAAGGTAAGTCAACATATTTTTGATTTTTTTAAAAAAAAATTGTCCAAAAACTTGCTAGAAGATATTTGAAGTATTTATTTCTCTGCTCCACCTTTCAGAGATCCATGGCTTTGATGGATTACTGTAACGGATGTCAGGGACTTCAATAGAAAAATCTTAAGCAGTTGGTTGTTGTTCGTCTTTCATCTGGAGCTACTTTCAATGTGTTGATGGCTATACATTTAATCGTGTACAATAAAGTATTGTTCGCATTCCACGAAACAGGGTTCAGCTGCATGTTATAAAATAACTTGATCTTAAAAGTAGAACGATGAAAAGCTTGAGCAATTCAGATCAAAGCGTTCTCTTGAATGCCACTGATTTCTTCCTTTATCCCACTGAGCAAATGTAGTTTTCTTAGGTTCTATTGAAATGGCTATTTTGTTTCTTTCAGCCTCAACAAGAACAACTTGGATTTATATAGCGCCCTCCATGCCGGACGGCGTCTCAGAGAGCTTCACAGTAACGGATCCCGGGGCTGGGGAGGGGGAGGAATGTGACCAAAGGCGCGGTCGAAAAGAAAGGTCTTCAGCAGAGACCTGAAAGTAGGAAGAGAAGAGGTGAGGTGAAGGGAGTGAGGAAGGGAATTCCACAGAGCCTTGGGGCATAGTGGCTGAAGGCACGGCTGCTGAGGGTGGAGCGGAGGACTCGGGGGACAAGGAGGCCAGACTCAGAGGAACAAAGGCATCGGGCACTGTTTTGAGAAGAGAAGAGGTCAGAGCGGTAGGGGTTGCGGAGGAGTGGAGGGATTTGAATACAAGGATGAGGATCTTGTAACCGATCCTTTCTGGGGCAGGGAGCCAGTGCAATCGGGGAGCGGAGTTTGGTGTGGGTGAGAATGCGGGCGGCAAGAGTTTTGAATAATCTGGATTTTATGGATGGTAGTGGGGGAGGAGGCCGGCGAGGAGGGCATTTGAATAGTCCAGCCAAGAGGTGACAAAGGCATGGACCAGGGTTTCAACGGCTTTTGGAGTGAGGTATTGGCGGAGAGCGGCAGAGGTGGGAGAAAGCGGTGCTGGTGAGGGACCGGATGTGGGGAAGGATAATTGGGGGTCGAACCTGACGCCTAGCTTGCGTACGGGTTCAGAGAGTTTTAGGGGGAGGTCGGGTAGGTGGCGGAAGTGACAACCGTGAGATTTTAGACATAGACGCGAGCCAAAGAGTATGGCTTCCATCTTGTCAACGTTCAGCTGAAGGAAATTTTGCACTCATCCAGCCCCTGAGGTCTGACAGGCATGCTGACGGAACATCAGGGTACTGGGGGTCGCAAAGAGAAATGGAAAAATAAAGTTGCGTGTTGTCCGCGTACATGTGGAAATGTACCCCATGTCTGCGGTTGACATCCGCAAGAGGGAGCATGTAGATCAGAAAGAGGAGGGAGCCAAGGATAATAATAATAATAATCCTTGCATTTGATATAGCGCTTTTCACGTCTTCTAGACGTCCCGAAGCGCTACACAGAATATACTGTAAAGTGAATTGTCTGTATATTTGTGGGCGAACGTGGCAGCCAATTGCACACAGCAATGTCCCACAAACAGTCGTAGATTGAAAATGACCGATGGGGGTCCTTGGGGGACCCCATAGGTAACCGGGTGAGAGCGGGAGGAGAAGCCGTTTGTGCAGATGTACTGCTAGCGGTTTGTGTGGTAGGTCTCGAACCACGTGAGTGTGGTCCCACTGAGGTGGATGACAGAGGAAAGATGGTGGAGGAAGATGGCGTGATCAACTATGTCGAACTCGGCAGAGAGGTCCAGGAGGACAAGGAGGCAGAGGGAGCCCTGGTCACAGATTGAGAGGATGTCCTTTGTGACTTTCACAAGTGCAGTCTCTGTTCTGTGAGCAGTGCGGAAACCGGACTGGAGGGGTTCGAAGAGGGAGTGGGAGGAGAGGTGTGCGCGGAGTTGATGGGCAACAATGTATTCTAGGACTTTTGCGAGGAAGGGCAGGTTAGAAATGGGGCAGTAGTGGCAGGGGTTTGAGGGATCGAGGGGAGGTCTTTTGAGGAGGGAGCTGATGACAGTAGTTTTGAGTGGGGCAGGGACTGATCTGGAGGAGAGGGACTGGTTGATGACGTCAGCCATTAGTGGGCAGAGGAGGGGGAACTGGGTGACCAGCAAGTTGGTGGGAGGGGGTCGAGGCAGCAGGTGGTGGGTTTCATGGAGGTGATGGTGGGCAAGAGGCAGGTGGATGAGGCTGCCTGGCAGATGTTGTGAATTTTAGATGAAAAGAAGTCCATGCCCTCCTCACTTGGCATTTGATAGGAAGATTGAGGAGGCCTGAGGGGGGCACGGAGGAGGTAGTGGGTGGTGGGGAAAAAAGGACTTTAGGGTTGTATTTAGCCTCCAAGATGATGTTAGAATAGAAAGCCGTTTTTGAGCATCAAAGAACGGCGGTAGCTGTAAAGATGCTCGAACCACAGTTGGCGGTGAACTGTCAGGCCAGTTTTCCGCCATCTGCGCTCGAGAAGCCGGGTTTGGGTTTTTAGGTGGCGGAGATGGTTGTTGTACCAGGGGGACCGGGTGGATTTGGAGATGGTCCTGGATTTCAGTGGGGTGAAGGAGTTGAAGGTGGAGGAGGTGATCATGGAACAGCTGGATGGCTGCTTCAGGATTTCCATGGGTGGAAGGCCAGAAGGATATAGGATGTTTGATGATGTTAGGACCTTTGTGAGGATCTCAGGGGGTAGCCTTTTCCAAGGGCGGTAGAGGATGGTTGAGAGCTTCGTGGAGGAGAGAGGGATGTGAGAGAAGGAGATGAGGAATTGGTCCGAGATGGCCTTGTCCACTATGCTAAGGTCGGAAATTTCAAGCCCGTGGGGTGATAACGAGGTTGAGGGCATGACCATGGTTGTGGATTGGTGAATTTATGTGGAGGGTGAGGTTTAGTGAGGAGAGGAGGGCAGTGAAGTCGGCAGAAGTAGTGCAAGGGGAGTTTAGGTGGAGGTTGAAATCGCCCATTATGAGCAGGCATTCGGAGCAGAGGGACAGGGAAGAGAGAAAAGTAGAGATTTCTGCTCCAGACCTGGTCATGTCTGTTTTCTTATCCTGGTAATCAAAAATTAAGTTTTGGAAACCTCATTGCTATACTATGATTTTTGCATTAATCGGCCAGCTTTAACCATTGATCAAAATTTGTCTTATTTCTTAAACTTTAGCAATTTAAATGTTTTTGAGAATATATTTGGAGCTCTTTTTACAATCTAGATGCCACAATTATGGTAGATAATTTTGTCAAAGAAATGAGGAAAAATGCAGTTTTTGTGAAACTGTAGCTGAGAAGTGTCATAAATACACCCGGTGTTCTGGTATCTAATAGGTAACAGAACTTCATTGAGTGCTTCAGTTACATACAGTAATATCATACCTGATCCTGGACATGTTTGGCACAGATGCATGATTAGAGGCTACCATTTGGCTAATGTGGTTCAGCGAGTGGTGCAATCCACCGATTTATTTTCATGATCTCCACGCCTCAAATAGCTGAAAAGAAGGTTTACTGAAGGTAGCCTCCAAAATACCTTTTTGAGGAATGCAGAGCCCTAAATAAATGTTCAATAACATTTTTGTGCAAGCGCAAAAGTCTGATGTCATCGTGAAACTTATGTAGTGCTCCAGTTTGGCACCTCATTTCAAATATCCAACACTGCAATTTTAAAAGCAGCTGAACTGGTGATTTAATGTTTTTTTTGTCTGCGTTTAGGCTTGTCAATGTGAGAAATTCAACCATGGGGATGAGTTTCTAGGAACAAAGCACTATGAAATTATTCAGCAGAATTTTTTTGATTTGGTCAGCCAGTTGGTTGTCTGAAACTTGCGGAAACCCATCACCATTGCTTAAAAGTATCCAAACTGAGCAGAGATTTCCATGCATCCCACCTACATGTGAAAATCCCAGAGATAGATTGTTAGAATGGAATGTGCGCTCTCTCCCTGGAGGGATGCAACCTGCTTACATAATCTCAGAAAGTATTAGGCGCAGGTTGACAAGAGCAAAGGCTTGGGAACCCCAGAGTGCGCTTTGGGGTAAGTAACTGTTGAGAGTCTAACCAGCTAAACCCACATAGCTTGCTATTGATATCACTGTCTGGCAAGCTTTACCCTTGCTTGTCCAGCTTGGACCACCCTGCCCGTCAGGGCTTTGGCTTGCAGGGTTAACAGGAGCTGAGTGAGATGGCTCCCTGTCCCAGTGACTGTTCTGCCTTTCCATGTCCTGCCGATGTGCCTATGGTTGTGCTGTATCCGGCAGAAACTAATTTTAGGTTTAACCAAATTTCAGTAAAGTTTTTACAACAAAACGAAGATCAACTCTGGTTATAAAATAAGTTCTTCCACAATAGTTGAATTTAGTTTAAAATTCCAACAGCAAAATGGATTTGCTGTCGAGAATTAGTTTTGTCTGATTGACAGCTTCTGGACAGATTCCTAGAGCCCTCTGGTCAAGGCTAGTGAAATGTTTGCTCAGCTGTCAAAATCAGGGTTGCATGGTTGTATTCGGATATCTGTGGTGTTTGTTATATTAATATTTGTCACTGCCGGTAGCTGTGGTTGAACCAAAAAGCATTATTTAGGAGAAATGTATTTGTCTATTGCTACCATCTTTGGAAAACATGTTCTAAATATTTGTTTTAAATACTGGATAAAATTAAGTTTATAAGATATGGTCTAATGTGTTTCTCAATCTGCTTGGATTGATTGGTTAGGGTTTGCTGCTGAGGCGAGCGGCCCATTCACAAACAGAATTTTCCCACTTTTAATTCTATTCATTCTCCCCCCCACCAACCCATCCCAGTCAAAGAGGTACCACAGTCTCTGGTGGATGTGGCTCTAATCGGGAGTCGAGCAGAATGAAGAATCTCCCACTTTTTTTATATATAACGTTATTTCCTATTTACTGTCAAGTACATCTGCACTCTTTTCCATGCAAATATGTGTGAACAATAGGCTTTTATTTGAACTGGAAGTGTGGGCAGTCTCTTCATATTAGCAGGCCTTTTGCCAAATGGATATCATGCAAATCAGTCATTTATAAACTAAAATTGCTTTATTGCCTATCAAACAAAGACATAGTTACTAAATCTACTAAATCTACCAAATTCTGGTACTAATCAATATTATTAGCCTTCACCTACCATTATTTGATCACTTCAGTTTCTTTTTAAAAAGATCTGATTTTTAACTGGACCATTAAGTACCTCAGATTTTATAAATGTCTGATTGCAGCAATTTACAATTCAAAATATATTATCTAGCAGGAATTGTACAATTCTATGGAATTTAATTTGCATGTTTTTACAACTCCTGTACTAATATCTGATACCCTTGATTAGTAATGAGATATTATTTGGGTGTTGCAAACGCCCAAAATTCATCTGGCAGACTTTCAGTTACACAGAAACAGGAATAGGCCATTCAGCCCCTCGAGCCTGTTCCGCCATTCTGTAACATCATGGCTGATGTGTACCTCAATTCCAATTACCCGCCCTTGCCCCATATCCCCTGATACCCTGACCTTGATCTAGCATTTATTATTATTACTACTAATATTATTTTTATTATCCACAGCCTTTTGGGGAAAGAGTTCCAGATTTCCACTACCCTTTACGTGCAGAAATGTTTCATGATTTCACTCCTAAATGGCCTCGCTTTAATTTTAAGATTATGCCCTGTTGTTCTGGATTCCCCTACCAGATAAAGATAGTTTCTCTGTATCTCCCTAAAAAAATCCCTTTATTATTTTTAAAAACCTCAATCAGATTTGGAATGTAAAGAATGTTGTGGATTATTATTTCCAATTAACAAAATAGTGACATCCCAGAATCCTTCTTAGCTACTGCAGCTATAACCTGTTTCAGAAATGCTAAAATTGTCTGGAAAATAAGACTTTAAAATGCAAGTGAATGTAGTTCTATAATTGTTTTGAAAGATGTTTAGAAGACCATGAAAGTTGTTATTTTGTAGTTATTGTTCACAATGTTTTCTTTACTGTTTCAGGCAGAAGTTCAGAAAACGTGTACAATGTTTAAAGCTGTCCTGAAAAAGAGTCGAGAAGGTGGAAAAGGGGGCAAGAAAGAATTAGGTATGGAATAGAATGTTAATGATGCTGGACTTTTTGAATATTGGATAAAAATTAACTAGTAGAGCAGGGGAAGTTGTACCTAAATACTGTATGCCAAGTTAGAAGAGGTCTGTTATATTTCCACATACTGTCTGCCACTCTAAATCTATTATATTCTTGGACTTAAAGCCACTGAAACCCTTCTCTTCCTTCAGTCTTCTCTTACATCTGTACAAATTTTTAAATTCTTCAGTTTTGTGTGTTTCTGTATCTCTCTCTAACTGTTTCTGTGATTTTAATTTTCTCTTTCTTTGTCCTGCTTCACTGAAATTGTGATCCAGGCAACCTTGCATGCAATTTTTTTTAAAAAAAGTCATATTTGGAGTACAATGTTAACAATTTTCCATTGTAATATTCTACCTGTTCTTTCTGATGAAAGTCAGAGAAAAGTTTTTCTCAGGTATGATGTAATGCAAAAACTGACCAACCTTGACATCTGTTTTTAATAGCATTGGTAGGATGACTTTTGTTTGAGAAGAAAGAAGTGGAAACTTGGATATACTGCCAAATTCCAGAGAAACTAACCCAGCTTTGTGCCCAGACACATAACCACAAATCTCTCATGGGTCACATATTGCCTTCATTCTGATCTATTTTTATTATGGAAATTCTTATGAATTGATGCTTTTTGGATGCTCCGAAGGATTGAAAATAGATATCCAGCTGAAAATGTTTTTACTTGCACATTTTATGTTTTGTTGATGGATGAGTGAAATATTAATCAATAGAAATAATACTTGAGAACTATGTTGTAACGCACTTCATTATAACACAGTAAGGTGTCATTGGGGTGTGGATCCTGAGCTTTACCCAAAAATCCCAAATGCTAGCCAAAAGCTGGTTAGCTGGCTTGCTTCAAAACTCCAGCAAAATCTTTTCAACTGCTGATTTCTGGGTCATCAATACCGCTGATGTGACTTTCTTGTGCCGTGCTTATGACCTGGAAGCCTGACATTTTTTAGTGCATGAAAAGCCATCCGTTATTTTGAACCCAGCTGGCTTTTTTTTTCACACGTGCAGTGTAAATGCGTAATTACTGACTGGCAATTGAGGTCCATTATAATGGTTAGGATTTTATGGACCCCGAATAAACTATTATAATAGGACTATATTGCAGCTTGCTTCTTTATTCTCTTTGCCTCACACATACTTAGGTTCACCTAAATCTAGTCATAAGTTTAAAATTTTGTTTTGAAATGACTTTCCAAAATCAAGGTACTTATTAAGTGGTCTATTTGCCTACTTTGATTTACTTTTGAAAAAAAATTACACTCCTGTATCCATTGAAAATTCCAGATGTGGTTAACTAAAAAAAATTAATTCATATCTAGACAAAATGCCCTTCAGTTAATATAATTCATTATTCAGGTACAAAGTCTCAATCGTGATTAAATAGACATTTCTGATGTTCAAACCGTAAAATTACTCCACAAACGCTTAATGTATTTAACCTAATGTAGCAAATGGCAGGAGTAACTATATTTTGATTCGTCAAAATGAATCTGGGTGAGATAAATTCAGTTGGATGTTAGCCTTCAACCCTGAAAACTTTTACATTGAAATGCACTTTTCAAGCAAACTAATTTTTAAAAACATTGCATTGTTGAACTGTTTTAAGAAACCTATGAATGCAAGTTTTTTTTTCCTTTTAGAAAGTGCAAGTGGTATGGTGCAGAACATCTGACAGAGCGAAAGGATATTGTCCTAGTGTCCAGATAGAAAATTGGTGTGAGGTGTAGGGACAAGATGGGATTTGAAAACGGTTGAAAAGTCTGATTATAGGACAGCAAAATAAAGTAGGCACTGAGACCAAGGGAAAGCTGTTCATCATAAAAGGAATTGCCAAAATGACCTAGATGAAGTGTGCATTTTTTCTCACACACTATGAAGCCTTGTGCTGATTGCGACACATCTTCAGTGAATAAAATTGACAGGGATAATAATATGGAATAATATGGATCTCATGGAAACCAACTCTCACCAAGAATAAGTGGAGAAATTCTAACCATAGTTGTGCTTTGTTTCCAGTCACTTCATTGATAATATAATAATTATGAGCATGATTTAGAAGCTCCTACCTTTTCAAGGTATGGGCCACCATCATTCATTGAAGTCTGAAGAACTTTAGTGTGTGTTTCTGAATAGATGAACTGCGTGTTTTTCACTTGTATGGTCATCGCTTCGTATGTGCAGACGAGTGGTACAGCAGTAATTTAGTGTTGGTTTGGGCTTTGGGCCTAGGTCTGATTTGTTTTTCCCTGGTCTGATTTCTGTTGTTAATCTAAAGCCTTAGTTTCCCCTTCTGCTGTTATTACTTTACTGGTTTGGATGTTATGTAGGTTATAGACAAAAATATTGGCTCCTAACAGTGCTTAACTAGATCAGTGTGATACAAGCAAGTGCAAGAATAATAGCACAGTGAAACTACAAAGATATAAATTAATATGGCCTGGAAAAAACATGACACTAAGCAGTTTGGTACTGTATTCTGTGAAAATTCAACAAGAAGCCTTTTATCTACCTTTTGTTGCTACATTTTGCTTTTAAGTTTTCCCTTTGTTGCGTTTGGGAGACTAACTTTGTTTTTAAAGGTTTGTCCTCCAATTGTGAGAAGCCTTGGCTGACTTTGATTCATGAGTATAAAGGTACGACATTATCATGCTCTTTAAGGATTTTGGTGGGCAATGGGACTGATGATGTTTTGGTTCATTATTTGGACACATTTACCAGAGGTCGGTTTGTAAATGTATATACTGTATTACGAATTCTGTAAGCAGAATGAATCCAAGACAATTATTTGAATAGAAATAATGAATTTTATTCCATGAAGCCGATAATTGGCACTGATTAGGTATGAACAATGCTGCTAGTACCCCATAACCATAGTTAGTAGTGTTATGCAGAATTTCTATTTTTGTTCCATGGAATATGAATGGCATTAAACTGGAAAGGCATAATTTATATTGGAATGATTATGTATCCAAGTAGGAATGCTTCAAATTTCAATGTATGGCCCTGCATTGGAGCTCAATTTCAATTTCTCAACCTCAGCGTAAGATTAGGTCTATCTTTGTATGGATGCAATTTCCTGAAGCGAAAGTTTGCAATAATTCAATTGTAATCTGTGTGGAAGATGTGAATAATTGGAAGAATGAGCACCATCGTACTTTTGAACGTGACACCAGTGTTTTGAAATAAGAAAGAGTATTATATTGTATATTCATATTGTGTGGAGATTTTCCTTCTCCATCATTCCAAAGGAAAATTACACTCTATTTGGTGTTCCATGGTACTTAGTGCATTCTAAAGAAAATATTGAATATCATAAGTAATTCATTCTAATTGAGTGGAAATGAAGGCACGTTAAAACAAACTTCAATCACACATAGCCTATTTGACCTATTTTTGAAGTGACCTGTGAAACAATCTGGCATCCGTCATGTGCGTCATACAGTTGAAATCTTTTATGTTTAGTTAGTAATGTCCTGCTTTCAAAATGCTGCAAAACAGCGTTTGCTTTGTCCGATCTTAAATAGAAAAGTTACTGGTTCCATTATTTGAGCTGCCAAATTCTTTCCTGGGACTGGTTAGCATTATTCTAATGACAGTGCAATGAAATGGTTTCTTGGCACTGTACCTCTGTTGTGTGTAATGTTCAAATGAATATAGAGAACGCCTACGTCATGCAAAAAATAATGGAAGGTTTGTTCTATGCCGAAAATATATTGGTCACATTCAAACTTCTGCTGTCAGTTTTTAAAAAGTTCTGATAATAGTAGTTATGTATAATGGATTTTGAATAAATTTTCATTTTCTTCCATTTTCAGTATTCAAGCTCCATGCTCTGTATAAGTACAGTTACCATCACATTTTGTTCCACTGTGAAGCTCAATAAGTACTGGAGTCTTGTTTTATACAGACTATTGTACTGACCTTCATCTGATTTCTTGTAGTGTTTCATTGATCACTATACCTCACCGAATTTTGCGACTGCAAAAACCTATGAATATCTAGCCATCTCATTATTGATATGCTGTTAGGCCAGTATTTAACAAAATCTTGACAATTTATTGTGGGATTGCACTGTCATCTATACCCCCTCATTCAAATGTTTTAAATTACATAACATATATGAAACAAATATTTGATTTAGTAATATAAAAAAGCCTATCCTTTAAATAAATTGTACACAGGAAATACAACACAATGTGAAAAGGCAACAACAAATTCGAGTAGTATACATTATAATTGAGGCACGCAGGTTCAATTATGGATATTAACTGTATGTGAGAACATCTAACTCTAGCAGTCGAGGATCAGATATTCCTTATTAGTTTTGGAAAGAAGATGTGTGGGCCCATATGAGCAGAATTCTGACATCACCACAATTGTGACCCAAGTGAAAATGTGTTCAGTTAATTTATTCTTAATGCATGGAATTTGAGTTCATCAGGATAAGAATATGGTGTCCTTTTTTCTTTGCACGTGTCAAATATTAGTGCAATCAAACACTGTAACTGACTAATGCAACGAATTTAGTTTTGTACAAATATCCATGAACCATTTCATAAGGATTGCCTTTATGGAAACATTTCCAGCAAATAATGGTTTCCATTTTTGTTTTCTTCCACCTCTCTAAAAACAAACAGATGTGCGCAAAATGGATCCACAAAGGGACAAATTACAACCTAGCATTGATTGTGGTCAACAGAGGCAAAAAAGGGGTAAGTAATGCACGATATACTCAGCCACTCTAAATATCTAACCAATGAAATATTTATTTATTTTTTTTACAAATTTTACATTTTCTAACATATATAATCCCTCCACTGTGTTAAAATGTGACCATGTTGTTGGTCTGGTCGTGAATATGTGTTCACTCAGACCTATTGGGCAACCCTTACACACAGCTATACGTATCTAGATAGCTAGGTCATTATGGTAATTTTAGGCTAGGGAAGCAGAATAGAGCCAGATTTCTGCTTGCGGTAAAGCAGGACCTGTTGGAATTTGTGCAATGATTATTATTAATAATAATCAGGACCTTGGTTTAATATCTCATTCAATGGATGGCACCTCAGACAATTTAACGTTCCCCCCCCCCCCCCCCCACCAAGCACCGCATTGAAGTGTCATCTTACACTTACATCTCCCACAGTCAAATGGCTTTCCAAAATCTACTGACTGGGTCAGAGGTTCCTAATTATACTCGTATAATATTTTCTTACTTCATTGCTAAACCTTAGTGAAGTCCAGATAAGATTTTCATGTCAACTGGAATGTGCACATTCTAGATAAGACGGATTTTGCAGTTGGGTTCCAGATAGCGATCTGACATTTGGAAGCTTTTCATGCAGTCTGTTAATGTTCTGCTCAATACTGTCGTGAATTTTCTTCCTGTCCTTCAACAATTTTTAATGATTCAATCCCTAATCGTATATAGTTACTATACTGTTCTATTTTTTGATTGATTAATTTAATATAGATTCTATTCCTATCAGTTATTTCTTCTGTTTTTTTTACTATTTTTTAATCTTTCCCTCCACCACAACCCTCTCTCTTCCTTCTACTGATCAGCATTTTCATTTTATCCAAATCTTTCATCTGGTTTCTGCCTGGTCTTTCTGACCTCTTGGTACCAATGTTTTGTAAAAGGAATTGAATTGGGTGTGACTGGTGCAAGTGTAACTACGCCCTCCTTGCTCATGCACAACTTGTTGTTTTTATGTATCCAAAGTTTAAAAGTGATGTATCTTTACAATTTTCAAGTGTTTTGGGAAAAAATAGAGATATTGTAATCTTTTTAATATCTAATGTGCGGTAATGATCTATTAAACATTTATTCACATAAATTTTAACAAGTGAGCATCTTTATTATGCCAACAGGAGACAGCTACATTGACTACTGCCGACGAGTTGGCCTACCCATGGATGGTAATGCAGATTATAGTTCTGGTCCATTGTCTTTACGCGAAGAAATATACAGAACGAACATGACTAAAGGAGTATCCATGTCACTACCCTCTTCACCACTCTTGCCACGTCAGCCATTTGTAATGCATGCACGGACAAGCAAAAGGTCCCCAGGTATGGTATTTGAAGAAAATTTCGACCACAAAAATGATCAATTTACTTTACAGTATATTCAGCGAAGTGCTTTGAGACATCTCAACAATGTGATGAGGCTCTATATCAAATACAATTATTAAAATTATTATAAAGAAGCCTGTTGGTTCCTTTATATATTAGTGTGTAGATTGTAGATCATATTTTCCTTTGAAAGAACTTTAAAACAATAAAACTCGTATTTTTAGAAAAGGACAAGGCCATTATGCTCAATAAACCTAATTGGTTTAATTCTACCTGAAAAATAATTCCATAAGTTTATTAATTGTTTTGAAAAGAACTTCTGTCCAGCTTTTTACCTTTTACCTTTTAATTTCTAATTTCTTAATGTAAACTTGTGTTCCTTGATATTTGATCTCTAATAAAAAGAACAGATCAGATTTCTTAGGCATTCATTAATTCTGAGAATGTCAAATGGATCATTTTGAACTTTTAAATCTACTGAATTGAACTAGCCCAACTTGCTTAACCTTTTCTCATAACCAAAATGCACAACACCTAGTGTCTACTCTTTCAAGCATGTACTTTGGGTTACTAGAAATTAAACCCAGTGGTTGATGCAATTCTAGTATAAGCTTTCTTGAGGCTACATTTTATTTTTTGGCATTTGCAAAATATACAGTCAATTTACTTTTCGGTATATTATGCAAAGCACTTTGAGACGTCTCAAAGACATGATGGTATTATATCAAATGCAAGGATTATTATTATCATTATTTGTGTATTGCTGCAACTGAAAAATTTGTACAGTATTTTAGATCTATCCTACTGAAAGCTGCATGTATGGCTGTAAGAGTGCAAAAGCCCTCTGCTGGGTAGAAAGTCAATCTCAGTGTTGGTAGTTGGGGACCAGGGAAATTTCTCATTACACACATGAGAATAATAGTCAACACCCAACACAATATTTGGTGCTTCCTTAATTTAAATGTTGTTTGTCAACAAATGGTAATGGTATTAAGAATGCAATCATCTTTTAAGTGTCATCTTTTATTCTGTAGATTAAAAATGTTGATCAGCTATTTGAAGAAAAACTCCCATGATGGGTCACTGAGCTATACAAGTCTTTCTCATTGAGGAGGAGAGTCCTTGCTGTTAAGTTAGCCGGGATGGCAGTAGAAACACTGCAGTTTAACTTGGTGCCCCTGATTCTGGAGGGATGAATCTGTCAGAATTCCTGATCTTCAAGTTCATGAAAATACTTTTCTTGTAGTAATATTAGTACAGTACAGACTGTACTGTAGTGACTGCAGTACAGAGTTGATTGAAACCTTAAGAGTCAATAAATAGTTTTGAACATAGCTGCTGGGTTTGACGCAGGGTCAATATGTATAGCTTATTCCATTTTACTTTGCCCAAAATACCCTGTTTTTGTAACTTTACTGCTTGACTTCCACTTTGGAATGTATGACACACAACATTTAATTTGGACAATAACATTTAAGTGGTGTGTGTATTTTTGCAGCAGTTTTGTTTCCATTCCTTTCCCGATAGCAATTTCCTCTTGCAATAACAGTGAAAGGTCTCTTTCCCTGATGCTTCTGTGGACAAAGAACTGATGTTTCGCCTCAAAGTGAAGCTGTGACCAAGCAGGGCTGGAGGAGGACCATCTGACGAACAATGTGACATTTGAAGGGACAGTATTTCTGCTTACGTTTCTCCATATGGATGGCGAGAATCCCTATTTTGTTCGTGGTGGTAGAATGTCTTTCAAAAGGATGAAATTCACTACCTTGGCTAAATAATCTGCAAAGCATATGCAGTATTCTGAACACCATAGGAAGTGCACCTTGTATTTAGAACCTGGTTGTGACTTTTTCCATTTCTGTAGGTGATGAACTGGAATAACAGCATTTGTGAACATGGCAGCCGATTTGCTCACAGCAAATTAATGCATAATCTGCCTGGGAAGGAGGTTCAGGAACACAGAGAATACAGTGTAGAAGTATATTTCATGTGATTTGCATTCAGACCAAGGAAAAAACTTAAAACTGGCCTGATTGAAGAATGATTCAAAAATAGGAATCCCCAACATTTTAGGGAGATATTGTGTCAAAATTGTAAAGAACTACAGTTTTTTTTAAAAAAAGCAAGGTAATGATTTTATAGTGTATCCCTCATTTATGAACACAGAATCTTGTTTAGTTTCATAACTTATATTTTATAAGTTGCCCATGAGAACACATGATGCATAGACATAAAGGAATGGCAAGGTCTGGCTACATCCCAAGAGACTTCTTTTCTAGTTTATCAACAGTTTGTGTTGCTAGGGAGAAATATCTGCAGTCAGGAAAATGTCAGCTTGCTGAAATCCAAGTAATGTTGGGTCAGTGATATGAACTCTCCGAAAAAAGTTGTGAGCCATTTTTGAAATCCCTTTGTTCTGAATTTGTAAGTAGTTGAAAAAAGGTTTGTTGAAAGATTAAATTCTGAACTATTGAGAAATGATCCAGATTATCTGTTGTATGTTTTAAAAACAATTACTATATTGGCCTCTACTTCAGGATACTCATAAGCAGTTAATAGCTTCAATTTCCAACTATGGTTTACATTCTTGGCTGAATGTTTTCCTTCCTATCAAAATATAGATCCTGCTTGGAGTTTCTTTTAAATTGATGGAGAGAGACTGCACGAAGCTTTGGCAGCACCAAAGAAATGTTTAACTACTGAAGCAAAAACATTCCGCCTGGAAGAAGTTAACAGAAGATGATTTTTCCTCCCATGCAGGCCCAATCAGGAAGCTTAAGTATGTGGAAAGCCCTAGGGTGCCAGGAGATGCCATTGCCTCAGCACTGAAGAAGGTGGCAGAGAAAGCAGAGCCTCCCCAATCTGCACATAATGGTAAGAGTACCCAAACGTTCTTTGTCACTTACATTCTAATACCATAAGCAGAGTAAATGATTCACGCTACAGAAACGTAAAACAAAGTGTAAATCGATGATGATTGTATAAAGTGAAATTCAGTATTGCATTCCCCATATTGTGCATTACTTTGTGAATTCTAAGTTTAATTATATAAAGTCACTGAATGGTCTTGGATGCGTTTGGTATGATGCACAATGAAGGATAAAGTCAGGTTTCAGGGCTTATCTTTTGCCTTACATATTTCCAAGAGGCCTACGTAACAGCTGTACCTCACTTGGATTATACTGGATGTTTGACAGGCTTGCATTTATTTAACTTGACGAGGGAGATGGGGGGGGGGGGGGGGGAAGGGACAGAATGTATGTTAGTGTTCCATTAAAATATTAAATATGTACTCAGTTTACAAAGCTGCTAATATATACTGAACTGTAATTAGCATGCTTGTAAAGTCTGAAATGGCTGTCTGTCCTTACCTAAAATGTAGTCTAAATAATAGCTGTAAAAGTGCGTAAGACTGACGGGGGAATTTGTTAAAAAAAACTTTTTATTCTATGCTCCTTTAAGATAATTCCAAATAGGTTTCAGTTTACTCATTGCTGAACGTGTAACAAATGTTCCTCATAATCACTGACTTACTGATGTGTAGTCTACTTGCAGTTTAACAGTTTAGTCGAGGACTAAGAAAACTGGAAATATCAGTCTTTGTTTTTGCTGTGCAAAGAATACTGCTGAAGAATTATATTCCTTAAGTAGAAATGCTTTTCATGACTAGCTTGCATTAATAGTGATAACGAATTTTGTGACGGTGAGGATATTTATTTCATTATTGTTTCTCAACATCTATGACCCACTTTAGAGACCTGCAGTTCTGTCAACACAACGTACAATGACTGTCTGTTTCAATAGTTATCATTCAAGAATGTGGAGGATTATTCAATATATTTTATTAATGTTCAGTATATTTTCAGAGACCTAAATGCATTAGAAGCTAATGCATTATCCGATATCTACATTCTATAAGTATCTAGTATATTGTGTTTGGTGCTTTCTTCTGGGAATTGATCTTGAAATGTAATAAATACCAATAACAGAACTAGAGTTTTGTGCTGATTTCAGCCTTGTTGCCAACTGTTTTGCTCTGAAAGGCTGTTCAGAGGTATTGAAAACCTTCAAACTTCAACTTTCTAGTTTCTGCTTTCTAGTTTTGGAATCTTGTGACTGATGGTTTTCAAGACCTTCTCACCAGGAATAATTTACACATATTCTAGATCCAAACTGAATGTAAGAATTTGTATAACAGATTGATGGGAAGCAGTCTTGGCCTCCAGAATCCTGAGACAAAATTTCTCCTTGTGCTTGAAGTTGAGAATTTAATTGAATCAACTTCCACTATATATTTCAAATTTATAAATTGGAGCTTCAGGAAATTCTAGAATAAATAGCTGTTCTGTCCCTAAACTTGTTCTTGCATTGAAATAAGTGTACAACATTTGATTTATTTGTGGAGTCCTGTAGCTTAGTGGTTAGAGTACTCGCCTTGCAAGCAAGAGGACCTGGATTTGATTCCCAGCAGGGTGAAACATTGGGCGCTTTTCCTCACACCACACAACTCTGTTTTCCTAGCAGTAAGCAGGAACCCTTTATTAGTCGATTGGCGAATCGCTTTTCCAGGATAATAATTCCTTTTAAATAAAAAAAATTGGTCACTCAATCCACGACCGTTTGTGGGATACTGCTGTGCACAATTGGTTGTCGCATTTCTGGGCAGGGGACATGAAACGGTTAGTGTTTGAGTGGAGTGAGCAGTAAGGTTGCAGAGATATGGGTGGATGAAACCATGGAAACATCTGAAAGTGAGGATGAGAATACTGGATTTGATCTGCTGGGGGATGGAGAGCCAGTGGATTTAACGAGGATGGGGTGATGGACTTGCGGAGCCTGATGTGGAAGGGATCACAAGCTGGAGAGTTCTGCGTAGTCTGCACCATGTGTTGGAAGGAGCTAGGGAATCCTGGTGAAGGAAGATATTGCAATAGTTAAGACTGGAGGTGATAAAGACAAAGATTAGGCTCTGAGCACCTTGGGAGAGATGTAGTGGCAATCGCAGGTAGAAAATAAGCAGCAGAAAGATCCAATATATTGGCATTTAGATGATTCAGTCTATACTGAAAATAAACTAGTATATTAAACAACCAATATTCATTATGTAGCAGTAAGGTTTAATTTTCTGTCAAATTAGGTTTCAATTAGAATAGTTATGCAGCATAATTTGAATTTCAGTTTTTGTTACAGATCCACAAGCGAGTAAAGAACGAAGCTCCTCTCCTGCTGCTCAGGAGCTGATGACCAGGTTAGGGTTTCTCCTGGGAGAAGGGATTCCAAACTCTGCTCGTTTACCTATGGAAGAGAAAAATGAAAAAAAGGTATGATAGCCTTCAGAAAAAAACTCTGACATTTTGCTACTTTTTGTGAATTTTGGTGAGAAGAATTTTTGTTCCTTTCACCATTTAAAATAAAAAAAATCAAGGGTGTTTTATCCAACAGTAGCTTGTTGTAAATTTTTTACCACAAATGTGGTAATGGTACTAAACAATACTGAAGTTTGAAAAATAAACAATTTAACAAATGGCAAATACGGAAGCTGAATATTAAGATGGTCCTGTAGCTAAGTGGTTAGAGCATTCATCTCGCAACCAAGAGGACCTAAGTTTGATTCCCGGGCAGGGTGAAACGTTGGGCAAGATTCCTTGCTCCATGTACTTCTGTTTATCAAGCAGTCAGTCGGAACCCCATTGTTTGTCGATTTGCGGATCACTTTTCCGGGGGTAATAATCCCTTCAAAAAAATAAAATAAATCATAATTTGGTCACTCAATCCACGACTGTTTGTGGGACACTGCTGTACGCAAATGGTTGCTGCATTTCGCCCACAACATATGCAGTTAATTCACTTTAAGTATATTCTGTGAAGAGTTTTGATACATCTCGAAGAGTTGATAAGGCGTTCCATCAAATGCAAGGATTATTATTATTGTGGCAATAGCGCATTTTAAAATTACAGTATTGTAATAAATATAGTGCCTTATTGCATTGTTGAAATGTTTGAAAGTGTTTTGCAGGATTTATTGTATAGTCCAACGCTTGTATTTGTAGACAAATGTGGCAGCTAATTTGTCCATGGCAGTGTCCCACAAACCGCCATGAAACGCATGGGTAATTTTATCTGAAGGATTATTGACCAGGAAAATCGGGAGAAACTCGCTTTTTTTTTTGAATGATGCAATGGGATTTTGGTTTAACATCTCACTTGAAAGATGACACTTCCAACAATGCAACACTCTTAACAGAACTAGACTGGACCACAAGCTCAAAGCCAAACATGGGGCTTGAACCCACAACTATCTGATTCAGAGGCAAGATTGCTACCAACTGAATCAGACAACACCTGTCTGTATTCTGCTAATCCGCATCTGCGATAGATTATCACTGTTGCGAATTTATTCGAGTGTAAGTTTAGTGACCCAGAAGAATAAAATGTTTAGTGCATTGTGTTAGACTTAAACATCTGGATTTAAATAACAATCTAAACTGAAATTTACTCATGGGCATCCTTCGGGATGGCACATTGCCTTTTGTATGGATCCTGCTGGGTAGCGCTCTTTGGAGGTAAGGTGTCCACGCAGACTCAATGGTCAAGGAGACCACTTTTATTTTTTTCACAAATTTTTAAGTTATTTTTTGGCCAGCCCAGTGTCTGACACGTGCAGAAACCAATCACCATGCTTAGGAACACAATATGAATGTTCTGGTTTGAAGTGTAATGTTAATTTCAAGACAGGCTGATTGATATACATTAAGATATGCCACCGTAACTGTTTCAATTTGATAGAATGGCTCTCGAAAGGACCAGCCTCGATTAGCTCGGGTTCCAGCAGCCAGTTTAATGTTTTCCAAGAAGGCCTTTACAATGAAGTGCAATTCACAGTGAAAAATACATTGGATTTCCTCTACTTTCATCCTGTTAGTCTAGTGGGCAGGACTGATTGTGTTTTAACTTTTACTGTTGTCAGCATTCCATCTGTGTTCAATTGTTACTTATGGAGGGAGAAACCCTTGAAAGGGCATTGTTTCCTGAGGGAAGGGAATTGATACGAGTTGGCACGAGTATTGGGGGAAAAGAGAGCTCTTTCAGAGAAAAGGGCTGCATTTAAATCGTGCTGGAACAAATGTCCTCGCTGAACGAATTAACAGGGAAATAAATAGGAATTTAAACTAGTAAAGTGGAGGACGTCCCAAGGCGCTGTACAGTTGGGGCAGGACCCGAGCAGAGGAGGAATGGTCAGGGTGAGGGGAGGGAAGGGAGGGAGCGAGGAAGGGAGGGAAGGGAGGGAGCGGCCACCGATGGTAGGGCGGTTAGGGCGGGGGATGTGGAGCAGACCGGAGCCAGAGGAATGGAGGGTACGGACAGGTACGTAGCGGATAGCAGGTCGGAGAGGTAGGAGGGAGCAAGGCCGTGAATGGCCTTGTAGGTGAGGATGAGGATCTTGAATTCGATCCTCTGGGGGATGGGGAGCCAGTGGAGGCGAGCGAGGGTTAGGGTGGGAGTGATGTGGTCGCGAAGCCTGGTGTGGGACAGTACACGAGCTGCAGAGATCTGAATGACCTGCAGTGTGGAGGGAGGGCCGGGAAGGCCGGCGAGGAGAGAGTTCCCATGGTCCAGCCTTGAGGTGATAAAGGCATGGACCAGAGTTTCAGCAGCGTGAGGGGTGAGGTAGTGCCGTAGTCTGGCGATGTTTCGGAGGTGATGGAAGGCGGTGCCAGTTGTAGCGCGGATATGAGGGAGAAAGGACAGCTCAGGGTCGAGGGGAACCCCGAGGTTCCTGACTGGCTTTGAGAGGTGGAGAGTGCAGCCTTGGATGCTGATGCTGTCAGCGCCAGAGATGCGGAGGCGCTGACATGAGCCAATCAGGAGGGCCTCAGTTTTACACACGTTGAGCTGAAGAAAGTTGTCTCTCGTTCAGGACTCGATGTCAGACAGGCAGCTGTCAGGACATTGGTGTTCGTGGAGTTGAGGGTAGAGGAGGAAAGGTAGAGTTGGTTGTCATCCGCATACATGTGGAAGTTAACCCCATGTCTGCGGATGATGTCACCATAGGGGGAGCATATAGAGGGTGAAGAGGAGGGGACCGAGGACAGAGCCCTGAGGGACACCGCACGAGACTGTGCGGGGGCTGGAGGAAAAGCCGTTAGTGGAAACAAAATGAAGATGGTGGGAGAGGTATGACCTAAACCAGTCAAGGACAGGGCCTTGAAGGTTGAGGTGGGAGGACAAGCGGTGGAGGAGGATAGCGTGGTCGACCGTATCGAATGCTGCCGAGAGGATGAGGCAGAGGGAGCCCTGGTCGCAGATGGTCAGGATGTTATTGGTGAACTTGACCAGGGCAGTTTCTGTGCTATGGGCAGCACGGAAACCCGACTGAAGGGGATGGGAAACGTTCTTGACTGAGTTGCTTCATATCAAATGTTTCAGTTGGCAATTGGATATTTAGGAATATGGAAGCTTTAGCAGGATGTAAAGAAAATAGTTGTCCCTTATGTGCGTTTCAGCTATTCAACAAGATGTATTGTATCCATTCCTTTAATGGTATTAATATGCATCAGGTACTCTTAACTTTGCTATGGTGAAACAATAGAGGCTTTTCTGTACCTCCTTTACGTGAAGTGTTATTGCATTTGTTGGATATAATCAAATAGCTATTTTCTGAATGCTTGGTTCCTTGAACTGGTGGTTCTTTTTATGTTCTTCAGTGTTCAACAGCTAACCAGGGAATCAGTCCATGTTCCACATTAACGAGTAGCACTGCGTCTCCAGGCACTGACAGCCCATGCTCGACCCTCAATAGCTGTATCAGCAAGACGACCACAAACCAAACCAGCCCCTTTGGCACTATCACCAGTTTAAGCTCCACACTGGAAAGCAAGGACAGTGGCATCATAGGTAAGAGATGAAGTGCTGCAGAATGACATGACAGAGTGTAATTCATACACATCCTACATCTGGTCTACCTTTTTAAAGGAAATGTTAACAAGCAACGGAACTGGTTATATTGGTTCTCTCCTTGAATGCGCATTGATTAATTTTAATGAATCCTGCATATTGGTATAACAAACAATACCAATTCAGTTTCTATTTACTTTATTTGCTGTGTACTGGGATGTATAACCTGGCTCTCATCTGTATGCTTGATATGGCAGTGTGGGCAGACATTTTTTTTCATTGCATGTTATCCTTGTCTTTGAGCATTTGGGGATAAATTGGTAGGGCAGACTATGGAGATTTTTATTTACTCTGACTCTGGTCTGTTGTATCTGACATAATGGATTTGGTACTGTCACAGTTGGAAAAATATTGCATGCATTACCATGAACAAAAATATTGCTGAAATAACAAATGCATTTATAGATCAGGGTCTGGTGACAAAAATAATTTGTATATTCTACTATTACCACTATTTATGCAAATCCATTTAATAATGCTCTGATATGTTGAATAGAAAATTAATTGCATTATTTGATGGAACCCTGCCTTTCATCCTGGGTTTATATTGCAGTTTTATCTGAATGGATTTGCTGCAAGATGAGTGGTATAAATTGGAGAACATTTTGAAACAATTAAAAATATCTTCCATTAGAAACAGCTTCAAATCATTTAACAACACTTTACTTTAAGGCCCAGAGCAAATTTGAATTGACCCATATGTGTTTTTCAGCCACAGTAACCAGCTCATCTGAAAATGAAGAAAAGAGTGGATCAAGTCTAGAGTGGAGCGTGAGAGATTGTACCCGCAGAACCACCTCTCACAGTCTCAGACCTGAAGGTTGCTTACCTGTGGCTGAAGAAGAGCCACCTGTCTTGGTTAACAATCCGCCCAAAACAGACGTTGCTTGTGATGGCACCGCTGCACATGTACAACAGTCTTTGTCACCTTACCTGATGCCACGTCCTAACTCAGTGGCTGGTAAGTGTAGATTTGTTCAGGAATTAATGGACAGTCAATTCACTTTACAGTATACTCTGTAAAGCGCTTTGAGACGTTTCGAAGTCATGATAAGGCGCTATATCAAATGCAAGGATTATTATTATTATATCAAATGCAAGGATTATTATCATTCTATGCACTTGTCAACTTTTAAAAAAAAACTAGCAGTTCTTATTGTATGCTGGTGCATATCAGTCATATGGAAATGCTGTTCCTGTCAGGCAGCCTGTGGAGAGAATAGTTCTTATTTTCCAGAGAACATCATGTATTAACTTTTGTGTGCCTGTGGCCTGGGAAATTTGAGGAGAAAGCAAGGGATTTCTTCTTTCATCAGAAAAGTTAATGGCTAGTTCTTGGAACTTGGTATTTCCAAGAATATTCAGAATCAACATTAAGTCATGAAAGTTGATTTCTGTCTTAATTACCTCCACTTCCAGCAAAAAACAAACATCCAGGGTTGGAGCAGAAGCTTATTTGTTGTCTAAGGGTATAGAATTATTATTGCTTATCATCAGAGATACATTGTGACGATGTTTGAAAGAACACGATTCAAAATTACCTTTTGGAAGAGGAGAAATAAATTAAGGACTTGCCAATATTACAATAAATACAGGAAGTTGCACACTTCAGTAATTTAAACACTCGGCAATAGAAGAAAAATCTGCAATTGAGTCATTAAACTCTTGAGCCACGTAAAATATCTTCCCTTGTGTATAAAGAGTAGTTCTGACTACTATTTTTTCTGTTATGGCCATTTATCAAATGCAAAGATTATTATTAAGTTCTGCTTCATACTGATTAATATTTTTTGCAAAATCTATTTCTATTGTTTTTATTTTATTTTGAAGTGTTATCAATAGATTTTCAGATAGGATGTTTGGAAAAGTGAATGAGAAATGCTTCCACATTAACTGTATGCTGAAAGTCTGTGTCTGAAAACCATCCCTTTCTGGCTGTAGTTGAGATTGTGATGTATACATAACAGGCTGATGTAGCCAGCAGCGGTGCCTGGCTTGTATGCATGGGTAGTTTCCCTGCATATCTTCACTCTTTATCATTCACTGCACTGAAATGCGAGAGGGAAGAATGTTCTCTGCTGTTAAGCTACTGATGAATTTCAGGCAGACAGTAAAGAATGGACACACACTATTAAACCAGTATTAAGGTGTTGTTGAGTATGAGTTATTTCAAGTACTTGTAGAAATCATGGGTGCTGTTACATGTACCCCAATTTATGAACTCAATGAAGAAATAAATTAATCCTTCACTCTATCACCATTGAAAAGAATGTGCCAAGTCTAATTATACGATCAGTGCTTTCGATGCCTGTGGATTAAATCGCTGGTGCAGATGAAACATTTAATTATGCGGTAATGTCTGCATTCAAACAAGTCCTAGGTTTTACAAACAGATTCATGAGCTGCTGGTCTCTTATCAAGGAAAATGGTTCACCTAATTGTCTTTCCATTTGCCAAAATTACTGTTATACACGTGAGTACAGTATGGTGATTGCTTTTTATTCAGTGCTTACTATCTGAATTTAATGTTTACTGAAAATTGGGGACTATCTCTAAAATAAAATGTGAAACTAAAGGAATGAAATGCATTATTATGAAAGGGTTGAATGAATCACGGCAGCTGCATTGGACGTTAATTGAAAAATAGTATTGATGTTTGTTTAATTTTAAATATGTAACTTGCAACCTCATTTGGTATTTTCAGTTTGCTACACCTGTATCTTTAGATAATTCAACTTAATGGGTGGATATGATTTTGACAAATACAGTGAGTATTCTAATGTAGATGAAAACTAATGCAGCATTTTCAACTTTACATTTCAGCAACGAGTTCAGCAAAGTTGGAAGATTTGAGTTACCTGGATGAAAGGGGTACACCACTACGCACCTCCATTAGGATGCCTTGGCATAATACAGCTGGAGGTAGAGTACATCAAGATGTAAAAGGTATAATATTGCAGTTGCATTGTGTGAACTTCTCATGTTTTGGGAAAGTGAAAGTGTCTCATTAAAATTGTTATTGGATAACATTAAGATTAAAAAATCTTCATGTTTCCAAATTTTAATGGATGACAGAATTAAAACTTGTGCTTCACAAAGCATAGCTTTAAGTAAAACTGTGTTAGATCTTAGTGGGAATTTGTAATTATTTGTTTGACTGTTTTTACCACATTTGTCACTGATGTAGGAAACATTTTTTTTGTCAGTGTAATGTTTTCACAATATAAATATCTTGCTGTATATTCTGTGTCATCTCAACCCTGTTGTTTCAACTTGAGACAATTGATCACTGATTGCCAAAAATGCTGATCTTTGTTATTGTGATTAGATAACCGATGACCCCCAAGTTCCTGTGATGCAATGTCTTAAATTATATTGCTCTGCTTTGAGGGAATTGTAGAGAAGTAGTGCTTTCTGGTGTTATTTACGCAACTGACTACTTTAGTACTGTGAATAATAAAATTAATATGGTGATTTCTTTATATTTTTAGCAAGATTTACTCCCTACAAGCCAGTTGATATTATGTTGAAACCATTATTATTTGAAGTACCAAGTATCACTACAGACTCCGTATTTATTGGTCGGGATTGGTTGTTCCAGAAGATAAATGAAAACCTGAAAAATTGTGATTCTCCAGAGAACAAAGGGGCAATAATTGTTGGGAATGTGGGATTCGGGAAAACCGCCATCATATCTCGGCTGGTGGCACTGAGCTGTCATGGAGGTCGGATGAGACAAATTGCTTCTAACAGTCCATCCATATCCCCTAAAAGTGAGTTCAATTTTACTTCAGTTAATTAGGATATGAATACAATGAAGAATAATTAAAAATGACCTGATCAAAGTTTGGTGATCATGTGTGCTGAAATAGTTTTACAAAGCAGCACTCAATTTTCATATGTGAAATCTGCATTTGTCTGGGTGGAACATTTTGTAAATGACGCTATTAGGTTTATTTATTAGCAATTACCCAGTGTACTCACTTCTGAACAAGTAGCATTGCAAAGTAAGGTATGCAGATATGGATAAACAACAACGAGCGTCCCTCACGCAGGGTAGCAGCATCCCAGAGTGCTTAAATAACACCTGATTTTCACCAATAAATACCTGTTTTTTTGGTGGAAGTCAATTGATACAAAAATCTTTTCACTTGATTTGTTCTTGGTTTTTAAAAAAAATTGCTGTCTTTATCCAGTATCCGTAATGGTACATGTACATCCCCAAACTCAACTTGGTGCATCGCCAGTTTACCAGATGAACTCCTCTCATCATTCTCCCCTGGCTCCCAGGGGATCAATTTCAAGGTCCTCCCCATCACCTTCACACCTTATTATCTCCTTATCTCTCTGATCTCCTACCCTGTTCCTTTGCTCACCTTCACTGCTTGGCTAACTGGCCTACTGTGCATCCCTCGCCATATCCATCACACAGAGGATACAGTTCAAGATCCTGGTCCTCACCTTCAAAGCCTTCCATGGTCTTGCTCCCCACTACCTCTGCGACCTCCTACCCCTACCATCCTACTCGCTTTCTCCGCTCAGCGGGCTCCGGCCTACTTCATGTCCCCCGCCTCGCTCGCCCCACTATTCGTGGGCGGGCCTTCTGCCACTTTGCCCCCACCCTTTGGAAATCCATCCTGCAGTCCCTCTGCCTTGTCCCCTTCCTTGCCACTTTCAAGACCCATCTCCGCACTCTCCTCTTCGACCGTGCTTTCCATCCTCCCCGATCCTGAGCCCACTCCAGCTTGGGTCCGAAAATCTGTCTGTCCAGCGCCTTGGGACATCCTCCTTATGTGAAAGACGCTAGGCAAATGTAATTTTGTTGTTGTTGTATCCATGCCTCCATTGGTGATCGAGCTTTCAGATTCTATGCTCCGATCCTTTCTAATTTCCTCCCTCTTCCATTCCTTGTCGCCCCCTCACAGTAAGGGTGTGCTCCACAACCTCTATCTACCCAACTCTTTTGTGTTGGGTAGATAGAGAGAGATTATCGCCTGATTTTCAACTGTGTGACTTTAAAGTGGTAGTACCATATGGTTTTCTTTTGTCAATATTCCTATATATACAAATTTGGAATTTCATATATATATATATATATATACATATAGAATTTTAATTCAAGAAATGAATGACTATGGCATATGGTTGAGGATGGCTTTGCCTCAATCTTTTTGAAAGTTTGTGTTTTCGTAAATCATATTATATGGTTATGGCTAATTATTAATCTAATGAAACTCTCAATAGGTGCAGATTGTCACCAAGAACTTCCATTGAGTCAGCCACCGCAAACCTCTTCTCCCTTTAATACCAATACATTGAGCAGTGGGAGCTGCCCTGGCACTCCTGAGCTTCAAAGACGAAGGGAAGAAGCCGTGAAAAGGCTTGCAGCACAGGTAACCTCACTTTGAATTAGCCTATGAAAAGGGTGTCTGTAAATTGACAGGGCTAATAAACGAGTGACCACTGGTTGTGTTAGACAGGTGATTGCTAAATACAGGTGATTTATTATGGAAAAGCAGTTAGGACTGTTCCAGAGCAGTGGTTGACAGCAATTGGTTGTTTCAAAAGGGTTGACTGTATTTGTAAATAATGAGATTTTAAAATGTGATTTGGTATGCCCTATCAACTTACCCATCAACCTGGTATCTCGATTGTTCCATCATATTCCCTATGGCTGCCTAGAACTACAAATATAAATAATTGAATCTGAAAATATATCACTGAAAAGAAACCACATCTCCTAATTGTCTGCTGGGCATTCATTTCTGGAGAAAATGTCATTTTAGCAACTTATTAAAGTAGGCTTCTCGGGTCCCAAAACACTTCATTCTTACTGTTAAGAGCAAAGGGAATGATCCGAACGTTTTCTCCTTTATGAATTAACAGGAACATGTGATTCAAAGTCAATTTTGCCCATTGAAAATATGAAGCATCTGGAAAGTGTCCTCTAACTGAGATCATATTGGTGTGGAGAAGGAATGATGCACAGTATTTTTTTAGAAGACACTGAACTGTTTTTGAAAGGGAAATGTGCTTTGTGTTTATCTGTTGTAAGAAAATGTTTAAATGAATCTGCAGGTAATAACTGATTTACAATATTAAATCAGATTGGGTTAACATTTAAATATCAAATTGTAATTTTATTCATTCTGAACTGAGTTTGCAAAATAAATAATAATCCAAAATTCATGTTTTTAATTTAACAGAACACATTTCCTATGGAAGTGTATTTGTTTAATAGTTTTCATGTGATTAGAGCTGGGTTTTGTTTGAAAATACACTACCTCATCAAAATGTGTAGTATTTTGAGTAATTTGTAACTGTGTAATACATCAACTTTCAGTTTTGTTAGTGCAGAAATAAGAACACAAAACTCAACATAAGGATTCAGAAAATGTATCCTGTACTTTTTGTTGTTATGTGCGTGCAGAGCGACCACCTTGAAATGGCTGTATAGTGATTATAGTGAGCACTATTTGAAAGATTGACATCAAAGTGATCTTTTATTCACTGGTTAATATATAAATGGTTATCTAGGTTATGAAGATAGTTAGATAAATTCTTGGTGAGTTTATTTGCAATTGTCCTCATTGCTCCTTTCAGTCTCCCTGGACTTAGATTGAAGTTGACTCCAGAGAGGTGTATAACATTTTTAATAGCATCGAAAAAGTAAACCTAGGTCAATACTTCAGGATGCAACAAGGCAGCAGAACAAGAGGACGTAGGTTTAGAGTTGTAAAAGGCAATTTCAAGACGAGATACCATTTTTTTTTACACATAGGATAATCAATAACAACAACACAACAACAATAACTGGAACAGTTTGCCAGGAAATGTTGTTGAGGCCATTTAAAAAGAAACTTGATGCTGTCAGGGGAAACAATTCTGTAGGTGTGCTGGAATGATGAGATCAAATGGGCTAAAGGATTTCTTCATCTAAACCGATCTTGTGAGCTGGACAGTCGATTGTAGTTTCCCATGGTTACCATGGATTACTTCCTATTGCCTGACAGGAAAATCAGCTTGTTGAATTGATGTTTTCCCTAGCATTAGGTGACGTTTTTCATGCTTGTAAGATGTTTCTCTTTGTGATGCTGTGAGAGTTGGCAGCTCCATACTGAAATATTGGATCACTTAGTTTTATAATGTTGCCTTATAGTTCAAAAAGCAGGTAAATACAGTAATTTGAAAGAGAGACTTGGTGAAAATTGGTATGTAGATAAAAGCTTTGGGTAATAGTGTTTAACATTTTTTGTGTTTATACTTAAAATCCAGAAAGAAATTCTCTTCTTTTTGCTAGGTTGCGGCATATCACTACTGTCAGGCTGATAACACTTACACCTGCCTTGTACCAGAGTTTGTCCACAGTATTGCAGCTTTACTGTGTCGTGCACCTCAATTATCAGCATTCAGAGACCTATTGCTAAGGGAGTCTCATCTGCAGAGCATGCTTAGTCTACGGTCGTGTGTCCAGGATCCCACGGCAGCATTCAAGAGAGGTATTTTAGAGCCTCTTGTAAACCTGAGAAAAGGTAAGATTCTAAAAAGAAGCAGTTCAATTCTTACTTGAGAAATTATTTTATTGCTTTAAAAATTCATAACATGTCCATGAACTTGCAATATTTTGCTTTAAATTTAAGAGCTTTTTTTTGACTTTTCAAATAGATTCCACATTCATTTAAAAAAAACATTGATTGTAGACTTCCTTTTATCAATCCGTTTTGAATCTCTGGATAATTTTCCACACAAAAAAATGCACATGTATATTTAGTGAAGAAATGGTGGTCATGCTCATAAAGATTGCTGCATTTTGTGTATTTTATGATTTATTTCTTGATATTTGTGCAATTAAAATGAGGGTGGAGGGGGGTAGAGGTGAATCCAAAGAGTTGATGTACATGTTGATCATTAAGTTCATGGACATTTGTACACAAATTGGCTACTATGTTCACCTACAAAATGCACAGTCACTACACTTCACAGTAAATCTTGTGAAGCACTTTGAGATGTTCTCCCAATGTGAAAGGTGCAATATCAATCATAATTATTATTATATGTGTTTTAATCTATTATTTCAGCACCCTACCGTTGCTATCTCGTGACTGTTCTGTCTCCTTTCAGCCAAGAGTGAAGCATAGACTGGGCTGCTTGTACATCTATACTATAGGTATGATTAAAGGTGTGTTTCTGCAACTGAGTGTGTTTAATTGTAACCTTGTCTTGCAGAAAAGAAGATTCCTGAAGATGACCATGTTATTTTAGTGGATGGATTAAATGAGGCAGAATTCCATAAGCCTGACTATGGGGATACAATTGCCTCCTTTGTCACTAAAATGATTTCTAAGTTTCCATCCTGGCTGAAACTGATTGTTACTGTTAGAGCCAATCTTCAGGTAAAAGAAGTTTAGATTCTAATTTTCACACTAATTAAAATTGATCTTAAAGTTAAAATGTAGTCGACATTTAATTTTTTAATGTGGCTATTTTAACTTTAATGGCTCTCAGTGGATGAAAATGTATTTGGTGAAACAGTGTCAACAACAGCAATTTGCATTTACGCTGCGTTCTTCAAGTGGTGAAGTGTACCAGAGCGCTCAACAACGAACCAGGGAGAGAGGGAAGGGGGTGGGAGGTGACCGTAAGCACTATCAAAAAGGAAGGTCTTTAGATGGGGTTTGAAGGTCTTATTTTCCCCCCAAAAAAATTAATCACTCACTCCATGCCTGTTCGTGGGATATTGCTGTGCGCAAACTGGCTTCCGCCTTTCATCCACAAAATACACTCATTCCACTTTGCAGTATATGCTGTGCTTTGAGACGCCTTGATTACATGATAAGGTGCTATATCAAATGCTATCATTATTATTGTTATTCCTGATCGGATTAAAAATTTAGTGTATTTTGTGCCGAAGTAATTATTGAAAATACTCCACACTGATGAATCAAATAAGTCAACTGAATGTGATGTTTTGAAAAGTAGTTACATCATAAAAGTCAAAAATTTAACCCTGTAGTCTAAGCAGGAAGAGGAAGACCTTCTGTATTGTATTCTTTTTGTCTGGCAGGAAATTGAACTTAATTGGCTGAAAGCCAGCTGGCTGGACACGAGAGCAATTAAAATGGCTAAATGGCTGAAATTCAGCTTGTAAATTTCCTTAATTGCATTTGTAGATGTTTTGCTGAAAGGATTTCAGTTTCTTTTATTGTTACACTGAAAATTGATCAACGTTAGTGTTGCTTAAGAATATTTGTCATTCAGTGTATGAGCCTCATTAACAAAACATGAGTTGATGTAGTCAACAAAAGCTGGCATGATGCGGAGTCGGTTAAGCTTTTGAAAATTAAACTATGTGCTCCTAATTTAAATGAGAGTTCCTTCAAAACAAATGGTGTGAAACACTGCAGCAATACCTTATATCTAACATGATGTGAGTGTGGAGAAATATTATGTAGGTTTGAAGGGTTTTATATGAACACTCATTGATTGTGTTCTAGTTAAAATTTTGATGGAAGGTTTTTTAACCCATTGACTTGGTAAACTGCAGTATAAATTGCACATAATTCTGCTCTAAATTACAATAGATTTAATTTTTCAACATTGATCATAATATGCATTGTAACCAATTGAAATCAGACCTAACTCCATATCAAGTCCTGTAGCTCAGTGGTTAGAGCTCTCGCTTTGCAAGCGAGAGACCTGGGTTCAATTCCAGGCAGAGGGCGAAACCTTGGGCAAGTTTCCTTACTCCACACAGAGCCTTATAATAATCCCTCCAAAAACAATAATAAATTGGTCATTTTCAATCCATGACTGTTTGTGGGACATTGCTGTGCGCAATTGGCTGCCACGTTCGCTCACAAATATACAGTCAATTCACTTTACAGTGTGATCTGTGAAGTGCTTTGGGACGTCCACCCGACATGAAAAGCACTTTATCAAATGCAAGGATTATTATTATAAAACTGTCCGCTTCCTCCGTTCAGCAGGCTCTGGCCTGCTCCATATTCCCCACCCGACTCACTCCACCGCTCCCTTCCTTTCCTCCTTCAAGGCGTGTCTCAGAATTCTCCTCTTCGACCGAGCCTTTGGGCACCCTCCTGACCTCCCTGTCCTCCACCCTCCCCGATCCCGACCCCCAGCTCGGGTCCAAAATCCTGATTGTCCAGCACCTTGGGATGTCCTCCTGACATGAAAGGTGCTGTGTAAATGTAATTTGTATTGTATTGATCTGTCTTTATAGTTTTCTTGGAATTATTTTATTATAGTATTTTATTGCATCATTATATATCAGTAGTGGGGCACCATTGAATTTATTTCATAAGTACAAAATCAGAAAAGCTGTTGGTACATTTCAATTGTGAGTGTAATTAGTCCAGTGCTGGATGCTGCCTCTGCAGTACTTAATGGGGGAGAAGAGACATCAGGAAAACATTTCTAACTTTTAAAAAAATATGTTGTTGAATGATTTTGTAATTCACCAGTAACTAAGGAGGATTGTTTCTGTAACTGGTGTTTCATGCTATTCTCACATTTTACTCATTAGGGTTTCAAAGGGCAATTTCAGACGCATCAGGAAAGGTTTTCTTTACAAAGAGGATAATTAATGACTGGAGCAGTTTCCCACGAAAGGTGGTTGAGGCCAGTAGCCTGGACTCATTTAAGAAACGTCTTGAAGCTATCAATGGCAGGGTCAGTAGGGTGGATATTTTGGAAAGATTAAATCAAATGGCTGAAGAACCTTTTTCATCCAAACTTCTCTTGATTTTTGTTATGTAGTGTATAGCAGATTCTATTCATACCTTTTCTTTTCTGTTTCCTTTTTAAACATGTTTTTGGTAAATTTGTGCTCTTCAGGGTGAGGCTTATTTCACATTTTTAGGCATCCAGCATCGGTATCAAGCACTCGACAACAACAACTTGCATTATTCAGCGCCCTCCATGCCGGGCAGCGTCTCAGAACTTAACAATGGCAGAGCCCAAGGCTGAGCTAGGGGGAAGGGGGAAAGTGACCCTAGACACGGTCGAAAAGGAAGGTCTTCAGGCGTGACTTGAAGATGGGGAACCAGGGGGCGAGGCGAAGGGGTTGAGGGAGGAAGTTCCAAAGTTTTGGGGCGTATTGGCTGAAGGCACGGCCACCAATGGTGGAGCAGAGGATTCGGGGGACGCGGAGAAGGCTGGACCCAGTAAAGCAGAGGCAGCGGGTACTGCTGTGCGGGGAAAGGAGGTTAGAGAGATGGGTGGACAAGGAATGGAGGGATTATACACTAGAGTGAGGATCTTGAAGTGGATCCGTTCTGTGACGGAGCCAGTGGAGTTTGGCAAGGACTGGAGTAATTGGGGTATGAAGTTTGGTGCAGGTGAGAATGTGGACGGCGGATGTTTTTAATGAGCTGAATTTTGTGAATAGTGGAGGAGGGGAGACCGGCGAGGAGGGCGATAGGAGTTGTCCAACCGAGAGCTGACAAAGGCACAGACAAGGGTTTTGGTAGCTTTTGGGGTGAAGTATTGTCGGAGACTGGCACAATTTAGTCCTGTACACAATTTAATTCTGCTTCAACTTCAAAAGAGCCCTCCCTCCTGCATCAGTTTGATTTTTTTTCTTCTGATGATCAGCCATTCTGTAGTCCCTGTAATAATAATCAAGAATTACTATTATTATTCTGTAAGCACATACAGAGATTTGATCTGAAGGGTGGAAGGAAGGTGAAGAGAGTCCCTGAGGATGGTAGCAAGGCTGATGTGAGGAGCGAGCAGTAAAAACAATGTAAGAGTAGAGTGTATGGCCAGGAGAATAGCATGGTGAGATTGAATATTGAATGCTATGAAATAGATTTGGAAAGAATTACACTATCTTGAAATTTCCATGAACAATTTGAATAAAGAGTTTACAAAAAATACTGCTACAGGATTAAAACAGTTTAAACATTAGATTTGTTTTACCAATCTTGATCTGATGTCTGCTTGTAGTTATTCTTTCAATAACAAAAATGTTGTTTTCTGCAGGAGATTACAAGTCTACTTCCATTCTTCAAAATTTCCCTGGATGATTTTCCAGATAACAAAGACATTACCAGTGATCTTAATGCATATGTCCAGCACAGAATTAGCAGCAGCCAGGGAATCCTTAGCAACATCTCTGTGAGTGGAAAGACGGACACCATTACAGTGAGCAAAGTGAGCAATCACCTTACCATGCGCAGCCAAGGATCTTACCTGTATTTGAAGTTGACCCTTGATCTGTTTGAAAAGGGTCATTTAGTTATCAAGAGTGCAAGCTACAAGGTAGTTCCAGTGTCTCTGTCAGAACTGTACCTACTACAGTGTAACATGAAGTTTCTCACAAATACTGCTTTTGAAAGGGTTCTTCCAGTGCTGAATGTAGCCTTGGCATCCCTCCATCCATTGACAGATGAGCAGATTTTCCAAGCAATTAATGCTGGCTATGTGAAGGGTGAATTGAAGTGGGAGGACTTCCAGCAAACGATGGAAGGCCTTTCAAGTTTTCTGATCAAACGAAGGGACAAGACACGAATGTTTTGCCATCCATCCTTTAGGGAATGGCTTGTTTGGAGAACAGATGGTGAAAACATGGATTTCCTTTGTGATCCAAGGTTAGTGTATGTGAAATTTAAACAAAGCAATTCTTGAACAACAAAATGCAGGGATTGATGCACAACTAACCATTTCATTTTAGTTTATTTCTCTGAAACAAACTTTTCCTATCTTGTGTGTTCATATTTTCTAATGATGAAAAAATTGCTTTTTTATTTCCTGTCGGATTAGCAAATGTAAATTTGTTTAGTAGATATAAAGAAAGGGAAATGATATAAGAAAGTCCAAAAATCTACAAAATAGAGAAGGAATGGTCTTAATGGGCCAAGTAATTTTTTTTGTCCAATGCTTTCTCATTCTTCATTGCTTGCTTTTCGATTGCTTTTTCTTTAAAATCAAGTTGCAAACCTTATAAATTGTTCTCCTGTAATTGGAGCCAATAAAAGGATATGTAACCTTTATTTCTAGACTGGATATTCTGGAAGTTTTAGCCTCTCCCACATGTTTTTAATATTTCCAACATAACTGTTTGTTAGCAGTCATTTATTTCTCAGATAGATTGTCATGTTACTCTCATTTAAAAAGTGGTTCTACTACAAGTTGTTATGACCCTTTGCAAATGTATCTTTGTTTATTTGTGGTCAGGTTCAATGGATTAAGTTGTAACCCCAATGATCTTCATCACACGATTTTGAAGAACTGATCTTTTGGGTTGAGAGCAGTTTAGAAAGTACACCATTCAATGAGTCTCTTTGAATCATTAAAACCTCTATTTTCTCAATAAATTAACATCCAATATTCCTACTCTAGAATAGTCGCTTGCTTTTTATTTGCTCTAACCTGGATTTTAAATACCTTATCATTTTAGTATTAAACACATGGCAGATGTAAAGTTCCCTATGTTCTGCCAAAGAATGTGGCTTAAAAACCTCTCCCTTCAACACCATTTTTTTTTACTTCTCACATTCTTGTGGCCTCCTGTTAACTAGCATTGCCAAAGTAGTAGCAGGTTTGTGTTGTGGAGCCCTGCCCAACAGGAACACACCGTCCTGCAGCTTCCAATTAGAGTATTTCATGGCACAGTCTACACTAATCCAAGAGGTGAAAGGACGTACAGTATTTTATCTTTGATGTCTAAGTTTGAATGATTTCACAACCTTCTTTTTAGTGTACTGAAAACATAAGGTTTTCCATTATTCATGTAATTAACTTAGAATCTTAAGGTTTAAAATAGAGTTACCCAGTATTTAGAGTATTCATGCTAGGCTATAATGAAACACCCATTATATACATGCTTGTTTTTGGCTTGAAATGAAACCATTTCGTTCACGTTTTAGTTACAACCTTCTATTCAGTTCTTTACTTGCAATATATTCAAAAATGAACTACAAACTTACAATGACCCATTTTTGAATTATTCATAAGCGAGTATACTTGGAACAAAGTCTATTTATGTTCTTTATTGACCCATAATGTGAACATTGTTCTTCTCTAACATCATTAATGTAATTTCACTAAATGTGAAATGATCACATTTATTATNAAAAATATTAATTAAATAAGGTGCATATTAATTATTTGAACAAATTCATTGAAAAATCTTCCAGAAATCATAAATTCTTGCTGATCGGAGCCAACGGTACTTATGTTTTGCATCATAGGAAATGAAAGAGAAAGACTGGATCTATTTGTGTGTCTGGTAATCAAAACTGTAAACATAATAATAGAGTTAAATTTTTTTCCCGTAGTAGTACAGATGTTCTTTCGAATATCCCCACAAAAGCACTTGATGCCTCATTAATAAACTCCTTCCAAAAAATAGCAGACAAGGATCTGTTCAGCAACAGTATTCTAGTTATTGCAGACAGATGATCTTTACGTCGCTTGTAGATGAGACTGTTGAATGAAATAATACGTAGTACAGTACCCTTTCCACATAATATTTCAAACTGCGTTGAGAAACTTTTTATGAGAAACCCAGGGCTGTATAATATAATGTATTTTTGTTAGGTCAGGGTATCAAGGGATATGGGGCAAATGGTTAAGTGGAGTTGAGGTACAGATCAGCCATGATCTTATAGAATGGCAGAATAGGCTCAAGGATCTGAATGGCCTATTCCTGTTCCAATGATCCTAAGGCTAAATGGCAGGAATTACCACCATAAATCCTATCTCAAAACCCTGACCCCCACAACTCCCAATTTCTACAATGGAATTTGCTCATAGTATTTTAACTTTTGAACTTAGTGATGATTAATGGTAAGGAACAGCTTTGCCACAAAAGTGAAATTGGGTGCTGAACTGGTCCTGTTTAATACTACACCATTGTTTTACACAAACAGTATGAATTTCCTCTCACTGTTATTCTTGTTCTTCTCAGGAGTGGGCATGCCCTTATGGCCTTCATGTTCTCTCGCCAAGAAGGAAAACTGAACCGGCAGCAAACAATAGAATTTGGTCACCATATATTGAAAGCTCATATTTTCAAGGTGATTAAAGACATTATCAATAGGCATTATTATTAGCATGATACGAAATGTCTCTTTTGTGTAACAAATTTTGCATTATATCATGTGCATAATTTAAATCTGCGGCAGTTAATACACAGAATATGCAGTTTTAAGGAACACTACTTTATGAGTTGGGGAATGCTAAGTGCATGCAGAGGAATCTCGTTATTGTGGACAGTAATCAGGGATTGACCTAGTTTACTCTATGATTGAGATAAATCTTTATTGTTGAATGAGATGACATCATTAGAGTCCCAAGGCTCTGGACAATCAGGGATTTGAACCTGAACTGGGGGTTTGGATCAGAATGGGTGGAGAGCAGGGGTAGGAAGGTGACTGAAGGCACAGTCGAAGAAGAGGGTCTTGAGACAGGTCTTGAAGGAGGCAAGGGAGGGAGCGAGTCAAAGGGATTGTGAGCTGCAGAGTTCTGAATAATCTGCAGCTTGTGGAGGGAAGAGTTGGGAAGGCTAAGAGCAGAGAGTTGGCATTGTTGAACCAAGATGAGACAAATTCATGGTTGGATAATATATAATTTGTGCTACCTGTATAATTTACCATGGTTACTGTTGAAAAAAGTTGCAAAGAGACGATGGTGCATCAATATTCTATTCTAATTTTGTTTAGGAAAGAGTAATTATTAAATTTATATTAATTTGTAAATTGATTTGGTAATGATTCTTTAATATCTTCTAGGGCCTCAGTAAAAAGATGGGTATCTCTTCAAGTGTCCTTCAAGCCCTATGGATAGGCTATGGTACTGATGGATTGTCTGCTGCACTGGCTTCCTTAAGAAATCTTTACACTCCCAATGTGAAGGTAAGATCATCTATCTAGCTTCACTGTTAACAACAACAATTTGGATTCATATAGTGCCCTCCATGCCGGACGGCGTGTCAGAGCGCTTTACAGTAACGGATCCTGGGTCTGAGCCAGGGGGAGGGGAGGGAAGGTGACCAAAGGTGCGGTCAAAAAGAAAGGTCTTCAGCAGAGACCTGAAAATGGGAAGGGAGGGAGCAAGACAAGGCAGCTCCAGAGCCTCGGAGCATAGTGGCTGAAGGCACGGCCGCCGAGGGTGGAGCGGAGGACTCGGGGGGACAAGGAGGAGGCCAGACCCGGAGGAACGAAGGCACCATGTATTGTTTTGAGGAGAGAGGAGGTCAGAGAGGTCGGGGAGTGCAAAGGAGTGGAGGGATCTTGAAATCGATCCTCTGGGATAGGCAGCCAGTGCAGTGTGGCCAGGACTGGGGGGATTGGGGAGCAGAGTTTTGTGCGGGTGAGAATGCGGGCGGCAGAGTTTTGAATGATTTGGATTTTATGGATTGGAGACCGGCGAGGAGGGCATAGTAGTCCAACCGAGTGGTGACAAAGGCATGGACCAGGGTTTCACCAACTGTTACCCAGTTTCTTTATCATCGTTTATAAATTGAAGACATTTTGCTCCGTTCATTTACATTAAGATTGTGGGAAACTGAAATTTATTTTGTCATGTAGACACAAAACCCTAAAACTGCAGTTATTCACCACAATTTTTAGTTGTTGAAAATATTTTGTATGCACTGTCAGCCATATCGACTGTTTCCATTGACAGTTTGAGTGCCAAGTCAACCCTTTGATGCACATGTGGAAGAACGTCATTTTCCACAATCCAATGCGATTGCGAAGCTTGCGCATGTGCGACAGGTCAAGCATTAAATCACAGGAAACGCATTTCATGCTTACTTACCGGCTGCAATGAATTGATCATGCTCACTGTATACAGTTTATTGATTAAGTAAGATTTTATATGACTTGTACAGTTTGCCTGCAACTCCGACTTCAGTTAATGTTATGGTCCCAGCTGATACGACTTATGTGAGTTTTACTGTACACTGCTTTACTGATGCACAGCTGGGGCGCATTCTATTGCGGCCCCTCTGCATACGTATGGTACATGATTGTTGCTACATTGTACATCTATGGAACCGTTGTTCACAGTTAACTTAAATAGCCTTTAGCCTTCTTCATTGCTTTAATTTCCACATGCATGAATTTTGCCTGATGCTGAGGTATATTGTTCCATAAGGATCTTCAGGGAAGAAAGGGACATATATCCAGTCTTTTTTTTCATGTTTTTAACCAGTTTCTATTTCCTATTGACTGTGAAATCTCCTTCCAACCAAGAAACTGACTAGAGGCTAGGAGACAGCTCTGCAGAAAGGAGTTTGTGTGTGGCTTCTCTAACATTTGGCTCAAAGCTTCAAGCGCAACACTTCCAACACATACTGTGATTTTTGGTGGTTGTCATTTCATATAGGAGACAGGAATAGGCCATTCAGCACCTGAAGCTTGTTCTGCCATTCTATTAGATCATAGTTGATCTGTACCTTAACTCCATTTACCCGCCTTTGCTCCATATCCCTTGATACCCTGACCCAACAAAAATCTATCCACCTCAGTCTTGAAAATTTGAATGTATTTTGGGGAAATGGATTTTGAACGCAGCCTTTTGGGGAAGAGAGTTCCAGATTTTTACTGCTCTTTGTGTGACAAAATCCCTCCTTCCACAGTTAGTTATGCATTGTTCAGCTCTGGGTCAAAGTGCTGCTGAAATCACCAACTCGAGGTGGTCTCAATCCCAAGAAGAATTTGTCAAAATATTTATGTTTTACGAAATGCCAAGGAAACCATTAGCAAAATGACTGGTTTGGAATGTGAAACAAATCAAATTGTATTCTGTATTTAATCATTAGGCTAGCTTATTCTCAACCTTTCCAGGATAACAGTTGGAACAGTATAATATTAGAAACATTGTTTACAATATATTTGACCCTAATTAATGTCACCGTGTTCCCAACTCAATATGGTAAAAGCATGAAAACGATGACATTGTTGTTGTGCACATATACACCTGTTGTTTTAATGCGACCCTGTGCATTGGTGAGGCTTCATTCATTTCCTCATGGGAGATTCAATAATTACACGAATTAGTACATTATTGCTTTTCTCACTGTCTATTATTAGTCATGGTAATACTAACACTAACATATAAATTTATGAACGTAACTTGTTTTTGAAAACTTTGATGGACCACGCTTTGATGGTAAAGACAGACACAAAGCCTTTTTTATTTATTAATAATTATTAATATTTTAATATCTTAGTTTTCTATGCCCTGTTTTTAATTGTGCATTTTTCACTCCTGAAGAAGCACTCTCTTCTGATTATTTGGGTTGTAGGAAATTGAATGCTAGTATTTTTTTCTGTCACAATAATGAGATTCAAGTGTTTGTAGATTGATGCTGGAGTTATTGAATAAAACCTTTAGTACCATAATTGCTCATCATCCATGGAAAGGAGATTGATGCCAAATGGCAACATTAAATTATTAGAAGCTTCAGCATAAATCCAAGTGCTTGTATTACACTTTAATTAAATTGGTTTGAAGGTGCCCCGGCATACATTTTAATGCCATAGGAGTTTTGACTTCACATTTCTTAGCAGTATTCTTTTCCAAACTCAAGTAAATTAATATAAATAAATCCAAGTTTTGAAACTTATATTCGTGTTTTTCTTAATTCCATAAACATTGCAGGTGAGTCGGCTGTTAGTTTTGGGAGGAGCAAGTGTGAACTACCGAACAGAGGTCTTGAACAATGCCCCAATTTTATGTGCTCAGTCACATCTTGGTCACCATGAAATGGTAACTTTATTGCTCGAGTTTGGAGCAGCTGTTGATTGTACGTCTGAAAGTGGTTTGACCCCTCTTTGTCACGCAGCAGCCGCGGGACACCTGCAAGTCGTGACTTTGCTGTGCATGAAAGGAGCCAAGGTAAGGAACTCGTCTCAAAATGTCATCAATTCTCAGGACTGTGGCACCAATCCTTTTCATTACGGAGTCAAATCTCCTTTATTGACTTTTTGCTTTTGCTTGCCACCTGCTGGCAATATCCTGCTGTTCTCAAGTGTTTAGAATATACTAACAATTAGAAGTAACGAAAGATTGGTAAAAATCAGATGAGCTGTTTGACAAACTATAATGTCATCATTACAGTTTATAATAGCAAAACTCAGATCTAATTTCTTTTTTGCTTGATATGAAGTTACCTATACTGGAAAGATATCTAAAGCAGAACATCCCCTCCATAAAAAATATGTTTTGTCCTGGTACCTACGATTTTTTAAAAATTTCAATATTACGACTATCCTTCAAAATTTTATAGTGTATTGTGCAACTAATAAAACTGTGTAAACCTTCTATATTCCAGATTGATCATGTGGATAAGAATGGTCAGTGTGCATTGGTTCACGCTGCTTTACGAGGCCATCATGAAGTTATTGAATATTTGCTCCAAGCAGATTGGATATTATCTACTCCGCGCCAGAATTCTTTCCGAAAAACTCAGGCACCTCAACAAGCCTTGATTGCAGCATCAAGCATGGGCCATGCTGAGGTAAGTTGCTGGAAAGGTTTGTTTTGCATATTCCTTTGTACATATGCATTGTTCCTAAAATAATTTGTGGTGCATTTGTATATTTTTAAGTTTGTCATTGGCTTTTTTGCTGTATTCAGGTTCCGGTCGTCTCTTCCCTGCAGCAACTTTATGGGTTGCGATTGAGTATTGTGTGCTTGAACTCTCCTGATGAGAAGTTTCTGGAATCTTTTCATTCTTGAAACTTAGCATAAAAGCTTTGACGAGATCTCAAAGGATCTTTAGCCCTCACTAGAAGATCATGATACCTAAAGGGTAAACCGTGAACATTAGATGATATGGGAGGCTCTTAACTAAATCTTCAAAATTCTGACTTATGATCTCACAGGATGGAAATTAATTTGTTCCAAATCGGTGCACTCTTATCACACTCTGGTTCTGTCATGGACTACATTTTGGCACAAAACATGTAAAGAATTAAAAGTTCCTAATCTTATTATTACTGTCAAATCAGAAAATCATCATAGAGGTTCCAAGAAAAAAATTGACCTTCAAGGTCTAATTCTGCTGTCTTCCAATTGTACCAGCAAGGAGTTTGTGAAATTATTTTATTGTTCTGATGTGAATCTCCCTTCTTGGTGTTCATTCCAACTGTTGTTTACTTTTTGTGTGGAAAGAAAAAATACTTCCCTTACATTTGTCCTTTGCACGGGTATGCTTTTGTCTTGCTCTCTAGAACTTTGTAAATTAATACTCAGGATTTTCTTTCTCTATCTTGAAAATCATATTGAGCTACGGGTTTTGTTTCTCAGATCAGTGGGTAGATGTCCTTGCAGGCAGGTCACCTGTCTTTCATCTGTCTCACCTTCATGTCCTAAAGAACATGTGAATAAAATGCCTATACGGTTTGATTTAAAGAATAACGCAGTAAAAAGAAATTCATTCTTAAATAAATTATTAAAAAGGTAAACACAAAATCAGTTATGTTTATTGCTTGAAGTCACACGAGTTCTAGCCAGGCTCACTGACTCCCAAATACTGAACACATCGATTTCAAGATCCTCTCACTCCACCACCTGCTGCCTTCACGTGGCTGGCTCCGGCCTCCTGCTTGTCCTTCAGGCCCTCCGCTCCACCATTGGTGGCCGTGCCATCAGCCACTACTCCCCGAAACTCTGGAACTCTCTCCCTCAATTCCTCCATGTTGCCCCATCACTCCCCACCTTCAAATCCTGCATAAAGACCTTTTTGATTGTGCTGATGGTAACCTCCCCCCTCCCTTCTCTCCCTGGTTCGGTGTCAGACTTCAGAACTGTCATGTGCTCATACGAAACACTACCCTGTATGAAAGGCGCTGTATAAATGCATGTTGTTGTTATTGAAAGAATATTGATTGCTTTATTCCATATAGCTTTTATGAGTAAATATTGATATTTTCTTCATTGCTCATAGGCTGTTAAGAAGCTTCATGATCTTGAAGAACATACTGTGGAAATCAACAACTTTGATAGTCTTTGGGGAGAAACAGGTATAGGAACTCATGCATTTTTTTTCCTATGTTTACTGTTCCTTTTCTGGTGCATAAAATATTTTCTCGCTTTCAAGCAGAAAACAGACGCTTTAATATTTGCTTCAATGTTGTACAGGAAACAGTTGGGTCTGTTATTTGTATTTGATCGGCTGCAGGTGTTTGACTGAGGCAGGGTGTGCCACCTCTATTCATATTGTTTTTTGTATGTTGGCGTGTGTGTGGCTGTAGATAGAATTGAGATTGACATCTGTTTCCTCCTTGTTTGTGGAAACACTGTAGGGAAGTAGAGCAGTTTGGCTCAACAATAAGAGTTAATTTGGCAGTGTAATAATTGCCAAATGTTCTTTTGTTTTCAGTAAAGTAAGCTTTAATTCCCTTATCTTCTTCCTAGTTATTACATTTCTAATTCAGTAAAAGCTTTACTCCTTATGAATGTTTTCTAGTACTCTTTTTAGTTCAAATGGACAATATGGATTTGTTTTCCTCACTACCCCAAGTTTTCTTTACGTGTTCTTGATCTCACCAATCGTGCTGAAATGAGATTTCAATTCAATTGGTTGAAATATACAGTCAATTCTGTGATGCATTTTGACATGCCTCGAAGAGGTGATAAGGTGCTATATCAAATGCAAGGATTATTATTATAAGATCACCATTAAGAAGCCTCTTTTTTTGACTACTGCAGTCCTGTGGTAAAATAGATTAATATTCTCATACAGGGCACCCCTGCTATAATATGGTGGCCTGGATCCCCTCCCCAGTCCCTTCTCCCTGCCTATGTTGAAATGTCACATGAAAAAAAAATTGCCAACTTTCAGGTCATCATCGAATGGCATTTCCTGCAAAAAATGCACAGGAAGCATTGGTGATGTCACTTCCTGTGAAATGTGCATGAGCAGGAAGTGATGTCATTGGTGACCTGACAGCTCAGAAGGTGAATGTTTTTAGTGAGTGGCCGGGCTGCTCAGCATAAGAAGGGTGTATTACACTTGTTTAATTTAGCTGTGTGTCAATGGGCTTAAATGATTCCTTACTTTAGTTGAAATGGTGAGGAAATATTCATCATTCAACCTGAGCTCAATTTTAAGACCAGCTTTGGTGAATGAGCTTTCTGGGCTTTTTCAATGCTTCTCTTGTGATTTGGTAGACATTGTGGTTTTAGTGTGTTAGATTCCAGCAGTATTCCAATGCACACTCTGGGGTTCTGAAGTCTTAGCAAATGCTAACATTTTGACCTTAGTCTCCCTGTCCATATATGATATGCCACATATCAGTAGAAAAACAGTTCCCTACTCTGACCAAGAAAAAATGATGCAAGTATTCATAAGAATTTTTTAAGCGTATACCTAAATCATTTGCTACAAACTACAAAGTCACTTTGGGGAATGTGTGCAGTATTTGCTGAGTAAAACTAGAAAAATAATTCATTGTTTAGTAATAAAATGCTTTTGTAAGAGTTAAGGTGTTAAGGTGTTTGTGGAGTACTGTAGCTCAGTGGTTAGAGCACCCGCTTTGCAAACGAGAGACCTGAGTTCAATTCCAGGCAGAGGGCGAAACCTTGGGCAAGTTTCCTTACTCCACACAGAGCCTAATAATAATCCCTCCAAAACCAAAAACAATAATAAATTGGTCATTTTCAATCTACGACTGTTTGTGGGACATTGCTGTGCGCAATTGGCTGCCGCGTTCGCCCACAAATATACAGTCAATTCACTTTACAGTATATTCTGTGAAGCGCTTTGGGACGTCCTCCCGACGTGAAAAGCGCAATATCAAATGCAAGGATTATTATTATTATTAATGAGTTAGTAAAATCTACAAATTGTTCAGGTACGTAAACATTCAAATAGTTAGGATAGTAGTTCCTTTCATTCCTGTTTTGTTATAGTGTGTGCTCCTGAGTTCCTTGTAAGAATGTTTTCTGATGTTTTCTAAATAATGATTGAAGCCACAAGTCTAGTCAGGAAGTTAGTTGATGAAGCAAACATGTTTTGGCATAATCTACTTTGAACACCAGTACTGCTGTTAAATCGGTTCACCATTGAAGCAGATTGAAGGCTACATCCTTTTTTTGACGATTTGTTTCCCACAGACTGTTGGTGCCACATTGAAATGTCTTAACTGCTTGCTCTAAAGACCAATATGCTGTGGGAAGGTTTTAGGAATCTGTCTGGAAAATCTGTAGCAATTAAGAATGGTGTAAATGGGTGTGAAGTTTATAATTTTGCCCCTGGGAAGGATACAATAGAGTCTTGTAAGACATAACTTCTGCATGGAGTGAGGCCAGTAACTTTGTGTCTATTTTTCGTTCGTTTTGTTTTGAACTGATAATCTTGCTTAAATTCACTAAGAAAAAGATATTTCAAGTATGTGTAGCAGCTGCTTATTAACGCTTTCTGTTTCAAGAGTTTGAGTAGCAATCACAGTAGCTGGTTACATTGCAAAGTTCATATAACTGTTACCAACACTGATTATACAAATGTAGATTGTGTGTACTGCTGCCACTGGAAATAAGAGATTTCAGCTTTCTGTACCTCAGCCTCAGTAAGACCAGCATTATTAATCTTTAAAACCATGTAAAAATTTCACCCAGTTTCATGTATGAGGATTTCTTATTAGGTGTTACATTTCTTTCAAATATGTAAACTTGAAATCTTTTAACTGCTTGAGCTAGCTCAGGCAGTTAAAAACTTTCTACAGCTGAGTTTGCGAGTTTAAATCTTTTCTCATTTAGTCCTACTGTCTCATACAACAACAAATACGAGTTATATCATTTTTTCACACTTGTAGAGAATTGCTGTATGGTAACAAAACATTTCACTCTGGAAGAGAAAACACTCATCTTGTGGTCAAAGCCAGGGTTGGCCAACCTGCTCACATTTTCCATGTTGCATGATGAGATTGTTGGGATGCTCATTTAGATTGCTGCCTTTTTAATGCAAGAAAAGTAGGATAAACAATTTGTGTATTAAGCAGGTGTGAGACCTTATGTCTTTGGGTTGTCGGAAATCTTGGGAGGTGTCGGTCTGGTTTTTATGTTTTGAATATTTTTAAATGAAAGAATGTCTCCCAATTACTGCTAAACATGCTTTGGTTCTGGTCAACAATGCAGCTTAAGACATCAAATGTGAATTGTAAAATCAACTAGGTTAATAATGATGAGGCTTATTTTTGTATCCTGAGGTTGAAATTGGCGAATAACCTCCGATAGCATAGGTACAGCAGCATAGTAGATCTCTGGCATAAGTGTGAAACTAAGTAATTTTTGCTGTTGAACAAAGATATGCAGACCAAAGGTCTCATCAATCATTCAGACATAATATTCATTTACATATTACACTAGCTGTACCCACTGCAGCTACGCTTGCAACCAGTTTCATTTAATCAGCCTTCTCTCTTTCGTCTGGCATTTTATTTGGCCTTGAAAGGTTTGATCTTCGCTTCTTCGGCATCTTTATCCTTTAAGAAAGTCTGCTATTGAACTCGTTAGCATCCCTTGTTCACATATTTGCACACATATCCTTTTGGGAGGACTCCTGGTTGGGAGTTTGATCATACATGTTTGATGAGCTTGTTTAGGTCACGATAGGAGACCCATGCAAGACTTTTCCAAAAGGGTATAAATCATGTCTCTACGTCAATTGGTTAGATATTTTCTCTATTCGTATAGGAGATGTACCTCTCGAGAATGCTGTGTGACCTCCGTTGCTACTTTGTTACAGAATACCATGCAAACCTTTTTGGGGCCTTAATTAAAGCATTTTTAATATTTTTTAATATAGCTCATCAACGATAGCTATAGTTCCCACCCCAAAAAAAATGTCCATGACACTCCCCCATACAAGACCTTTCCGATGAGGCATAAATCATGTCTCTACATCAATCGGTTATTGCGTTCTTGGCAGACAGACGTCTTTATTAGTATAGATTGATAAAATGGATGTGATGTTTATAAGATTGACAGGTAAAACATACCAGAGACAGTTATTTGGGTAAATATTCTTTATTAGCATCTGTTCATTCAATATATTTTTCCACTTAAATCGGTTTCTCCCTCAGCTCTCACAGCAGCAGCAGCCAGGGGGAAACTGGAAGTTTGTGAACTTCTCCTCCAACGAGGAGCTTTGGTAACCCACCCAAACCGAAGAGGAATTACTTCAGTCTTTTGTGCAGTCAGACAGGGTCATTGGCAGGTATTATAAATGGCAATTTTGTGATTTTTTAAAAAAAACTATAAATGTAATGTTTTAGTACTTGTGTTTTTTGAATAGTTGGCAGAATATTTGTAAAACTTTCTAGTCATGCATGGCAATACTCTGATTTTTTTTTCTTGCTAGATTGCTGATCTGTTGTTTCAACATGGTGCTGATGTAAACGTAACAGACAAGCAGGGCCGAACACCATTAATGGTGGCTTGTTGTGAAGGGCATATGAGCACTATGGAATTTCTGCTATCAAAAGGTAATGTTTAGTTCAGTATACATATCCACTGGACAGTTGTAGTTTTCTTGGCCAAATATTATTCTGCCTTCTTGGTTTAGGTGCTTCCATATGTTCGGTTGATAAGGAAGGATTAACTCCATTGGGTTGGGCTTGTCTGAAGGGACAAAAACCTGTGGTTCAGACTTTGGTGGAGAAAGGTGCAGTCATTGATCATACAGATAAGAATGGTCGTACTCCTTTGGACCTAGCGGCTTTTTATGGAGATTCTGATATTGTGAGTATTTTTAGGCTTTATTTGTTGTATTCAAGCATTTGCCTACTAACTTGGCTTCACATGTTTATTGGTCCATTACCACCAGAATTATGCCTATTAACTTGGCTCCATGATTCTAATAAGCAAGCTTGCACAACATAACAATAGAACATAGCAGTTAAATTATAATACCGAAAGCTATTAAAGTCTGGTTGTAGTTTTATTGCTAGTGGATCCTCTCTACTAATTTGCCAAAGCTGGTCTGAATTGCAGAGCTTTTAAAGTTTATGGTTAATTATTGTATCAGTACATTTGTAACATGCAATGAACATTTGAAGGGTATTTTTTTCTTTGGATAATCCCCTGCTAACTGAAGTATTTCAGAACCTTTACTGTTATTCCTTTTTCCATTTCACTGCTTCAAGATAACCAGACAATATACACCGAACTTCCCTTTCCTAGTTTTGTGGCCTTCAGCCGCCCTCCTACCTCTCTGCCCTCCCTCAACCCTGCCCCCACCCCAATTCAGGTCCTGATCCCTGACTGTTCAGTGCCTCAGAACATCCTCCTGATGTGAAAGGCGCTTTACAAATGTAACTTTGTTGTTGTCTGTAGTTTCCCTCTTGGAATTAGCCACCAGGAATGGCAGTTCAAATTTTATTTTTTTAAAAAAGCTTTTTACTGTGTGCTATTAGAAGATGTGTAGCTTGTTTTCTGCCATGAAAACGTTTATGGCACCTTTTTCACCTAGGATAATGTTTTGAGTAACAATTTTTTTGAGTTCCTAATTGATTCCTTGTTTATTGAAGTATAGTGCTAATTTTTGCCACTGAAGTAAAGAAAGTCTAACTCACATTGACCATCTGATGGTATTCCAAGTATTCATTTATTTATAGTAACACATGATATCTTTTGGGCTATCATATTTAACTTAACTATTTGGTATGTCAGTCATAATGATAATCCTTGCATTTGATCTAGCACCTTATCACATTATTGAGACTTCTCAAAGTGCCTCACAGGGTATACCGTTAAGTGGATTACAACAACAACAATTAAATTACATTTATAGAGCACCTCTCACGTCAGGAGGACATCCCAGGGCACTGGACAGTCAGGGCTCAGGACCTGAGCATGAGGGAGGGGTGGGGTAGGGGTGAGGGAAGGCAGAGAAGTGGGAGGGTGACTGAAGGCACTATCGAAGTAGAGGGTCTTGAGACCGGCCTTGAAGGAGGTGAGGGGGCAAGTGAGGCGAAGGGACTGTGGGATGGAGTTCTAGAGGGTGGGGGCAGAGAGGTTGAAAGCCTGGCCACTGATGGTAGGGTGGATCGGGCGGGAGACATGGAGCAGGCAGGTTGGTAGGAAGTCAGCAGGTCAGAGAGATAGAAGGGGGCAAACCACGAGCTGCAGAGTTTTCGATGATCTGCAGCTTGTGAAGGGAAGACTTGGGAAGGCCGATGAGGAGGGAATTTCCATAATCGAGTCGATGTGACAAATGCGTGGGTGAGGGTTTAGGCAGCCTGAGGGGTGAGGCAGTGGCGGAGTCTGGCAATGCTGCGGAGGTGCTGGTAGGCAGTGCCAGTCATGACGCGGATGTGGGGGAGAAAGGACAGTTCAGGGTCAAACAAGACACCAGGTTCCTGACTGGCTTAGTGAGGTTGAGTGTGCAGCCGTGGAGGTTGATGCTGCCAGCCCCTGAAGTGCGGAGACGTTGGCGGGGCCTCGGTCTTGCTGAGGTTGAGTTGGAGAAACTTGTCCCTCGTCCAGGACTTGATGTCTGAGAGGCAGGCAGTCAGAACGCCAGTAGTCCTGGAGTTGAGGGTGGCGGCAGAGAGATAGGATTAACTGCATATATGGAGGGCGAAACATGGTTTAAAATGCCCTTTTAAAGTTGACATTTTGTGTGGGGGGAAAAATAATCATGATGTATGAAAAACATAGTGAAACTTTACAGAACAAAGGAGAAATCTGATGTTCACATGTTTAGCTTTCAATAAGTTTTATATCTGAATTTTGTTGTGCAGGTTCAATATCTGGTGGAAAGAGGTGCAATGATTGAGCACGTTGATTTAAGTGGAATGCGCCCGCTGGATAGAGCAGTTGGATGCTGCAACACATCGGTGGTTGTGACACTGCTTAAGAAAGGTGCCAAACTAGGTATGGCTTCTCGGTTGCACAAGATTGCACTTAATTGCTTTAGTATTTTATCATTTATAAGACAAGAAATGTTTGTTCATTATTTTGATTCGCATAAAATATTTTTATGCAAGTTTGTCTGAAAAGCATTGATTTGTAAACTGCACATCTAAGCTTTCTTTCAACTATTTTTATTACAATTAATCAAAGGGTGCAGTTTTCCTGTGTTTAAATATTCGAGTCATCTATCAGGAGAGTCATGATTAATTCTTTGAAATCCTTTCATTGTTTCAAACACCTCTTCTCATATCACTCAACTTTCTCTTCCCTCGTTTCTTGTAGCTATATCCTCTCTTTTCCAGCATTCTCTTCGTAAACATATGCTATATCCTTTCTATAGTTTGTAATGTTAATTGTGAGTTATCCTAGAAAACTGGATTATATTGTGAGTAATTAATAATCTTGACTTGAATCACTGCAAGAGTTCAAAATCAAATATTTATTAAACTTTATACATTAGAGGTACAAGTGAAGTTGGATTGCCAAAATTGTTTCTCAGTACAAATTCAGTCATTTTTAAAATTATTTTTGGTTTTCTTCCTACTTTCATTTATTATTTCCACTCTTAGCTCCAATTTTTGTTATTGCTTATAACATTTCTGCATCTGAACTAGCTTTATACTCTTCCAATGCATTCTACAGTTCTCTTTCTTAGGAAACCTATGTTTGGCAGAATGATCCTCTTCCTGAATACTTGTGGTTCTTCCACAACATTTAACATTTATACGGTGCTGTTCATCTTGGGACGACATCTCAAAGCACTTTGTACAGCTGCCGAGGAGATAGAGCTTTGGGAGGGGACAACAACAAATTACTTTTGTATTGTGCCTTTCACGTCAGGACGTCCCAAGGCGCTGACGAGAAGTTGATGGGACTTAAAATGTGTTTTGAAGGCAGGGATGTGGAGAGGGATTCTGGGATGGAGTTCCAGAGAGCCTGACAGACTGGCTGATGGTGGAGGGGTCCAGGTGGGGTCAGTTTGCTTTGGGACAGGAACTGCAGGGGCAGTAGGGTTGCAGGAGGACATGGAGACCTCCACTATTCCAGAGTACATTTTAAAACCGCAAAGACACACATTTTAATCTTATTGCATACAAGTTGCTCTTCTGCAGAGTTAGTGTTAGCAAATTAATGCAGCATGTTTTTTTTGGCAAAAATTACCAATAATATTCTGGAATGTTCACTTTAGCAATTCAAATTCAAGTTGTACACAAGTCATGTAAAGGAAATCTATTTCTTGAAATGCCCTTAAAACTACAAGTATAGTTATTCAGCTAAATAATTCTTAAAAGTGCATTTATAACAATCCCAGGGGAATAGAAGCTTTCAAGGTTAGAATACCAGGATTTTCTTGCCAAAAATTGTGTTGTGATTCAGAAAAGGTTTATAGGAAAGCTCGAGTTCTATTTAGTGAGCAGGAAATTCAATTCTTCAGCAATAAAAATGTTTTTCAAATTATATGCTTGCATCTTTTAACTCTCTTTCCACCTTTCATTCCCGCTTTTTCTTAACTTGAATTCCTTAATGCATTATAAAGGCTACAGAACTCCTTATGATTGTTCAGGTATTGATTTTGAACAGAATTTGCTCAAAGTAAATAACTTACTTATCTTTACAAATTTTGATGTTACAGGATATATGAATTTTTCCTTTTTCTAAAGACGATTGTGTTATTATTACCCTGTAGGTAATGCAGCCTGGGCCATGGCAACATCCAAACCAGACATCCTGATCATTCTATTACAGAAGTTAATGGAGGAGGGAAATCAACTTTATAAGGTACTTGCTGTACCCATTGCATCTTCGCTTGTAACCAAAGACTCCAATATGGTTTGTAGATTGACGCACAAACAGACATTTCATCTTTATCTATACTCATAGAATTATACAACATAGAAGGAGGCCATTTGGCCCATTGTGTCTGTGCCGGCTCTTTGAAAAGAGCTGGGAGGACTCCTGTGGGAGGACTGTTCTTCAGTTTAATTTAATGGGTTTTCTCTCTTTTGTCCATCATTTTTACTTATCCTTGAAATGTCTGATTTTTGTTTCGGCATCTTTACAATGATGAATATAAATGTATAATTCATAGTCACTGGGAGGTCCTCTCAATGTAAAAGGTGCTTTAAATATGTAATTTTGCTGTTGTTGCCGCGGCTCAGGTTCGACTGTGTTATTTGTACCCGTCGCTTGGCTATGTGCGCGCTCTGTGATGCAGGAAGCCACAGCGCCACAGTCAGCCGGGCAGCCATCAGGTGTAACTGCAGCGCGTGAGGCACAATGCCACAGCGCCACTTTGACTCGGTGGCCACCGGGCGTAACTGCAGAAAAAAGTGTAAAACTGAAAATAACACAAACAATCGGAGATACCTGAAAACAAATATGCCCATGTCACTCCCAGTGCAAAACCTTTCCGGTGAGGTATAAATCATGGCTCTACATCAATCAGTTATTGAGATCCTTCTTGAAGTGCAGACAAACATTGTTTTATTAGTATAAGTAGAAGATAACATGATATACGTTTCTAACAAACTGAGTTGCAGAATGAAGGAAATTAAAACGGCCAAGAAAGACTGGCAGGTGGTATTAGGAGAACTATTATAAAAAGTTAGAAAGCTCTCAAATACTATGGATCTTATTTGAATTATAGCCAGAGAGGCCTCAGAGGAGATTCTCTAGGATGGCAGTAGCACAGATGAGATGTTTTACCTGTGAGAAAAAATTTTTCCTTAGAACTCAGAAGTTTGAGAAGATACTTGTTAAATTAAGAGGCGCTTTGATAAGCAAGGAGAAATTATTTCCACTAACCAGTGAGAGCATAAATTAAAGGTAATTACTGATTAATTTTTAGAGGGTTGTTAGGATGCGAAATGAGGTTCTTTAAAGGAGAAACAGGATAATGGGACTAATACATAGAGAGCTACAGCGTCGGAATCTATTGAATGCCTCCTATGCTGTAACTTTCTGTCATTCTAAAATGTTTAAGTGTAATCTTCGTGTTTGAGCGAGTTTGTTTAGGTTCTTTCCTTAAATAGTCTGTCACATAAATGCTAAACATGCTCTTGGAAACTCAATGCTTCAATTAAAACATCATATTTGTGCTCTTTATAATAAGAGTGCGATGGACTGTATAACGTGTTGTCTATGTGAACTATTGCAGAAAGGCAAGATGAAGGATGCTGCTCAGAGATACCAGTATGCTTTGAGAAAGTTTCCACGTGAAGGGTTTGGAGAAGAAGTGAAAGCTTTTAGAGATCTAAGAGTTTCCCTTTGCTTAAACCTGTCAAGATGTAGAAGAAAAACTAACGTAAGCTGCAAGTCTGACTTAATTAAGCTGATCAATTTAGTACCCAAAACATTGACCAACACAAGAACAATTGTTTGAAGGAGCTGCCAAGTGCAAGCATGATGGTTACCCACAGCATCAAGGCCCAAGATTACAACTGGGACTTAATGTTGAACATTTTTCCCAAGGCAATCAGAGGATGTGGCTCACTCTTCCCCTGCATGGCTCAATTTATAACGTCACTGCCCACTATATATATTGCACTATTTTCAATTTTACTATTTTATCGACATCCTGCTGTTTTCTGGGGTAATTGGGTAGACAGGAACCCTTTCTCCATGTCTCCTTGATATTCTTCCCTCCCCCCTCTCAATTTCTCATACAAGCACAACATTGCTCATTCTAATCTAAATTCTGGTGGGCAAATCTTGTATGGATTGTGTATAAGATTTAAATCAATAGTAATTTTTGTGTAAAAAAAATAGTCATGCAAGTTTGAAATGTGAAAAGAACAATATGATATACTTACTAAAAGAGATTTATGCAGTCATTTGTTCTCTTTTCCTTACTCACAGGACTTTGGAATGGCAGAAGAATTTGCCTCTAAGGCCCTGGAATTGAAGCCTAGATCATACGAGGCTTACTACGCTAGAGCAAGGGCAAAAAGGAGCAGCAGGTACAAAGTCCTTCATACCTCTTAATCTTTTAGACTGATCCATTGTCCACAATTAAGGCTAATATTTGGATAAAAACATTCTTATAGGTTAATGTTTTTTCTTACTGATTCAATGCTGTTTTTCCTATTTGTGAATTTATACCATGAGATAGAAAAATATCTTGATTTAGCAGACAAAATAATTAAACGTAGCAAATGTTAGTGTAATATTGTTGTTTCACAGGCAATTTGCAGCAGCTCTTGCAGATCTACATGAAGCAACAAAGCTTTGCCCCAACAATCGAGAAATAAAGAGACTTTTGTCTCGGGTTGAAGAGGAATGCAAACAGCTACAGCGAACACAGCAACAAAAACAGCTTTACCAGCCACAGCAAAACAATGAATCGGATAATGAAGAGGAATTGTTGGGCCCAAACCTGGACAGTATCTCATTTGGTGCTGTAGACGGTGACTTTAGTCCAACTAAAGAAATTCAATCCACTTCACCAAGGCCTCAGCATCCTCAGAGCTTGGCGTCTTTTAAGAAGGGACTTCAAGAAGATGGAATTTCTAAACAGAAACCCAGGTCTGTTTCTCCCCAGAATATATCGACACATAGGTATCTTCAAGAACCATTAACCCAGCAAGGACTAATTATGCAGCCGACCAAGCAAGCTCAGATAGTGAAAACAAACCAGCATATGAACTTGCTGCAAACTGGGGTGAGAGATGGGAATCATCACAGCAGTAAACTTTTGACTAAGCCTCAGTTTCCCACAAGTCCTTTGCCATGTAGACCAATTGCTGCAGGTAATGTAGCAATAGTTAATAACAGCGATATGCAACAGGTGGATGCTGTTAATACATTTTCTTCTGCGGTGGGTAATGGAGTACTCTCTGGAGATTGTGGGGAAAGACAAGATGCTGCTCAGTCTGTTCAGCAGATCAATGAAAGTACTTTATATCATGTTGCAGTGCAGGCTTTTCCATATGTAGCAAAACCAGCAGAGAAGCTACTTACACAGTCTCAACAGTCTCTGGATTTACATGCAAATGTAGCTCAAGTCGTGCAAGTCAAACATTCAGAGGATAGCCCACATACACTCATGCAACAGACAAATAGTATGAAGACTTCTGATTCTACAAGCAGTCTAGCATCAGACAGTAGTGCCTCAGATAATGGGAAAACATCAGGTAGTCGGCAAACATTGGAAGTTCAAATCAAAAATACTTTGGACAAGATTGAAAAGTCCAACCAAAATCATAGTGGAGCTGAATGTAAACCAAGGACTACACCATTTATGGGAATAATGGATAAAACCGTAAGGTCCCATCAGTATCAGCCCAGTACTCAGCAGACTCGCACCTGGCATATTCAGTCAGCAGATGGATTAAGTACAATTCCATCTTCGGTTGGTGGTGTTCAGAATGCTCACTGTGAAGCACAGTTTGCTAAACCTGTTAGTGCCTTTCATGATTATGTCAAAGATACAACTCAGGACTCTGCTGGAAATTCTCACAATGGAATGCATTCTAAGGAATGTGGAGACAAAACCTGCCAAAAGGCCATCTGCTATGAAGGTCCCAATCCAGGCATGACTGTACCACTCTCTTTTCAAGAAAGTATCTCCAAACAACAATCTCATGTGGCAATAGATGCACAGGCAAGCAACATTACTTCTATAAAGCCAAAGCGATCATTTATAGAATCCAATGTGTGAAATACTCAAAACTACCAATGAACTGAATGAATAAGAAATTACTTTTTAACCTTGTATTGTAACCTTATGGTGGCATTTCTAGCAACTGGTATAAAGTAACATCTGACTATGCTGTGGTATATAGCATCGCATGCTGATTTTATAGTGAGCTTGAGTCCAGATGGATATTGCACTGAGTATTTCATATGGCATTTAACACAAAATCAATGACCGCACTTTATAAACGGCCTTCAAGTGCTTTGTTGTAATCCAAATGCTTTCCTATATAAGTCCAGTTAAACTAGAGACCTTGCACGGGTATCCTCAGCCTTGTTATACAGTAAAGGTACCGGCAGATTGACTGTAAAAGTAGTTTGTCACAAAGAAGAAAGTGTTGAAATTCCAGTGAGATTAAGCACTAACCGGTATTTTAGGTTCATGATTAGAGATCAGGCTTCTTGAGCTTGGAGAAATGTAATTCCTTCACTTGCAATAAGGTTTATGTAATCTTTTTTAAAGAAATTTAACTAATTATCCATATTTGTAATCAAGTATTATTTGCACACGGATTAAATCAGTTCATTCATTGGTGTTAAACTTCGTTCTCTCGTAAATTTATGTACATTGTAGAAACGCCTCAATAAATGTAACGGTTTAGTTAGCAGCTTACTATTTTTATTTATTTGAGTTTGCAGAATGCTTGACTGTAAACAGGCCAACATTTTCTCTAGTTATTTTGCACAGCGACTGTAATTGCCTTTAACTAAAATGGAGCTTGGGGAGTTCAATGCATACATAAATTTTCATTGATGTAGACATAACATAGTTAGTAGCTTTGGTTTCTATTTCAGTATGTATTTACTTGCAATAAACTGTCAATGTTTAATGTTTTATGTATTTTGTACTGCCATATAGCATGGAAAACATGCCCAGAAAATGTCTTAAAGGTTTATGTATCTGGTTCCATCCTTCGTGTTTTTAGGTTTCTTTGTAGGAAAGTACTAAGATCCATTCTTAATTATAGAAATTATAGTTAACCTTTCTGTAATGTATATGACACCTTAATGTGTTGAAATAAAGTGCATTAATCTGTGTTGTGGTTCAGACTAAATGATTCTCTTCTGAAATGTTAAATTTAAAGTCTGCTCTTTTTAAAAAAAAGTTTCAGGTTCCTGTCTTTCATTCAACCTTGCACATGCTGTAAGTGTCAGCTCTTGTTTTTGACACATGACTAGTTGTCAGTAACAGGCACAGTGACCGTTCTCCATACTCACAAAATTCAGATTCACTTCGTTCCCACCCACATATACATCAGCTGACGCTTTGGATTGCACACCATTTAATTTAAATATATACATGAAAATAGGTACATAATGTATATAGCTGTATTAAATAATGTTGGTTATGTAAATTTGCTATAGTTGCTTTAAAAGTAATAATAAATCCTTGCATTTGATATAGTGCCTTATCATCAGGACATCTCGAAGCACTTCATGCAATTCACTGAAGGAATGACTGCATTTTGTGGGCGAATCGTAGCAGCCAGGTTGAGCACAGCAAAGCCCCATAGACAGCTGTGAAATGAGGCCGATTTTATTTTGGGGATTTGTTGGCCCTTCAGCGAGAAACTTCTCTTTTCGATTTGTGTCATGGGATCTTTTAACATCCACATGAACAGACAGCGCCTGCAACACATCCCGGCACTGCATTGGAGTGTTATCTTAAGACCATTGGTGGCCAACCTAATACACGAATATTTCTTGATTTTATGCTATAAATCAAAAAAATTCAAGTAAAAACTGAAATATACCACTGATTGAACACAGACCTACCTAGACTCGTGCGTGTTTGGGAGCCGCTTGATGAACTAGCAGGGTGCCAACCTGGTAATCTTATTCTGGATTTTTACTTCCATATTGCAGCAATTAGTGGCAACGGTAATTCCAATTTTCTTAATTCAATTGTTTTGCTGGCAGTTGTAGCACTTTATGGGCATCAATCCAACGATCAATAGCCATTTTAAGTGTTCTGTTAGGTGTTATTAATGATGATTGCAAAGGCATATTCGTCATGGGGCTTGTACGTTTTTTAGTATTGATCCAGCTCTCAACGGCATCTCGCTGATAGGAATAACCATCTGTGTTACAAAACAAAGTAATATCAGTTGCATGTAAAAATAATGAAGTATGGGTGAAGAAAGACAATTTTCTTGAAGTATTTACTATTTTCATATTTTTTTTAGCAAGATTGACATCTCCACTCAGACAGATGTAAACATCCCATGAGAAATGTTTATGCTCTCACATCACAATGAAAAATACTGGAGGTAATACTTTTGGAAACTTGGTGGTTGTCTTACCAAAGTAGACTTACCATGCACAGCAGGTTGATAAATTTAATATTATTTATCACACAAGTCTCACAATTATCCAGGCTTCTACCATGCAATCCTAAATACATTATTTTCCAACATTTAAATTAATGGCAGAGATGTTTTCTAATTACCTGCAGCAATAACTGGATCTGTCATAACCTCCCTGGATATTGGACAGAGGAATTCGTCTGGAACACCAGTAGAAGCTGATTCCATTTGCACCTTCACTTCATCAAGTTTTCGTAGTATTTTGTTGCGCAGTCCAAGTGACTCTGAAAAATGAGTTGCAAGTCTCTTTATTAATCTTATTACCTAATGGGACAGCTAAAATTGTGTTCATAAACAGAAATCATTGAATGGGTCAGCTATCCTACAAGTTAACTGATTTTTCACAACTTCAGAGACCTAGACATTTTAAATCAATTTTTAATAATTAGTATGATTAATGTGAATGTTAACATCTTACCAATTTTCAGATCATTAATGAGGCTTTCTTTGGTAAGACTTAGTAATTCCTGGCCATCAATGTTATTTGTCTTGAAAACATCAACAAGATCCTCAAGCCCTTCTGCAGAAAGCCAGGAACCCACCTCATCTTCTGACCAGTGCTGAAAAGAGCGATTAATTTGCGCTGAGAAATCCTCACCTTGAAACAAAAATGAAACCATTCAATCAAATTGTAAATATGATTATTTTTATCTTGGGTGGATGCTGATGAATTGTTTAATTAAACATATGACAAAGAAGTCTAGATCTCCCACAACAGCTCATGTAGAAAAATAATATGTTTGGGTTTGTTTTGTTGGGAAAAGGGAGACACTTTTAAAACTTTGGGACCACACAAACAATCCAGAAAGATAATTTCTTGACTTGTACTTTCCTATTTTAGAGTTAATGTAATAATGATAAACATAAGTAACACTTGTTATTTTAGACATTTTTATGTGCTGTCATTCTAAATGTTGAAAACACTGTTTTGTTCGTCTGCAAAATAAGGTAGAATGATAAAATTAGCACTGCTTATGGTATTTGTAATTAGCTGTGTTGCCCCTATCATTTTCTCTGTCTGGAAGCCTTCAATGAATGATAAAAGAATAATTTTGAGTCTTTGTTTCTTAATTTGACATCCATTAATTATTGAAATAACTCAATTGAGGCTTTAGTTATATTTTATCCTACACATAATGTAAATGATTGTTTCAAATTTTTTCAGTGTTATGTAACTAACCAGAATAACTTTTGACTCCAATTCTCCAAATGTTTACAGTTTTGTCCATAGATCCAGTTGCAATTAGTGGAAGATCAGGTGCAAATGCACACGCTGTGACATATCTGAAAAAGTCAACAATAAAATATACTTCACAATTAATTGAATTTCAGTAGTACTACTGTACAATAAAAATAGGAAGAATCCCCTTTGGCTTTCTCATCAAGTTAAAGCATTTAAAAAGAAACAGAAACAGCACTGTGTATTCTGAGCAACATGATTTTAACACAGTGTTTGGCCAGACCTAATGTAATACATCTTTCTGCTCCATGTCCAGTTTCGGCAGGCTGAAAAAGGTCTTTCAGTATAGTGCCGAGCAAAAATAAAACAGAACCCATTTCTCTTAAGATAATAATTCTAAAGCCTTCACAATGGGGCAATAATAATAACCCTTTAATAATTTGATATAGCGCCTTATCACCTCTTTGAGACATCATACATTTAATTTTAATCAATACCTTACAATAGTTAAGCACAACAGAAAAATGTTATCTTGTGTTCTGCATAACATGGATATTGAAGAGGTGATCAAACTGCAACTATAAAGCAGCCAATAATGTTTAATAAGGGCTGCACTCTGTAAAAAGTCACTCAATCAAAATGCAAGCATTATTATTATAAACTGACCAGCTGTACCCATTGCAGCTTCACTTACAAACAAAAGATCCAATATGGAATATTGATTGACACACATTCAAGACATTTTGTCTTTGTATTCAACTGTGAAGACTCTTGTGGGAGGACTCCTTTAATATATTTTCTCTCAGTCTCTCCATAGTTGGGGCATCCGCAGGAGATGAGTGGGGAGAATCCCAGCCTCCAGTGCAGGGATCTCTGCCCCTCAAGTCCTGCCAATGAGTCAGGCTGTTGGTCTGTCATCTCCGGGAATTGGGAGTCCTGCAGACCCACCTGGCCTACGAACTGGACTCTCGAGATCACCACAGGGGTTTGACTCGATCCTTCAGATTTGTTTGACACAGTAAGTATGTAAAATGATAACATGAAGTAACGTTAAAATACCGTGTGTGCTGCTTCAGTGTGTAAAGTGGTGCTCCACTCATCTGCATAACAAGACAAAATTGGAGGATTTTATGGGAAAAGAATATTATTTGTACAAGATTATCAATTATAAAATGCATCATTAGCTGATACTGAATCTTTCAATCATGAAACCTTTAATGTATTTTGAATGAACTTTAACCGAAAAGAACAATTCAATTAAAATTATTGAATCTTGAAAATGACATTGATACAATTGTTTCATTAGATATTTAACTGCTCAGCATGAGAGGAAACCTATAAAGGATAGCAATGCTTAAACATCATGAAAATAATAATGATTTAGCTTGCATCGTTTATAACTCAGTTAAATGTATCCTTTACATTTCTCTTTGGAACAATTTTCAATTCATGAAAACCAGGTTAAGCATACTTACAGAATTCCAAATTATTATAGACTTGTCAACTGACCTTGAATGAGGAAACAGAAACATTTGAAATTTATAATTAAGTTTAAAAAATGATTATTCATTTAAAAAAATATTAGTCTAAATTACCATTTCATTTATTTTCATCTCATAATTGCAATTTGCAGACCTTAAGAGATATAATTTTATTGAACTGTTTTGTAATATATGCTCAAAACAACAGTTTTGTTCCCCTTACTGACACCTCAAAAGAAAAATGTGCTTTTAGTAAGTGATGGGTCCCAATACAAGGCAAACAAGACAATGGATTCAAGCATTTCTTTTAACGCTACAGCCAAAACAACTACAAAACTTACATTTCTAATTTTAAAAATATCTAAGAAAAGAATTGTACTTACCCAGAGACTAATATCTGTCCATCTGGTGAAAAGCAACATGACAAAACAGGAGCTGTGTGGTGATTTAATGAGCATCGAATCCTAATTTTATAGCCTACAAATATGAAAGAAATTTTCACTCAGAATAATGTGAAACACACAACAAAAATATTTTGCCAGCTCCATAATGTACATTTTTTCTCTTATCTGAATATTTCTCACTCCAGAGTTCTTTTGACCCACAATTTAAAAAAGATGCTAGACAGACACGAGGTATAATGTTTATTTAGTACCTAATCGTTCTGGGAAGCGGGCCTGCTTGAGAGGCAATATATAAATACAAGTGTTATTACATTGTATATACATCAACTGTTTAAAGAGCACCACCTTTAAATAATGTTTGGCCAATAAATCTGAAAATTGTTTCAGGCACTCAATTGCAAAAACACGCCAAAGTTAATTTTTCCACAATGTGTAGGAACTGAGAATACTTATAAAATTGAAGAAGCAAAGTCACACAAAACTACTCACCACATTACGTTACACCCCATTGCCCTCAGTAATTGTACAAACTTAAATTGAACCGTTATTCTAACCAGCTATTATAATGAATTCAATTTGATCAGTGTACTTGCTGGTTTGATCCTCCCTCTAATCTGACACGCCAAACAGAACCTACATAATTTTTCAGTCAGCGGAATAAGCCCCAGACTTCAATTCCATTGACAAAAGCAGGTTTGGCAATCGTCTTTCATAAGATCTATTAGTTGACATACCTGATGGATGCAATTGGGACATAACCCAAAATTTTATTTTATTGTCTTGACCACAAGAAGCCATCAGAAAACTTGGTGATCCTGAATTATCTGACAAAGACAAAGTTATGTTAGAATAGAGGACAAAAAACAAAAAAGGCAACAAATTAAAGTACCTTCTGTAATAATCACAAAATGTAATTGTTTCCACAGATATCTAGAAGATTGCCATCTGCTAGAGGAGCCTGGTCTATTTTGATTTTTTTAAAAATGTTTGTAATCAAAAAGCCCACATTTAAAATATTTAAACGTGTCTCTGTCAGGGAATCCCATAACTTTCTTCGGTCTACAAAAGTTTGCAACTTTTTTTAGCAACTATGTTTCCCCTGCACCCTTTTCCCCTATTTATCCTACAGATTTTTCATGCACATTTTCTACAAATATTTTTCTGAAAAATATCCTTTTGGAAAAATACAATACATGAAAAGTATGGGTTGCTGAATGCTTCCCGTGAAAGACGTACCATTAATTGGCTGAGGTGAAAACTCACAGCAGGTTACACCAAGATCATGAGCTTCCTTTACATTAAAGAGGCATTTCATTTGGCAATCCCATAGAGTCAGATCTCCTGAGGTTGAGCCAATCACAAAATTGTTAACTCCAGGAGGAAAGGCACAGGCAATCACTGATCCATCCTCAATTGTGCTCGACCTAGAGTTAAACATTTATTTGAGAAAGTTCAGTATGCAAATTTTACACAATAAGGGTTTCTTCAGAAATAAGTATGATGGAATGAAAACTGCTCAATCTAGATCACAGCAAAGATCGACTGTAAAATATAACTTCACACAGGAGTTTAATTACGGTGAACCTGGGGTTGTGGCTTCTTCCAGCCGCATTCGGCTCATGCCGCTGCTCATCTCCACCCCACAACAGGAAACCGAGCCTTCAACCTCATACGCCCTCTGTAACTCCCTCTCACAACCTCTGTCTGCCCCCACCACCCCATCTTAACAAGACACCGAAAAACCTACCACTTCAATGGTGTCTAGTCATCTCCCTCTCCCACTCATCAATATCTCGCACCAACTCCATGTCTGTAAAATACTTCCCAGACATCACTCTATGAAGGGAGTTATATAAATGCATGCTGTAATATGTGAAGATGTGATCCTTCAGCCATCCAATGGACAACTTAGTATGAATAGTGTCACATTAGTCCAACCTTACTGTCTATAAAATGTTTGTTTTATTTAAATAGTTTTCATGTTTGTGGCAACTATGATACAGTGATACTGTGCACAGCAAGTGGAATGTTGTTATACTAAGCTTCCTTCTCCCATTTTAAACATATTCCTTGTAACAAATATTTCGCAATCGTATGCTTTTCTTGAATTGTTTCTATAACATTCACCAATTACAGAAATAAGTGAATTTTGTGTTTTGAAATCTGCAAGAGAAATTCACAAAAGTAAAAATGTGTTATTCCTATTATACCTCAAAATATGTTTTTAATATTGTTATTGATGAATAAATACTGCACTTTTTTAATCCATCACTATAAATTAAGAAATACAATCAAGTTCTGTTCATTACTTTAAATTTTACTCACATCTATCATCAAAAACTTACAGAAAAATCAATTCCAATTAGATGTATATTTTTGAAAACAAACAAAAATAAAGAGTACAGAAAATAAAATGAGCTTAGAGTCCTAAACTTAAGCCTTCTTCACGGCCATATCAGCTTCAGAAGCTGCTTAAATGAAAAAACCTGCACTCCCAACATAAGAGACCTAACACAAATAATATTAAAACAGCCATTGTCCTAACAAAAAAATACTTAAATTCAACCACTAAATTAAATTCAACTGTTAGACAAACCTGCGAAGTTTCTTTAAGTGGACATCCCATAATGCCAATGTCCCATCAGCTGCACCAGAAACTAAGTATGTGGAATCATGAGAAAATCTGCAGACCCTGACTGGATTGCCACTGGGCTGTTTCAATATTGCCAACCTCTCTCCAGCTCGAGAATCCCACAGGATAGTCGTCCCATCAGTTGAACTTGAAGCTAGAAATTTTCCACAAGAACTAAAGCAGCAGAAATGTACAGCGTAACTATGACCTCTGAGTGGCGAGAACGGGAGCTCGGAAAAGTCCTTCACTGAATAAAGGCGGATTGTTTTGTCCAAGGAACACGATGCCAGACAGGAGGAGGAGAAGGCACAGCAATTAACATCATCAGTGTGATGTGTTAAGGTTTGGACAAGTGTCGTCATTGTAAAATAGTTTTGATTTTTGCTTCAAATCTGAAAAGCAAAAAGCACATTTCACATTTCTCACTGACTTAAAACTATCGAATTTATAGCAGGAAACCTGCAAAGTGAAGGACGCTGACAACAACAACAACAACAACACCACCATCACCACCCACTGCCTCCAGAGATCTGCTGATTCAGCACAAACCAAACAGCAACCGTAGGACCTTCTGGTTCTCCTCACGTTCACTTTAGACACTGTTTGTGGAGGAGCACGAGCACAAGTCACCAAATAAACCGCCCACAAAACAGTCACTACACTTCACAGTATATTCTGGGAAGCGCTTTGAGACGTCTCGAAAACACAATAAGGCATTACATCAGAGCCCCGAGGAGACCCCGAGTAACCAGATCCCCCCCACACCCCCCACACACACACACCCCACACACACACACCCCACACACACACCCCACACACACACCCCCACACACACACACACACACACACACACCCCCACACACACACCCCCACACACACCCCACACACACACACCCCCACACCCCCACACACACACCCCCCCCCCACACCCCCCACACCCCCCACACACACACCACACACACACACACACCCACACACACCCCACACACACACCCCCACACACACACACACACACACCCCCACACACACACCCCCACACACAGCCCACACCACACACCCCACACACACCCCCCACACACACACACCCCCACACACCCCCACACCCCCCCCCCCACACACACACACACACACACACCCACACACACACACCCCCACACACACACACACACACACACCCACACACACCCCACACACACACCCCCACCCCACACCCCCACACACACACCCCCACACACACACCCCCACCCACGCACCCCTCCACACACACACCCCCACACACACACCCCCACACACCCCACCACACACACACACACACCCCCACACACACCCCCCCCACACACACCCCCCCACACCCCCACCACCCCCCACACACACACCCCACACACACACCCCACACACACACCACACCACACACACCCCCCACACACACAACCCCCCCCCACACACACCCACACACACACACACCCCACCACACCCCCACACTCTAACCGCCCCCCACACACACATTTGGTTGGGGGGGAATTACCTGTAAAAGCCTCGAGAAGCGCCTCCTCCCCCTCCGCGCCCTCTCGCTCTCTCGGGCCCACGTGATCCTCACGGCGAGCCCCGCCCTCGGCGCCTGCGCACTAGTGCCAACCACACCTCCGCCCCTCCCCCAACTACAGCCCCACACCCCCACACTCCCCCCACTCCAACCCCCCCACTAACCCCCCCCACACACCCTAACCCCCCCCACAATGACACCCCCCCACTCTAACCTCCCCCCACTAACCCCCCCACAACCCCACACTCCCCCCGACTCCAACCCCCACACACCCTAAACCCCCCCACACTCTACACCCCCCCCACAATCCAACCCCCCCACACACCAATTCCCCCTACACTCCCCCCACTCCCGCCCCACACTAACCCCCTCCACACTCTAACCTCCCCACTAACCCCCTCCACACTCTAACCCCCCCCACAATCCAACCCCCCCACACCCTAAACCCCCCCCCACACTCTAACCGCCCCCCACACACACATTTGGTTGGGGGGGAATTACCTGCAAATGCCACGAGAAGCCGCCCCTCCCCCTCCGCGCCCTCTCGTTCTCGGACCCACGTGATCCTCACGGCGAGCCCCACCCTCGGCGCCTGCGCACTAGCGCCAACCACACCTCCACCCCTCCCCCAACTACAGTAGGGTGGGGGGGGTTGGGGGGTGTTGGGGGAGACGGGGTTAACTCGGGGTCTTTTCAGGACTGGGTTTGTTCCAAAGTAACACACCCGACTGCGCTGATGTTGTGCTGTTACCTGAGCCAACAGGACCACAGCTTCACGGTGATGGCAATAGTGATGGAGATGGCGACAGTGATGGAGATGGCGATAGTGATGGCGATAGTGATAGTGATGGAGATGGAGATGGTGATAGTGATGGTGATGGAGATAGTGATAGTGATGGAGATGGCGATGGAGATGGCAACAGTGATGGAGATGGCGATAGTGATGGCGATAGTGATAGTGATGGTGATGGAGATGGTGATAGTGATGGTTATGGTGATGTCAGACCAGCTCTGGCTCATTTAGTCAAACACACGTTGGAGCAGGTCTGGGATTCTGTCCACAGGCACCTGTTTACCTGTAAACCAAAGTCATAACAATTATGGTGGTCTTAGCTGACAAGTAGCTTCATAATGGTAAACTACACAGATTTAACAGTATATTATTATTATTATCCACTTTGGGCCCAAAGCCTTTGCTCTCACCAACCCCTGATAAACTCTCCATTAGTTAAGCATCTTTTCTGTGATGAAACTGGCACTTCATACCAGACAAATGGAAACATGCATTTGGGGAACTCTCCATGGTTTGGTTCAGACACTTATTCCCAGAAACACAATTCTGCTTGAAAACCTACATTGTAGGTAATGCTCATCAACAGTAATCCTCACACACTACTTTCTGCATTGTCAGTGTGGCTGGGAAATCTTCTGCAAGTGGTTTGACTATTGTTACTTAGCATTGTCTTTTGTGTAATATAGATAGCAGTTTAATTGAAAGTTAAATTAATTAGTCATAACATGTGTTTATATATCTTAATATAATTGGTTTAAAGTAACTTCATGAAAGTAACTCCAAAATATCCATTTGATAAGATCACTAATTGTTTCACTTTCATATTATTTACTGTTCACTTGTTTCATCTATTAGTAAATACAATATCTAAAGCAGTGTTATCAAAACACATTAAAAGTGCTTCGTATAATGAGCCACTTTGATGTGTACTGACAATTGTACACAAATGTGGCAGTTAATCTGTGGCAGTAATCCCATCAACAACCATGAAGTGAATGATCAAGTGAATGAACAAATGTCAATTTTGATGAGGGAGGAATTTTCACCAGGAGAACCTGGCTTCTCTTCAATGACATTGTTCAATGGGAATTTATATTATAGCATTGTGTCTACCAATTTTGAAGAGTTTGGCTTTAGAAATTAAATTCCAAAGATTTATTCTAGCTAAATGTTGATTTCTCTCAATGCAGTTCTTACAAAACCTTAATATTGCAGATGTGATTTAAATGTGATTTAAAAAAATCTCAGGTGTTTATCTGAAATTTGTGTGAATGCCAAACAAAATAAAGCTGCTTAATCCAGTCTTCAGTTTGCTGAAACAGGAATCAAGAAACAATGGTCAAACACTGTAATACTTATCATATACATTATATAGCAATTTAGATATTAAACCACATTAAAATAACAGGAGGCTGAGACATTACATGAAGGATTCAGCCCAATGACATGCCTCAGTTATAGCTGCCTTGTTGGCAGGTTGTTTTAGTATCTGTGGAAGTGAGTCCAATATTAGAAAGAATTAAACAACATTAAAACTCTAGGTAGGGGTAAAATACATTTCTGCAATGTTAGACCAGACTCAAATCCCTTAATGTGGCAATATTATTATTAAATTGTCATATATTATATTAACATAATATTTTTAGCTTCTAAGAAAATGAGTTACCATAGACCTTGGTACTATGTTGAGCTTCATATAGTCATCTTAATGAACTGCCATTAACATTCTGATGTCATCTTAATCTTTGACTTAAGGGTACATTTTTTAAATAAATCCATTACTTGTCCCAATGCTATACTGTACTTTTTATCCCACGTACCATTTATTCTCAAAATACGCTCATGTTCACTTACAATACCTGAAAGAAATTGAACTTTTAATTTACAGAATTATCTACAGTGGACCCCATAATGCAGGAAGAGAATTTTGAGAAATCAAAACAAATAGAAAACTGGATTGGAAAACACCCTTTTATTATGTCCGTGCCACACATACTAGTGAAAAATAATGCTCCTACAAAAAGAAAGCTACCCTTTTTCACAACATATTTAAATAAAATAACTTCAAGTACTTTGACTCAGGTACAAAAATTTCTGATCTGAGCTGCCTCCAACAGGCCACCGCAACACACAGTAGTTAAACACAGTGGTTACAAAGAGCCAATGTGTACCAAGTTCTGTGGCAAGGCAGATGGAGGGAAATGCATTATGAAAAATACTGTGTATAGGAAATTGTTTTAATTTATTGTATGGATACAAATGATTATATTGGAATTTGAGACCACAGTGGCTCAAAAAATTATATAACAAAAATAGAAAATGGAAAACCTAATATCCCCTACACCCTGTTTAAAGGCAGGCACTACCCAATGTTAGGAGACTCCACAGTGTTTGTAGAGGATATGTACAAGCCATTTACGTATAATAATCTTAAGACTGAAATAAAATGCTACGGTTATTCTAAGGCATAACAATATTCAATATCTGCAAACAATATGTACACATCATACATATTTGAACAAGACTTAATTAATATTAACATTAATGAACAATTATATACAGATGTTTCTTTGTTGCTCCACTGATCTGCAATGTATTTTGAGACTAAAGCAGGTGGTGCATTGATGAGCAGATTTTGAAGTTTGTGTCTACAGTAACAACAGGCTCTCCAGTGCCCTTCCCGGACAGAACAGTGTAAACAGTTATCAATTGGCTTGGTTTTATTATTTAAAAACATTCGTTGTTTTGTTTCCTTGAAGATTTAAAGCAATTTGCTGTCTCTTCCTTTTCATAGAAAATGAAGACTCGACATTTTTCATTCATAAATTAACAAAAATTAAATACATTCACTAAAATATAACCTACAAAGTCAAAAAAAATTCAAGATTTTTTCCATTTACTTCCATGTATATATTTTTTTTTACAAGAGGGAGAGGATTTCCAGTCCCCCCTTACAGCTCTGGTGGTTGTATATTAATTCAGTGCGATTTGAATTATTGGTTGCTATTGCACTAGGACCACCCTATGCCACTGAACTCTTTGGGTGTGCTTCCCTGTTCTACCGAAGCTGTCCATTAAACATTTCCATAGTCCAGGAGCTATGGCCTCCAAAGGAGCAAGACCTTTGTTTCTAGAATAATCCTTGGCTGGACGTTTCCACATGTTAAGAATTAATGCAGTGTCGAGTTCAATTGTGCAAATGATCTTGCACCTCCCTACAGATGTAAAGACACTAGTATGTCAGGCTGCTGGTTCCAATGTCTTTCTGATTTATTTTGTATTTATGATAACTTTAGCTTCCATTGAAAAGTTCAGCCCATCGTTTCTCAAAAAATTTCCTCATGTTATGGCCAGCTCTGCCTATGTCGGAGTCATCTTCATTAAATGTTTCACAGTTGTCAAAAACTAGTCTGGCATCTGCAGCAAATACTTCCGTGTTGGGGTATCTGGAAAACAATGTAAAGTTTAGGAATTAGTATAATAGTTAAAAAATGAAATCAGTATATTTATGCTTTTGGATGTTTACATCATCAATAAACGTTCAGAATACTCACAGTCCATTGCTGAGTTTTTCTCTAATAACAGAGAAGTCCATTGGTTTCTTTATCACCTTCCTGTAGCCGGGCACCAGCTTGGAGTTCACAGGGAGCAGAAAGGGCCATGAATCTTCATGGGTTTCCAGTTCTGATAACATCACGCTGCACAAGCAAAGGTAAAGTTTTTCTGAACTTACATGAAATTATAGCATTTAAAATATATATATTTTGATGAATCCAAGAAGCACTTGGGGTTGGGGGGGGCAGATTTGTTGATTTCATATTATAATAAAGAGATTGGACTGTTTTATTAAACAAAGTTATAACAAACAATCATATCCATGAAATTGAGGTAGAAATTTTAAATAATAATCCCTGCATTTAATACAGCGCCTACCACATCTTCGTGACGTCTTAAAGAGCTTCACGGAATATACTGTAAAGTTAATTGTATATTTTGTGTGCGAAAGACGGCAGCTAATTGCGCACAGCAGTGTCCCACAAACAATCGTGGATTGAGTGACCAAATTATTATTATTTATTTTAGTTTTTTTGAACATATTACTCCCGGAAAAGTGATCCGCCAATTGACTAACAACTGGGTTCCTACTCACTGCTAGGTAAACAGAGGCATGTGGAGTAAGGAAACTTGCCTAATGTTTCGCCCTGATCCACCCAGGATAGTTATTCATACCTGCAAAGAGGCAAATCCTTGCTATTATCTTTTAAGATTTTCCACTTCTTGGTAAGTGATGGACCTTCTTGTTTTGGTGAAGTCACAGATGGACTGTCATCTATCTTGCGTTTCTTGGGCTCTTTACCTCCCTTCTTTGGGGTGCTGCTTGTACTCGCTGTGTCTTCCTCATCACTGACTCCAGCTCCTGATAACCTCCTACTCTTTTTCTGTTCAAGACACTTTTTTGGACGATTTATAATCTTTTTACTCCGGGGAGATTGACCACTTGCCTATAGAGAGAAGAAATATTGCTCATTTTGGACAAATCACGATGGCAAGAATTACATAGTTTCATCCACAAAAATTACATGCATAATTTCATATAAAACTATATAATTGATCACGAGCACTTAGTTTGACGTTGCAGAACTGAGCCAACTATTCGATGACGACCCCCATAGTGTTTATTTATTGCAAAGATACGTCCTTTAAAAAACATGATATTAAGTCTAAAGCTCAAAATGAAGGGATAGCAGGTTTGTGGAACCCTAATCTGCTGCTTTGCTGAACAGTAACTTAACTGTTTAAAAATGTCAGTTAACAGAAAACATTTTTACAATTGATTAATTATAAAATACATAATTGAACTAAATATTGTTTATGTTAAAGTCTACCTTAGAAATGCAGGCAGGACAAAACCAGTCGCCATCGGGAATGGCTGTGATCTTGGGCCGATGGCAGTAAGTGTGACATCCTTTGTCACAACCATCACAAAGCAGAAGCAACTCTTCATTATCCCCTTTGCGACATATCTGGCAGTACTGAGAGAAGGCAAAAAGAGCTAAGTACTGTACTGAAACTTGATTAGATAATCCTGTACCAAACAGAAGGCTAATGGAATGTTCCAGTATCTAACAGGTAAATGTGGGATTTTTTGTAATTTGAAAATGAACATGAACAAATATTGCCCATGATCAAAATATACCAATCCCCATCAGGAATCTGGTTGCTGGCTGTTATTTGATTACTATTGGAACCAATCATTTAAACGTGGTTCTCCTCAAAAGGGCATGTTGTTGCCTGGTCTGATAATGGGCTCGAGTTCTGTCCAGCACAATCACAATCATTACTGACCAGAGCTGCATTGACTGATCCTCTTTCTTAAATGTGCAACATGTGGAGTCCTGTAGCTCAGTGGTTAGAGCACTCGCTTTGCAAGTGAGAGACCTGAGTTCAATTCCAGGCAGAGGGCGAAACCTTGGGCAAGTTTCCTTACTCCACACAGAGCCTAATAATAATCCCTCCAAAACCAAAAACAATAATAAATTGGTCATTTTCAATCTACGGCTGTTTGTGGGACATTGCTGTGCGCAATTGGCTGCCGCGTTCGCCCACAAATATACAGTCAATTCACTTTACAGTGTGTTCTGTGAAGCGCTTTGGGACGTCCTCCCGACGTGAAAAGCGCTATATCAAATGCAAGGATTATTATTATTATAACATCAGATCATAATCTAATAGGGTGTAGGTTGAGAAAAATAAATAGAAGTAGAAGTTAAATGGGTTTACTAATGGGAGGTTGGTGTATATATATATATATATTATATATATATTTACATTTATCAGGGGGAAAACAGTACTTACAACTTTCATAATGGATTTCTCCCAAGCTATTGCCTTCTCTAGCTGTTGAAGGCACATTGCTACCTGAGCTGCACTCTGTGCTTGAGACAAGGCTTTACGCCACATTTTTAATCCAGGGGCAATGTCTTCATCATTTCTGTGGGACATAAAAGGAAACTAGCAGTTAAAAATCTTCAGTTTAATTTGTCGAGACGATTTTTATCAAGTTAAATAAATATCACATAAAGCCAATCAATCAGTCTTTAAACAGCAGTGTGCACAGCCACTAAAGAGTTGATGACATTTTAGGCATTTGAACTTCCCTATCGCACTGTGGTAACATTCCTTAAAGCTAATACAGAATCAGTATCACGTAGGACATTCCTGCAGACAAAACATCCACAGTAAAAGAAGTCTCTACAAAGCACCATGCAGATACAGAATGATCCACTCGGATCACACTCACACACAAGAAACAAGGGGGAAACAGGCAAGAAAAAAAAGGCTCCAATTAGCAGAGAAGCACAATAATTTTCCAAGTTAATCTCGATAACCTACCCATCACCATCACCAGTATTGGATGGTGCAGGAGCAGGAACTGTAACTGTGCCCACATTATCCAGTTTGATCTGAATGGTGGTACTTAAGGGGCTCTTCAGATACCTTCTCTCTATGTTCTTCTCCAAATCAGTCAGCCTTGTTACAGCTATATCTAGTGGGTTGCCGTCTCGTCGATCTATAATCTGGTCAGTGTCCTCATCGTCTTGCCCAATGCGTTCTCCCTCACCCTCAGTCTGTTCCTTTTCAAAAGGTTTGTGTTCATAGTAAACCAGGTCATCCCTGTCTGAAGCAGGCTCTGGACAAACCCATCCCTGTGGACAAAAATACATCATTCATTGTTTTTAAAATATACTTTTCCCTCCAATTTGTTTCTCCTCTCTTGGAGGTGATGCCTTCATGGGGTAGGATCTATTGGCAGCATCATCCCTGTGGGACCCTGTAGCTGGCCTTCTCTATGAAGCTGGAGAATGAGCTCTCACAGGCTGTTTAACAAGAGAAGGAGAAAGAAAAAATGCGGTCCATCACAACCAAACTCAATCGAATCCGTAAACATATGTTTGTCCAGTTGCAGAAAATGATCAATAGCAGCAATCGTTCATAGTCTGGGAAGCTAAGCACAAATCACCATCTTTAACTGAGGAGCATCTCAGAACAAACCCAGCAGAGGCCAAAGATCACACCTAGAATGTTCTGGTATTTATAGCTCAATCCTGCACCACCTGTATGTGTTACATTGGGGCCTTGCTATAATGTGGCAATTAAAATATTTAAAACCCTAGTGCCTGAGAGCTGAAGTTATTGGGCTTCCAGATCATCAGGGCAACATAACTTTGCTTCCTTTTGTTGTGCATGTGTGAAGCAAGTAACGTGAGTTAAGAATCTTATTAACTTAAACCATCATTTTGAAATATATCAATTATCTGTGTGACTTTATTTTCCTAAACAAGTCCATTTTGGTGGTTTCGGAAAGCGTTTGGACTTATTACACACTATTCCTGACTGATTCAAATTAGACCCCTACCTTGATCTGCAGACTTGCTGAAGCCACCTTCCTTTCCAGTTCTTCAACTTGCTGGAGAATAGCGAGATCAATTTCAAACGATTGATCCTCTACTGACCAGTTATGCACAGCTTCATCAGTAACCTGGTTTTCTTCATCATCATCTTCATTTAGTTCAAATATGATTACTAAAAGAGAAATAATTACAAGTATAATTTTGTTATCCACATTTTCCTGTTGAAAATGGAGGATAATAATAATAATCCTTGCATTTGATACAGCGCCTTATATCTTCAAGACATCTCAAAGCGCTTCACAGAATATAATGCAAAGTGTATTTTGTGGGCGAAATGCAACAGCCAATTGCGCACAACAGTGTCACACAAACAGTCATGGATTGAGTGACCACATTTTTTTAAAATGGATTATTACCTCTGGAAAAGTGATCCACCAATTGACTATCAACCAGGTTCCTACTTACTGCTAGGTAAACAGAGGTAATGAAATTTCCCTTAGGTTTCGTCCTGCCCGGGAATCGAACCCAGTACCTTTTGCTTGCAAGGCAAGTGGTGCAAGCTACAGAACTCCACTGTGCTGCAATGTGATATGTTCTATTGTTACAATGCAATTGAATGAGCTTAATAAAACAAATATTTATTATTCAAATATGCACTGAACTGTGGTTTTGACACTCACCATCCTTGTTTTTGATGCAGGCTTGACTGATGTAATCCATGTGCTTTTGAAGCTGTTTCTGCAAAGCCTTTTCTCTGATTCCCCTGAGATGAAGCACTTTAAACAGAGTCTTCAGCTCCTCCAGGTCAGTAATTCGCCACCAGCCACGTTGCATTTCTTAAGAAAGAAAAAATACACTAAATACATGATGTATTTCTTGCCCCGTGTTACTAAAATGTTATTGGATATCTGTGGAGTGTCTGAGTTGCTTGGAGGGCAGATCTCCTAGGATGCAAGTTTTAAATTTAAATGCAAATGTCTTACAGTTGAAGTCCAATTCTTAACATATCAAAATTTTACTTTTTATTAATTTCTAGACGAGTCCTCAAGTGTTGACAGTCTAAATAACTTATGTTGAGAAAATCTTACAAGAAAATTGTATTATTTCACTTACCTTCTGGAATAGGCCTTGGACTGGGATAATCAACTGGTTTTCCTACTTCAACTGCAGAGGAAGGTACACTGTTTTGGAGCTTCTCGTTTTGTGGTGCTGGTGATTCACTTGCAGGAATGCTAGGTAGCAGGAAAGGATTACCATTTCCTTCCATTAATCCAAACCCTGCACCCAGGTTAGGCAGTGGTGAGGAAAAGGCAAGATTTGGGTTAAGCACTCCAGTTGGCCATCCACAAAATGAAATTCCCATTAGAGGTAACCCTGATTTCATCTGAAAACAAGAGCAAGGAAGGAAAGAGACAAAAATGACAGCATTAGCACATTTAAAGATAGAATACTATACAGTATACGTTACAGCGTTTAACAAGAAATCCAAGTTTAGTAAACAATGTTTTTTTAAAAAATGGCAAAATACAGAAATGTTGGAAAGAAGCCAGGAAAAAATGGGCAAGAAAATCACAAAATACTTTTAAATTTGGTGACAAAACTCCACAAGTAACAGAGTTATCTATTGTCTTGTGAATATGTATGGAGTGTGAGAAAGAGTGCAGTGACCAGAAATTACAGGAAATCCTAGTAATGGTCAGATAAAGCCTGTCATCAGCAAGGATATGGGAACAGATCTCTCAGCCATGAGACATATAGAGTTTAGGGCAACCTATAATTGCAGACAAAGGAGGTGAAACAAACGTGAACATCGGGAGATAGCCCGTAATGGTACAGTGGATAGATAATAGTTATAATCCTTGCATTGATATAGCGCCTTATCATGTCTTTGAGACGTCTCAAAGTGCTTCACAGAATATACTGTAAAGTGAATCAACTGTATATTTTGTGGGCGAAATGTGGCAGCCAATTGTGTACAGCAGCGTCCCACAAACAGTCGTGAATTGAGTGACCAATTTATTATTTTTTTGAAGAAATTATTAACCCCAGAAAAGCAATCCGCCAACCAACTAACAATCAGGTTCCTACTTCCTGCTAGGTAAACAGAGCGTGTGGAGTAAGGAAACTTATCCAACATTTCGCCCTGTCAGGAAATGGACCCAGGTCTCTTGCTTGCGAGGTGAGTGCTGTAACAACTGAGCTACAGGATTGATCTGCAGCTAAAGGACCTGATTGTTTGAATCCTGATTGGTGCTGAATTTGCTGATCTCGGTTAGGGGAAGGCTAAATTGGCTTCTGCAAGAACAGGTTAGTGCTAATCAGAAGGCAATTCCTTTACTCTTCGAAAGACATTTTTCAAAGCTACCATTGGGCAAAGTATTGGAAGCAGGCACTTAGCTGCTCTCTGTGAAGATTTATCGATGGCACCAATCAATGTAAGAGAATGGAAAGACAATACAGCAGAAAGCTATCGTAACCCGGAAATTAGGGTCTACAAAATTGCAACATGGTGACAGATCACATGACCAATGATGTACTGCACAGAAAACTTGGGTCAAATGCTCTCTTTGCACTGACATGATATGATGTAAAGAGGAAAGTNGGGGGGGCGGTCAGGTGTTCACTTTGAAGCAATGATATGAACTGCATTGTTAACAAAATGTTAGGGTCTTTAGCTGAAGACAAGCCAATTACATTATAAGCGAATCAGCTCATACTTAACAGGGTTCAATTGTACATTCCTTTTATATCATCTTGGTAACCAGTAAAGAAAAACATACTAAAAGAACAAATACCAATATTTGCTAATCTTGATAAATTAATCACTTTTAGTTACTTGTAGTTTATATAACAATAACCAACTTAAAAAGTGCTCAATGAAGGAAAAAATACACACCTGTAGAGCTGATAATGCAAAGGGATTCAGAGCCATTGCGTTCTGTAGGGACGCTGAACCCATTAGTGGAGAAGAAGATGAAGACTGAGAATTAAATTGAGATTGTGCCAATTGTTGAGAGGAAGTCGGAGGCACATTTGTACAGGTGACGGAAGATTCATCACAAGGCATTCTTGGTAGGAGGCTGAACCACTGTCCACCTTTCTCTGTGAGTACCTTTAGCAATTGATCATTTGGAAGTAGAGGTGAGTTGTAGAGCTTCCCTGGCCCACTTACCATTGGGCTAAAGAGATTTGCAGGAGAGTCTATTTTTCCTGAATTCCCTGAAGAAGTTGAAAGCTGTGAACTAGAGTTTTGCGAGATACAGTGACGAGGAGGCGATGAAGTTGGTGTGGCATTTACGTGTTGTTTCTGATTCACAAAATCAGATTCCGGAGGCATTTTCGCTACCTCTAACAGCTTACTCAGTTTAGAAAAAGAACCTGGCTTTTGCAAGAACAGGTTAGTGCTAATTTTCTCTTTTGAATCATTTTTGCACAAATCACCGCTGTTAGTTGCTGAACAGGAATTGTTCATTTTTTCTTCAGGTGTCTCAGGAGGTTCTTCCTTAATCTGTACACTTTCTCCGTTTCTCAGTTTTTCTCTCTCTCCATTTCTCAGTTTTTCTCTTTCTTTCGCCACCTCTTCAGGACCTGACAATAATAAACCAGGTTGACTGAAAATCAAAACGCAGGGACTTGGAATCACATAGTATAAGGTGATAAGACACTCCAGTGCAGCGCTGGGGGAGTGCTGCATTGTTGGGACGTGCTGCCCTTCGGATGAGATCCCATCTGCCAGTCCGGGTGGATGTTAAAGATCCAATAGCATAATTTGAAAAGAGAAGGGAGTTTCTCCCGGTGTCCTGGCCAACAATCCCCCAAATAACTTCACTCCATGACTCTTTGTGGGGCACTGCTGTGAGCAATTAGCTGCCGCGATTCGCCCACAAAATACACAGGCAAATTATTTTTGCAGTATATATTCTGAGAAGTGCTTTGAGATGTCTCAGTGTCTTAACTGGAGACAATAAATTGCATTTATATAGTGAGTGCTTAGGGTTTGGGTCAGCATCATAGAGCACTTAACAGAGACCTAGCTCAACCCTGGGGCGTGAGGGAGAAGTTAACCAAAGGCACCGTTGAAGAGGAAAGTTTTCAGGTGATTTGAAGACAGGTGGAGAGGGAGCAAGACAGAGGGATTAAGACAGGGCATTACAGAGATCAGGGCATAGTCTCATGATACAGAATGATACAGATATCTTGCCTAACTGAAGGATCGAATCCTTACTTAAAAATTTAAATTTACACAAAACATTTTTGCTGCTTTTACCTTCTGCACTTTCCAGGCCTTCAACAAACAGCCCTCCACATTGTGGTAGGACCCAGTACCTCCGCTTGTAACGATCCTGGCCAAACGTCATTGCACGCAGTGAATGAGATGCTTCAAACAACTTCTTCCGGTACTGACTTTGTTGCTATTCAGATGAAACATCAGTGGTCAGACAACTGAATGTCAACATTGATGGGAATTAAGCCATTGTGTGGGGTCTAGTGATCCCTTCAGTCAATTTCATAACAAAAACTTGAACTTATATAGGGTCCTCCCCGCAGGGGAGCATCTCAGAGCACTACAAATAAGTTCAGAACATTTTGGGGAGAAAGACATGCTGTAAAATATCCTAAACAAAAAAAGCATCATCACTACTAATTACAAATTACAACAGCAACAAATTGCATATATAAAGCGTCCTTCAAGTTGTTGTCTCGATACCGTGGACCACTCCATCCTCCTCCAACGCCTCTCACCTTAACCTTCAAGGCTCTGTCATTGAATGGTTCAGGTCTTATCTCTCATACCATCTCCAACTTATCTCCGCCAGCGGTTTCTCTTCAAAGCCCCACACCTTCTTGTGCGGCGTTCCTCAGGGCTCTGTCCTTGGTCCCCCTTCTTCAATCTCTACATGCTCTCCCTTGGTGACATCATCTGCAGACATGGGGCCAACTTCCACATGTATGCGGATGACACCCAACTCTATCTCTCTGCCTCCACCCGCGACTCCAGGACAACTGACGCTCGGGTCCTGTTCCCCGACTGTTCAGCGCCTTGGGACTTCCCCCTGATGTGAAAGACGCTTTACAAATGTAATTTTGTTGCTTTTCTCCCCATCAAGAAATGAGGTACTGAAATAAATATTAGATGTTGCCGATTAGCAGGAGATTTGTCCCAACATTCACTCATTTTTGTGCACCTTCTTCAAACAATTGAATGACAAGCAGAGTTGATATTCAGTTCATATGAGCAATGTGATTAATGAATCTTACAATTTGAATTTAAATAGAAATATGCATTCAAAAATGCATTGCTGAAGCACGTCCAGTAGTTTGAGCAGAAGATTGAAGTCTTCTTAATTAACATGAAAATTTAGATGGCTGCCGTTACAAGGCAAGATAGTGTGGGAATGGGTGAAGAGAGTAGGAAAAGCATTCCTGGCCAACACAGTTCACTTGCCACAAAGACATTCTTAGATTAAAATCTTCCACATCAATCGAACAGTGGGGGCAAGCGATCAGCAAGAAGATTGGGGGGGGCGAAAGAGGCATTTATTAGAGCAGCATGAAAGAAAGCACAATAAATAATACAAAATTTAAATGGAGGTTGAAGAAAAATCATTTTACCTTAATCAATTTCTCTATCTGTTTTTCCAATTCCTCCACACTAGTTGACTGCTCTCCATCATCCTAGGAAGAAAATCCAGATAGGAGTTCTAATTACATTGTGCACAATGATTTACCGTATTTACCAAACAATTCGTCAATGTGGTTACTTCCAAATGAAATAGAATAAACCCTTTGCTAATATCATAGAATTACAGAATTTTATAGCACGCAAGGAAGCCATTTGGCTCATTGTGCCAGTCGTCTGAAAGGGCTGTCATTTACTCCACTTCCCTGCCCTTTCCCCATATCTTTTGTAGTGCGATATGTCGCAAAGCTTGTTACAAAATGCTACATTGCAAAACGCTTCCAAGTTGCTATTAAACTGGTTTTAACAGGTGCAGATTATCTGGGATATTGTAGGACTACCGGTTTCTCAGTAAATGATCAATTTAACAAAACACCTAAACTCAGGATCCATTATAACCAAAACCAGGGAGAACACAACGTGGCTCCCAGAACCACCATCTCTTGGTCACATTACCTCATCTTCAATGATTTCCAATTTTTTCCCTTTCTTATCTTCATCCTTTTCTTCCTCCTCCTCGTCATCATCCCCCTGATCGTCACTGTCATCATCGTCATCTTCATCATCATCACTGTCTCCACCTTTCCGTTTTCTCTTGCGGCCAGCAGTGGATGTACCCAGTGATCGCTGCTCCCCATTGCTGTCCACACTGCCCATCGTCTCCTTCTTACCAGTTCTCTTAGCGTGAATCATTTTAAGCCTAAAGACAATACACGTAAATGTTCAGCAACTTTTAGGTTGTGTAACAAACTATGCCAACATTTTCTTAAAACAGTTGAAGTGAATACATTTACATAAAACGTTACGTCACGCCCAGTTTGTGATTTGCACTATAAAGCTTCTTATTCCATGTCAGTTAATGTAGTGGAAGGAGTGCGTGCGAGTTCAAATTCTAACAACAACTTGCATTTGTATAGTGCCCTTCAGGCCAGATGGCGACTCAAATTCTAAGCAAGGTAAATATTTGATGGAGGTAGTTAAACTGAAATAATAATAATAATAATCCTTGCATTTTGTATACAGTCGTCTACAGTCGTAGATTGAAAATGACCAATTTATTATTGTTTTTGGTTTTGGAGGGATTATTATTAGGCTCTGTGTGGAGTAAGGAAACTTGCCCAAGGTTTCGCCCTCTGCCTGGAATTGAACTCGGGTCTCTCGCTTGCAAAGCGAGTGCTCTAACCACTGAGCTACAGGACTCCACTAATGACTCAGAGGTCATGGAAAGTCTAGAGAGTGGCCTGACAAAAGGTTAATGATTCCAGTAATATATTGGAGGTATAAGTGTAGTCCCATTTCAGCTGAAGCCCAAAGGAAATTATACACTTACTTGCGAAGCTTGCCTTCCACAATCCATTTGTCTCTTCTTAGATTGGACATGTGGTCAATGTTTTTATCAATTTCACTGCAAAAAACAGAAAAAATACTTTTGTTTTCCAAGTACTACAAAACAAACTAATGGTAATGGCAACCTAAGACAAATTTTATATGACATTTAAGTTAAAACACTTACTTCACCACAATTTTACTGCATGCAAGTTCATTAACCAAGAATGCAAGCACTGATGTTTTCTGAACCGGAGCATGTGCCTGGAAAGGTTTTGTTCTTAAACTTTCTGCAAACCGTGTTTGTCCATTATGAGCCTCCATATAAATCTGCAAAATTTCTGAAACATTGTCCCGGTTGATCTTGACATTGGTCACATGGTCTCCGAGAAAAGTCCTGACCTGGAAAATATTTTTTAAAAAATATATATTTTGAGTAGATTTACTTTGTCATTAACAGCAAAAATTCGTAACAGGCTACAGAAATAAACCCAAGTTGAGGATGTAGTCAGTTTATTCTCACCAACTGTGTCAATGATTAACCCTTTGGAGATTTAACTACATCTCTTAAAAGTCTTGCTTAAAAGTTAAACAAAATTAAAAGTTTGCTTCAACTGTTAAAACTAGTCTCTTCTTGCAATATTTTAGACAACCTCCAATGATATCCAGAATACAAATTATTTTTGTGCTTTTTTATTTTTGAGGTTTTGTTTTAGCTGATTAGACTCCAGCAGTTACGCCAATGTACACTCTGGGCTCCCCCAAATCTTGGCTCTTGCCAACCTGTGTCTAATAATCTCCGGAATTAGGTAAACAGGATGTGTCCCTCCAGACAAAGAGAGAGAGAGAGAGAAAACGTTTTCCATTCCAACAATCTAACTCTGGGATTTCAATGTGTAGGTGGGATGCGTGGAATTCTCAGCTTGGTTGGGACACTCGTAAGCACGGTGATGGGTTTCTGCATGTGTCAGACACCCGTTTGGCAAAAAAAAAAGTTCCTCTACATCCACTATTCAGAATTCATAAACCACTGGCAGACCATTAACTTTGAATACATATAAATTACACTATTTAATAAATTCATAATTTCCATAACACTCCGCACAAACTGTCACTATTTAATGGTATTATATTTTATTGTAAACTGTTTCACTGGATGAGGCAAGATAAATAAATTCAATATCAGCTATCATAGGAGTGGAAAACAAAACATACCGCATAAAGTGATCCATTGAAGAGAAAGACACTTATTTAAAAAAATCAATTAATTTAGAATAGGTATTTAAATCGATAATCAGCCAAGAGAATGAGCGCTCTTCAAATGTAATTTGTTGTTGATCCGTACCCTATATCCTGGAGGTAGTCCTGGGTCATGGATAGCAGCTGCCAATAGTTTCACCAACAAATCTTGGATTTCGCCCACACTGTCACCCACATTAACCAGTCCTTCTTGAAGCACATTCAGAGTTGGGACGTCAAGATTTAAATCGAAGCCAAGAACCTTGCCAAAGTTATGGAGAAACTGTACTATCATAAGGCAGTCAGCAAAGGCACCCCCGCACAACACAAGACCAGGAATGGGGTGAAACTCCGGCAAAGCCTAATAGACAATAGGAAAAGAATTTATGAAAATGTTACTGAACATTTAACAAAATTATAGTTCACCATATTTACCTTATTTCATCACATAAGCTGGTTGTAATAAACTTGTCCAAATGATTGTGGTCAGGTGAAAGGAAATTCTGATTCTCTTCCTTAGATTGTTGCACTTTCTCATTAAACTTGCAATTAATAAAAAAAAGTCGGGTCAAGCAGCCTACGCAAATTGCTGTGGCTGTGCTTAAAGGAAAGGCATTTTTAATCATTATTCACCAACGATAGTAACAAATCAAGATCCATGGTAAATTATAAACTCAGGTACAAAAAGATCATGTGGGGGAAAGGTGTCAAGTTGAAAGCCTCCGAACTATTGCAGATCATTGAGGAAAAACACGATACTGCAAACCATACCTGGAAACTGAAAAAGATTGTCAAAAGCTGTTGAGGACCCCTACCTTATGATCTGACAAACACATATCTTCATTGGGTTTCTTTAATTCCTTAGCCATTTGGAGTTCCAATTTCTTCTGCTCTAATTTCCGTTCTTTATTTAAACGTTTCTCCACCTTTTTTTCCTGCTTCAAGCGTTCCTTTTCCTTTGATTAGTAACAACAGGTTATTACATTTTAAATTGTACGTTTTCCTTTCCATGGTAGCTGTTACTATTCTTCAATCAGAAAGTAGATCATCTTAATATACTTTTAGTTTAACGTATTTAAAAAGTTCTGGCATTAAGGTTCCATTAATCCAATTTGTGTTGGTATTTAAAACTCTGATGCTGTTCCCCTGTAGTTTTTGTTTTAGAAACTGGATTCACATCATAATTATTCATTCCTGGTTACTGAACAATCAACAATGAAAAACAAAACAGTGGGAAACTCTCTTAAGCAGTCCTATTTTCAAAAGAACAGTTTCATTGATAAACAAAATTATTATAAACTTAATGCTAATTATAGTAATGATTCTCAAATCATTGAAATGGCAAGCAACTGTTCTCAAAGGACAGTAAGCGTTGTTAACAATTCCTCCTGTTGCAAATAAAAATATGGTACAGTTGTTCGACCCAATTGATTTATCATTGAGTGATTTAGCTCAACGAACCAACCTAATTAACTGGTATAAATATGTTGCCTGGGACTTGCTGCCAGGATCCATAATAGTAAACAAGCCACCATGTTATTTGGCAATTCTTAATAAACCAGTTATACAAAAGATTGATTTAATCTGGATCAATACAAAAAAACTCTACAGTACACTTCATGGTTTAACATAATTCCAGTTTTAAGATATACGTTCAGCTTAAGGTAAGCAGTGCGAGTCCACCTTGAGGAGCATATCTGCAAACAACGGGAAGACGTCCCAAGGTGTTGGACATTCAAGGGTTTGCATCTGAACTGGGGGTTGGATGGTGGCCAAGGGGATGGGAAGATGACCAAATGCACGGTCAAACAGGCAAACTCTGAAGGAGATGAGGATAGAAGCGAGGCAAAGGGACTCCAGGATAAAGTTGCAGAGAGCAGGGGCAGAAAGTCTGAAGGCCCAACCACTGATGCAATACACAATACCGAGCTAGTGGTACAAGAGCATGCTGCCATCTTACATTACCTGCAGGGTAATCCAGACTACACGCCTGCAGTGTAATCCAAACTACACGCCTGCAGTGTAATCCAGACTATACGCCTGCAGTGTAATCCAGACTATACGCCTGCAGTGTAATCCAGACTACACGCCTGCAGTGTAATCCAGACTACACGCCTGCAGTGTAATCCAGACTACACGCCTGCAGTGTAATCCAGACTATACGCCTGCAGTGTAATCCAGACTATACGCCTGCAGTGTAATATAGACTCTATACCTGCAGTGTAATATAGACTCTATACCTGCAATGTAATATAGACTCTATACCTGCAATGTAATACAGACTCTATACCTGCAGTGTAATATAGACTATACACCCGCAGTGTAATGTAGACTACATACCTGCAATGTAATATAGACTAAATACCTGCAATGTAATATAGACTATATACCTGCAATGTAATATAGACTATATACCTGCACAATGGATAATCATGCTTTCAAATAGTAAGAAATCATTTCCCATTTTTTCTGAATTTATAAAAAATGTCCAGAACAATATGATTTTAGTAGTTTTCTAGTATGTACAACATTAACGTTTGTTAATGTGTTGTTTTGCTTACTTCAGCCTTTTTCCGAGCTTCCATTGCTTTCATGAGCATCATATGTTGCCTTCTCCTCTCCTTTTCCTGGCAGAGTACAACATACATTTCAGGTTCAAGTCATTAAACTATAAATTATATGAAAATATTTTTTTGTTTGCTATATTTAGCATACGTTAGACAATAGTGAACGGTTTACAATAAAAACGGACAATGGCCAAGTTTGTGTACGTTTTAGTTGAGGATTAGGAAGTAACATGGACAATCAAAAGCAAAACAGAAAAAGCAACAGATGTAAAGACAGTGTAAAACAGAAGCATATGCTTTAAGTTATGTACATAGTTCTTGGAAAAGCAGAGCAAACCAATGCGATGCTTCTCCACAGCTGTCAAGTTTAAAGCGCAATGGTTGGCTTCAACAGGCTAATTACCTTACATCTGCTACAGACACAAACATTTAGTAAAAAGCCAATTTAAATTATCAGTTGTACGCAGCCAATTTCATATCAACGTATCTGTATATCTGTTAATTCCAAAATTAAAATCAGCCTTTCTGTACGACTACAGTACAGGGTTAAGATTCGTCTGACCCACATTCATTTTATTCCAGAAAATGTCACAATTTTAACCAATGCCAATGCTTATTTTCCAGCAAACGGAACGTTAGTGATTGACTGAGGACACAGCTGCAATGCGAGCAAACAATTGGAAAAGGGAGGCTCTAAGGATTTATAGGGGTTATTCTGTGTTACATAGAGAACCAAATACAGAAATCTTTCATGTATTATATAACGTTTATATAAAGTTTTAAATCACTAATATTTTAAAACCTTTTTTTACACTTGCCTGATTTTTTGTGGGGTGTAAGAGAACTGATTAAGTAAATTAAGAGATTTTCTTCCTGTTTCATAGAAAGTGTCTAGCGATGTTGTCTCCTCACTTTGTATTTAATACTTTGCTTTATATTAATATATTTCATAATATAAAAATACATCATCAGTATCAGTTAAAGACAACACATTTCTATGATTGTTCCCATAATCCTCAGATAATAATACCTGCATTTAATAAAGTATCTTATCACATTGTAGAAACATCTCAAAGAGCTGCACAGGCATTTTCTATCTCACAAACAGCCATGAAGTAAATGGCCAATTTTTTAACTGGAGGATTGTTGGACTGGACCCCAAGAGAAATTTTCTTCTCAAACAGGGCCAAGGTCTCTTTAACAGGATCTCAGTTTAACATCTCATCCGAAGTACGGCATCACAGCAATGTAGCACGTGACTGGAGTACTAGCCCTGGATTATGAGCTAAAGTACTGATGTGGGGCTTGAACTCACAGTCTGTGTTTTAGGTTTAAGAGACTGTCAGAGAGGTTAGTTTGTGCAGCACTTCACAGATGTGACATTATTAAGACCCATTCCAGTGGCATTATGAATGGAAGCGGCTTTGGGAACTCTAGTTGTAGTGTCTCATCAGAATGAATTCTGCACAATATGTCTGTTTTAAGGTGGTATTTGGTTTGCTGGAATGGCATATTACAGCAGGTTAAAGGAAATAAACTCTTAGAATGTGGGACAGGATAGCAGAAACTCAATCTATAAATTCAGAATTTATTAGATTGGGGATCTAAACTAGTTTTGAAGTGCCTTCTGTAAATGAGGTGAATCGGTCTTTTAGGGAGACTGCTAAAAGTTAGATGTTTCATATTTGTTGATTGACACAAGAACATGTTGTAATGACAGCAGATGTCAGCAATCACTGTGCTGGAAAGCCATGCAGAATATGTAGTATGACAGCAGCCAGTGCTACACTTTATGCGTTACTATGACAACCATATCACAACCAAATCACGATGCGGTGTTAGATGTACAAAAAACATACCCATACCATATCTAGTCTATGCCTCTCCAACTCCTGGTAGAAAGAGTTGGCACATTATTATGAAACAGTAATCACAATATCATAAAACCAGTTCATAATAAGAAAATGTATTTCCTGACATCCCCAATACAAAAGCCAATTACACTCCAGGAAAATAATATTACAATTAACAAAAGATAAAACTTGTAGTTTGAAAAAAATATTTAATTCCAAGCCAAACCCCACAGCTAAAGAAGAAACCGACAGTAAAGCAGAAACTAATTTAAAAAAAGAACAAGTTTTACCAACCTGATGTTTCAGGACGACAGCTTGTTGCCTTCTCAATTCCTTCTCCTTGAAAGGATAGAAAACAAAAACCTTGAAATGTATTATCTAAACACAAGTAATGAACTGATGGAATAAACAGCTTAATAATCCACAACTGACCACACCAGTATATATGTCCTATATCCCCTGACTGGCATAAAGCACAGGTCTTTGAAGAGAACAATTAACAGATGAAGTATCTTCAATGGTAGATTCAAATGACCTGCAAACATAAACCAAAAGACTGGACCGTCTTTTGATATTAAACTTACAATCAGATGGATCATGAACATAATTGTGCTGTACAACATCCTAAATTATTTGCTCCTTATATTAGGATCCTAATAAATATAAAGTCGCACAATGTCCCCTACATATATTTAATGCACTTAATTACAAATCTTCCTACATCCATTCAATTCACAAATTCAGAGGTCCATCAATTCACAAGTTCAGAGGTCCCTCTAAACTAACCTTGGTGCGTTTCTCGGCTTCCAATAATTTTGCATTTGCTGCTTCTTCCTTCTTTTTCCTCTTAGCCTGTGCATGCAAAACAGGTCTGGAGGTCATGCAAACAGCACTACTGGAACTTGATACAATCTCAAACTCTTAACAGCGTTACACACTACACAAGACAGCAACATTCAGAGTTAGCTGTTAAAAATGGTTTCTAAAGAACTTGTAAATTGGATTTAGAGACCATGAATATATCTAGTTCCTTAAATTGAAACATCAGAAATATCTATAAAACAAACCTTGTTCTACTTACTCATTATCATCAATTTAAATAGGGACAGAAGAGATTTTTTAAGGGCTATTCGAGAAATCATATTGGGACCAGAATGGTTGATCATAATCATGTCCAAACTAAAACAAAAGATGAGGAGTAAAATGGCTATGGGACTAAATTTAGTAATAAAGTGTGGACTGAGCTGACTTTATCTGAGACGCTATCTTACGTAGAGGGCACTATATAAGTGCGAGTTGTTGTGCCTCAACATGACCTACAATGAACAACATTCATTGTAGGTCATGTGGAGTCCTGTAGCTCAGTGGTTAGAGCACTCGCTTTGCAAGCGAGACTCCTGGGTTCAATTCCAGGCAGAGGGCGAAACCCTGGGCAAGTTTCCTTACCCCACACGCCTAATAATAATCCCTCCAAAACAAAACAATAATTGGTTATTTTCAATCCACGACTCTTTGTGGGACACTGCTGTGCTCAATTGGCTGCTGTGTTTCGCACACAAATATACGGTCAATTCACTTTACAGTCTATTCTGTGAAGCGCTTTGGGACGTCTAGAAGATGTGAAAAGCGCTATATCAAATGCAAGGATTATTATTATTATTATATTATTATTGCTTTATAATCTCATTAACATCTTGAAAATGACTTGCCTAAAAAAAATCATTCCAAAATCAACAGAATCGGTGAATTAATTTGAGCTTTAAACCACAATGGTGCCTAATTATTTTTAGAGTGCCAAGCAATCCTCTACACATTCTCTAGCTTTACTGTGTAAACGTTTTAGATTTGTTATTGATATGACAAATCAGAATATAGTAAATGGTGCATAGAATGTATTTTTAATATACAAATTAAGAAATTTAAATCTAAACCTCAAAATCAATGTACACAAATGTACTGGTAGATGATATAGTACAAATTTAAATGTCACAAAAACATCCTTGAAGAATTAGTGCCTTTTGCCCCCTTTGGCTAACCTGGTCTGGTTTATGAAAAGAAACACATCAAGCTTAAGCTATGAAAACCTTTCGCACACTTCCTGAAATGAACAAGAAAATAATACAAGAAAAATAAATTTGATCAACATAGAAAACCATGGATTCCTGGACAAATTGCAACTAATTTAAAACCAAAGTTGTCAATAATCAGTCACAGACTTTAATTGCGCATTCAGGAATCCTTCAATTAAACAAAGCTGCCTTTAAAAGTAAAGCATCTGAAATCTTGTCATGGACCCAATGTAAATTGAAGATTGCGTCAGCACAGCAACATGACCAGAATATCAATGAATATGGTCTGACATTATTGTGTTGTCAATTTAGCAAAAGCCGAGCTGACTATATTGCTGTACACTGAAGCAACTTTTATTTAATCTTATCAATGAAAAAGTTGCGGCAGCACTTTCCTAACAATTTCAAGTCACTTATACACATTAAGAAACATCAGAATATATGCAAGCTCTTAGGCTGTTTTACGATCAAAGTGGTTCTAAATAGATTGCTACACACAAGAAAATAAATGTGATGGATTAATCATAAATAATTAGACAGAGGCAGATTTCAGATATGCTGTTAAAGCTATTATTAATTATTATTAAGGTGGTTGAGGATAGAAGGTACTGCAAGATTGCAGCTAGATTTGAGGTTATTGATTGTCAGTACTGTAAAAGCATTCACTGGATTAACAGTCTTCACTTTTTATTGCCACTAAAACTGGATTTCATATTTGAGAAAATGGTTTAAATCAAGATGACCAACTAATGTAGTCTTTAGATTCTGGAATAGCCCTTATGCAAATAATGATTTAATACGCACAATAGAAACTCCGGCATACAATCAATATATTGAAATCTCTCAACACAGTCAATGTCACAAAGATTCTACCTCAAGAATTTGTTGAGCTCGGAGCTCCTTTTCCATTCTTATTTGCTGAATTCTTTTGATTTTTTCCTGAAAATAAACATAAAAGTATTACTTCATAAAACAATTGGAATGGAATTTAGCAGTATACCAGCAAACAATTTTAGTCCATTATATTCCAAGTTTAACCTCGCACTTTTCTTTAAATCAGATTTACTAAAAATAGACTCTTTCTAAAATAGTCAATTCACTTTTCTGTGAAGCTAAAATAGAAATGTTAGCAATTCAAGTAGGAAGACACAGCAAAAAGCTCAATCTGCCTATCACCCTTGAACACACCCATTGGCTGATTGAACAGCTTTTTACAAAGATCTATTCACAGGTTCGTTGCTTGCACAACTTCAGGGAATGGTGTGTGTGTTTGTGTGGTGTGTGTCGAGTGTGTGTCGTGTGTATGTGGTGGAAAATAGTGCAAAGCAAAATGAACAAAATTAGACTAAAATATGAATAAAAATGACAGAAATGTAAACTAATTTGGTCATTTTTAAATAACAGTGACATTTATTGTGGCAAATAAGTAGACTGAGATACCTGTTGCTTCATCATCTTTAGCTGTTCCTTTTGTTTCCGTTTTTCTTCTGCTGCCATTATTGCTGGGAAAAATAGATTTCCATTAAACGCAAGTTGATGAAGTAAATGTTACTTTTCTAATAAAGGAAATTGTAGACCTTTTGAGCGATTCCAATACAATTTATTTCAGTTTTTTTACCTTGTTGTTTCCTGGCTTCCTTAGCTGCTTGCACCATTGCTTGTTTTTCAAGTTTTTGCATCATCTTTATTTCCGCGGCTTTCCTTGCATACGCTGTGTACAACAACAACAAATTACATGACATTTACATGTGTATAAATCATAAGAGTTGATCAAGCAAATTATATTGGCAATGAAATGCAATGTCTCCAATTTAAAAAAATACTCTGACCTTGGGCTTCTAATTTTAGTAACAGTTTTTCATTACTGTTCTTTTGGAACTCAGGCCTGGCAACGTTTGGTGGTCGGCCTTTGCGACGTCTCAGTTTGGACTCCTCTCGGGCTCGCTGTTTCTCGGGGTTGGGGGGGCGACCTCTCCGCCCTTCCATTGCTTTGATTTTCGGAGAGATTTCCTCCTCTTGCAGATGGCACCACTGCAGACCCTGCAATACATTGTCCCCAATTATTTAAATCGGACTTCGAAATCTAGAAGATTACTACAAATTAAGAAAGTTTGCTGGGGTAAGTTTATTATAGTTTATTAACACCTGGATTACTCACTCACCTTTAGATGTATTTGTTTCATATACAATAAACAAACAGTAATTTCACAGAAAAAAAATCACTGGGGTGACTAGCGCTTCAAGCGATTTGCATCCTCTAACTGAGGATTTCCCTTTCCTGTGCCCATATAATGAACCTTAGAGTTTATTTTAAAATAGTAATCGGTTTACCATGCCCCCCCCCCCCCCCCCACCACCCACACAAAAGCTGATCTGTTAATTTCTAATAATAATAATTCTTGCATTTGATATGCCGTATCATGTCATTGAGACAAGATTCTTAGTAAATCCAGAACAAGTATTACATTGTCTTGGCCAATGTCATCAACTCTCTTCTATCTCTGCCTTGTTTTTTTTAAAAAAAACAAAGGACTATTATACATTGCTTTCACACACTTTTAAAATGAACTCGGAGCTGGCTGTATTTTGCCATATTATACACAAGTACACACTCACACAAAGTTCACAGGACATAGAAGAAAACTGACGTGTGGAAGTTGATGTTACAGGGGAAATGGTGTAGATAATATTCTCAGGTATTGTCAGGTCAGCTACAGCAGTATAGGCGTCAGCATCACAAGACCACATTTCTATTTGCTACATAGTTCATGTTTTTGTTTTTCTGAATGCACACTAATGAATCTTTATGTGAAATTGGCAAGAGGGGTTCAGTCTACCTATTCTTATTGTAAATAATCACAGACTACATCACCAACTCTGGTGAAGTTGGTGGTGTAGAAGTTAAAGCCTTAAAGAAACCAAAGGGAATTGCAAATAAAGATAAACATAGTAAACTTACTCATTACTTCTTGGAATGTTTTATGAGGGAGTACAGCAACAGAACTCTATCCAAAATCCAACCCATTTACCTGACCTCAACAACTGGTAACCAATAATCCCTGTGGAGCCAGTTAGAGCACTGACAAGATGTCTTCCAAACACTCAAATGTAAATTGGAATGTGTGGATTTGAAAAGAGAACTCAACATAAATTGAACATAAGATAGATGGCAATAATGCTCAAGATATAGAGATTCCAATATTTAAAGTGAAGTGGAATCAACTGGTTAATCCCAATATGGGACTGAAAAATGCACTTTCAATAATTCAATAAATGCATAGCAATAATTGGAACCAATTTGGCAAACAACTTCAGCACATTCCTCCTCCTTAACATGGTCAATGAGAGGAAGCAGAGTCTCGTCCCAGTGGGGAGTAGAATATAAAACATATTAGAAACTGTCATTTGATCTTACCTATAAGGTAAACTGGAAACAAAAGTAAAGGTTTGAAATCTGAAGAGTTCCTTCTATTGCACCCTTTGCATGTAGGCAACTGCACTACCCAATGGGCATTCTAACAGTAGTGGGCAGCCTCTAATATGGACCTGGTGTTATAGGAGCTCCATTGTTTGCATTAAACATGAGGAAAAGTAAATTGTGACTGGGAAAGGGAAGTCACAAATTTTCAAGGCTTGAATCTTTGAAGGAAAGGAATTCCAAGTAGATTCTTCCTTTTGTATTAGGGTTAGGTTTGGTAAACTTACCCAAGTTCTGACAAAGACAACTAAAGAAATGAATATCTTTTCATCTTCATGAATTAACAGGTTATTTATACATTAATTTTTCATCTATAATATCCATTTATAACTAGTGAAAAGTTTTCATCTAGTTTGATCAATAGTCTAATAGGACTTTGAAACATATTGCCATCAGTATCTGCTTCTCTCACATGCTATTGTCAGTATTCACTCACACTCATTCCTTGCCATGTTTATGCAAATTCTTGGAGATTTCCAGAAGAAAAATAATCACAGATTCACTGACTCTTGAATCATCAATTGCTAGTCAATATCTTCTTTGTATATCACATGTCAGTCATTGCTAACAAAGCTGGCGGAGTTTGTCCAATGTCTCAGTAGCTTATCCAGTGATTCGCTGAGCCATACAGACTGAGAAAGTCCCAAGTAAGTTACCTGGTCAATGCTAACCTGGGTTGCTGCATAAATAGCTTCAGTTCCCCATGAGAGAGAGGGGCCAAATCAGGCAGGGATCAAGCTCCTAATTACTATCCAGGAACCAACTGTTTGATCAGTCGATGACAGGATCTAATTTGGTTGTGATGCTAACAACCACTGTCAACCCTACATTCACAGAGGAATGTAGAGACTCAGAAAAGACCATTGCAATGTATCAGCTCATCCTAAGGTAGGAATAATGGGCAGGTGAGTGGGATATCAAAAGGGACCCGTTATCTATAGAATAGTACCATGACAGAAATTAAAAAAAATGTCAAATGCCTTCAGGAGAAAAATGATGAGAAGAAAACTGGTGAACAACTCATGTAAGAAATGTAAAACTAAATGTTATAAGATACTAATGACATTTTTATGTAGTTTGGTGTTAAACACATCTCTTTTGTCTTGAAGCTGGTGACTCACCTCGGGGGAGGCTTCAATTGTGCTACCTTGTCCAAGTAGACATTGTTAACATGTGCCTAGACAATATCCATTAGTTATTCAAATACAGGAGGCAATTATAATTTATCAGAAACCAACTGACACACAGAGGTCACTAGAGGGAAGATTGGTTGATTTTGCCCGCCCTAGTATAATCACAAACACTTATTGTTACTCTGACTGAGATTAGCTAACAGAACAAATCAAGGATTTGGGGTCTTCCTTATCTTCATGGTTCAGTCGGAAACCATGCAATGATTTACCCACTGAGCGACTGGAGGAAAACTGTCCAATTTTCTTCACCAATATCAGCTAAAGAGGAGTAACCGTAAATGATGCTTAACTACCTGTAATTCAAATAGATCTAGCAACATTACCTGAGGCCCATCTCTGGCTTCATAGAAGTCACCAACCTTCATTTTTGCACTGAAGCTAAAATTGTCCCTAGTGATGTCTGTTATTCCATTCCTGGTAAGGTACTACAGGAAAGAAATGTGTGCAGAGAATATTTACAAATCAACAGCAACTATTTTTCGCTAACTTCATACTATTGAACAAATGCTTTTAAAGCTACAGTACCCCAAAGAATTTAAAAATGATAATATGGGGTTCCATCTTTTGCTGATCGCTAACAATAACATCTTTTTGCTGTCTTCCGCAATAAAGGACCCAATGAAAAGATAACTATTTTAGTAATCAGCATAAGGGATCTCATATAATCATTTATTTTTATTAGAAGTAGTCTCATTCATTCCCAATTTGTCATTGCATACAATTAAAAGCACATCATTTTTGACAATACATTGAAAACAAGTAAACAAAACTCAGAATGTTGGTAACATTAATTTTTTGCAGAATGATAAAACAGAATATGTTAAACATTTTAGAATCTATAAACTATTAAAGCTCTTCAGTACATTTCAGATATATCAGGATCTGGGGACATGAGAACGTCAAAAAGTTCAGACGCCAACAGGTACCTTTATTACTTCAGGATACTGACGGAGTTTCTTCCCGCAAGGGGCATAATAAACCACCTCGCCCTGAAGGCGCCCAGCAGAGCTCCGGATTCTTGTCTCTCTCTGCCACCTAAACCAAAACAGACATTTAACACAAAGGGCAAATTATGACACTAATCAGTTTCTCAGTTTTACCCTAATTGTTTTCATTGCATTGATTGTACAGTCAATTCACTTTACAGTGTATTCTGTGAAGTGCTTTCAGACATCTCGATGATGTGATAAAGGCGCTGTATCAATTTCAAGGATTTTTTTTGAGTAAGGGAACATTTCATGTCATCTGTTGAACACGTATTGAGGCATTTCTACAGCCATATTCCCAACTTTCCCTACTAAATTAAATCAGTAAATATATCTCTGTCACAAGATTTTTCATTTCTACAGATCTGAAAACAAGTTTCCCATCTAATACCAAGACTATGAAATGTATTTAATGTTACATCAGAAAGAGGGCCGATTGCGGTTGGCCTCAACAACTGAAGAAAGAGAGGCCTGACTGAGCACTCCACAAGTTTCCAATCTTGTAACAATAAACCATTCCCTGCTCTGGGAGGAGACAAACTGAAAAGGCTTTTAGGCACAGTACTTTACAATGAAACTAACAGTCTGTGTTAAAGACAGACAGGTCACATCACAATATCCAGATGAATGGAATTGAGATGTTCAGTTGCAATATAAAGAAAAAAAGAACAACATTTTACAAATCAAATTACCCATATTCTAAGGGAATGCGTAGCTCTCGTTCATCTGTTACTCTCCTCCGTTTACTTGATCCTACAGAAATGAAAATCAGTATCAGATTGAAAAGTTATCAACAGACATTTAGTAACATGCTAAATTCTCACAGAACTATTCCACGAATTCCCTTGATTTAGCAACAAAAACAGTGAAATACCTACAGTAGATACTTCTGGCGATGACCCAAGCGAGGATCTCAGAGTAAATAGTAAACTATTTCTGGAATTCAGTGATTAATTCAATAACCATGTTTCCCGCACACCAAGGAATTTCACTTGATAATAGCTCTTGTTGAATATAATTTTTTTAAACCAGAAATAGAATTTTGATATGGTAATTAATTAAGTTAAAAACATCATAAAGCAAAAATTTTTGTCTAGGAAACTGAAAAAAAACAATATGAAGCATAAAATTGGGTGCCTTCTGAAGAATCAAAAATGCAATGAAAACTGATGCAAAAAGAGCAATTCAATTTAGATATCAGCAATTCTGACATTTTATGTCTCAAATTGAAATACCTAGAAAGGGTTTAAACGACAATGTTACATTTTTGGAGTCCTCTCACTTTAAGATTAGTTTAGAAAAAACGATCCATGACCAATATAAAACTCAGAATTACTCTCAATTCCCATTGTGCTATTGAGGGTTGACCCAAATAGCAAATGCTTTTGAGTTTACAGTTAAGCATTAGATCATGGATAATCAGACATACAGTTAGAGACAGTTGTTCCCAATCCAAATGTAGCTGATGAGGGCACCTCGCTGTTCTGTTCCTTTATAGTTGTACTTTATATGCAAATGCAATAATTATTCCAGCTGGCAACATGAAACACAGAGATGCATCTATAAAAGTACAAAAAACTACAGCTTTGCAATCTGCCATTCTATTTATAAAGAACTAAGCACCTAAAATAAAATCTTTCGAATGTTTTGACATTTAATTTGCAGCACGCTGGTGCAAAAGGAAAAAAGTAAATTTGAACCAAAACGCCTATGCTGTACGTTCATAAACAACAAGAACAGGAAGATAAATATTACCAGATGGAGTCGGTGTATCATACGAAGATGATGCAGAGCCAGTGTAAGTGAGCAATGTGGGGCCAGGGGCCAGCGAAGCCGGTGCGGAGTTTGGGGGTTTCAGTGTGTGGTTAACGGGGGTCGACGCTGACTGACTGGAGGAACTGTGACATGAAGGAGCAGTTTTGTTAAGTTTCTGGGGAGTTTTTTCTCCTTCTGTATCCGTTTCAGTCTCGTCTTGTTCTTTATCCTCTTCTTCAGATCCATCAGTCTCAGTCTCGGAATCACTGTTAGCTTCTACATTTTGGCAAGTTTCGGTGGGGGAGGAGAAAAAAAAACAGTATGTTCCAGTGAGAATTCTGTACTTAGCCTTAAAAATAATACTTATTTGGATTGCCTGACAAAAAGATTAAACTAGCTTATAACATTATTGAGATTCAATTGGCTCCACTAATGACATGATTACAAAGCCAGACAGGTTTGCGGTAATCAAAGTTATTGCTTATAGTTGGGCTTCTAGCTTTCAGGGTTCATTTTGATTTTTCAGGGGTTGTTTGAAGCAATTTAAGTTTATAAATCAGAGGCAGTGTCGACCTGCTCTCACATACACACAGTTCACCAGCTTCTGTGCACAGAGAGAGAGGCAGAGAGCGATGCATGTGCAGTTGGCACAACAGGACACACTTAGAGAGAGAAACCTCACCTCCCAGTCAAGTAATCATTTTTCAGTATTGGATAAACACTGATTTCANTTTTTTGTATCAAGGGTGTTTGTGTTTTTATTAAAAAATCGATTAAAACTGAATATCAGAAACCCTACTTTATAGCTGACTCAGAGCTAAATAGACACGTTCTCAACCCTGTAAGTCAAAGCCCCAAAGGGGAGGAGAAGTCATGACAATAAAAATTCATTTGCAATACTGAGTTTCTATGCCAGATGTCACTGTTGCAAAGGTTTGGCAAAGTGCAACACTAAACATCAAATGGATTTAACACAGCACTGGACCACTCCAATAGAACAGAACCCAGTGCAGTGGCAATACTCATAATACTGGGTTGCTAAATCTCATTGAGACTACATCCCCAAGGTCAGTCTGTAGAATAGCAGTTCTGTGCGAAGGTCGGATCTGGAATGAACTGCCTGAAAGGCTGGTGGAAGCCGATTCGATAACAACTTTTAAAAGAGCAGATAATTATTTGGGGAGGACAAGTTTGCAGGAGAACGCGGGGAATGGGATTGATTTGGGAAGCTCTTTTCAAAGAACTGGCACAGACAAGATGGGCCGAATGGCCTCCTTCTGTGCTGTATAATTATATGATATTAAGTAGTATTTGGTCATTACATGAATTAGTTTAAATCGAAAGGGGAAGAGAGAAGAGCAAAGAGAGGTGTCCGGGGATATGCAGGGACTGTGAAAATCATTTTGTAAAAAAAAATATTTCTCTTTATTAAGATAGTTAAACTATTATTATGTCAACTCCAACCTGACTGACTGTCATCAGAATCGTCTTCCTCATCATCATCTTCATCATCCTCTTCATTTGACTCATCAGAATCCTTGCTACTTGGGATATCAGAGTCCATACCTCGGAAATAATCAACTAACAATTGGGTGGAATGATGCCCCAGGCCTTTCTCTTGAACAGAATTCTGGGATAATACAGGAGAGGTAGAAAGTCGATTGCTGGAATGATTCTTCAAACTAGAACCTAAATGAACTGATGAAAACGATGTGCTGCTGCTGGAGTTTGGAACTATTTTATCAATATGCTTAGTATGAATTCTTGATTTGGTCATAAGTGCCAAAGGGGCTTCCTGAATGACACTTTGAATCACCCCATTAGATTGATGCTGTGCAACAAGTGCATTTGCTACCAAAGGGCTGAACTGGTTACTCTCAGCTGCGGACAGTTTCTGATGTGCTGGTGAACTTGCAGTAGGTTTAGAACTAGACAAAGATGTCTGGAAGCTCTTGCTGCCCGCTGCTGCCTTCTTCTGAGCTTTGTACTGTTCCTGTTGTCTCTTTAACTGCGCTGGAAATGTCTGCTTAAATAATTCCTGCAAGTACAACAGAATCTGAAATAAGCTACAAGGGTGAAAAAGAGAAAAGTAAAAATGACAGACTTCCAAAATATCATTTACCATCTAAACATGCCTAATTTATATTCCCCGAACCTAGAGGAGTGAAACGTGCAACTAAACTCACCTGCTTCAAACGGAAATCATTGAGTGACCCCAGGTCTTGAGAAACACATTTGTTCCCTGCCTTGAGAAATTCAGGTGTAGCACTAGCTGGCTTTGGAGAAGTCTCTTTCCTTCCCTCATTGATCAAAGGCACAGGTTTCATCCCAACCAATAGTCCTGTCGACTGAATGACACTCTGGTGTTTCTTACCAGTCTCATCATTGGCCTGAGAGCTCTGGAAAACGAGGGAAAGTTGTGACAAAACCTGAGGTTGTTTTTGGGACTGGAATGGATGTGAAGTCTGAGACTCAATGGCAAGTTGTAGATGCTGGTGCATTCTCTTGTCCTGGGACTGTTTATGGTCAGCAACAGTCTGGCTTTTTTTCGGCTCCTTTAGAATGTGTACTAAACCCTGCAAATAAAAGGGATCAATTGGTTCCAGAATTTCTTTAATGGGGAAAAAAATTATTATACATCATATCCATTTTGCTCGAAGACAACATCAACATATATACCTCAATAAATCTTTTTTCTTTGTGGAGGGAGCCAAGATTAATAAGAAAACGAAAATTTAAATAGGGCCTTCTGAAAAGCAATAGAAATGGACTTCGCTGTGAAGCTAACACTCCTATATATGCCTGATCAAAGAAGAAATGGAAAAAAAATCGAATGATCTCAGTTTAGAGAAGCAAAACCGACAAGGATTTTGTGAAATCTAAATTCTACCTTGTTCTTTTTTGCATGTGGGGCTTCAGTTTCAGAATCTGAATCCTCCTCCTCTGTATCTTCCTCCCCAACACTGTGATCTTCATCATCATCATCATCATCATCATCGTCATCGTCGTCATCGTCATCATCGTCAAAGTCATCAGAGTCACTGCTGCTCAGGCCTTCACTGGAGGAGTCTGATGATGTGCCTGATTCACTTTCGCTATTGCTGGAGCTTTCAATTGCCTTCTTTCTGGCCTTCTGTTTAAAAAAAATGATTCCAATCAATTTCAATACATTTTTCAATAAAATACAATGAAGCACAATAAATTTCACTTTAATAATTAGGAGGTGAGACTCTCTCCCTTCCCCATCTACACACCATTCCCAGCACATCCTAGTCCACGCCTTTCAAATATTCCTCAGTGGGAGACAACCGCTAACATTTCCTCATGATAACACAACTTACACCTTCTTATGTGGAGAATTCAGATACAAATACTTATCCTATCATATTGGAATATCAATGAACTTCAAAAGAAACCTCATGGACTCATCAAGGAGAGTTTATGAATTGCTTTGATATATTTTAACATGATGAGGGGCTCAAACATTTTTCCTTTTTCTTACCAGTGGTGCTCAGTGTCAATGTGAAGCACATTATTACAGAACTACATCATACAGTATTCTAGTTGTGAGATAACTACACATTAATGACACATTCTGGCAATGTTGGGATGAGACTTGCCCGACTAGAATCAAAAATCCACAAAATCTGTTCCATGTATAACTTATAGTTATCAGAAAGAACTTTTATCTTTTTGATCTGGACAACATCAAACCAAAGAGTCAGTGACCCATTTTAGCACCAATCCACAACATTCTGTTTTGTATACCGTTCACACAAAAAAGACGTTTAACCATCACTATTTTCTGCTGGTAAGCAGGGAAGCTGCTTGAATAAAAGCACAGCGAAGATCTTTGATAAAAGATTTCAAATTTACATGAGCACAAAGTATCGCACAAAGTTAATGGTATCTCAGTCCAATAACTCTGAATAGAAAAAACAATTAAAATACTAGATAACTTTCCAATTATCAGTGGCTACACATATTTATTATCTGATTAGCAGATTGAATAACAACAACAACAAGATTGCATTTATAGAGCGCCTTTCACGTCGGGAAGTCGTGCCAAGGCGCTGGATAGTTGGGTCGGGACCCGAGCAGGGGGAAATGGTCAGGGTGAGGGGAGGGAAGGGAAGGAGCGAGGAGGGGGTATAGAGTCGAGAGGGGAGGTGAAGGCACGGTTGAAGAGAAAGGTCTTGAGACCGGCCTTGAAGGAGGAAAGGGAGAAAGCAAGGCGAAGGCACTGGTGGATGGAGTTCCAGAGCCTCTGGGCTGAAGGCCCGGCCACCGATGGTAGGGCGGTTAGTGCGGGGGATGTGGAGCAGACCGGAGCCAGAGGAACGGAGGGTACGGACAGGTAAGTAGGGGGATAGTAGGTCGGAGAGGTAGGAGGGAGCAAGGCTTTGAATAGCCTTGTAGGTGAGGATGAGGATCTTGAATTCGATCCTCTGGGGGATGGGAAGCCAGTGGAGGCGAGCGAGGGTGAGAGTGATGTGGTCGCGAAGCCTGGTGCGGGACAGTACACGAGCTGCAGAGTTCTGAATGACCTGCAGTGTGGAGGGAGGGCCGGGAAGGCCGGCGAGGAGAGAGTTCCCATAGTCCAGCCTTGAGGTGATAAAGGCGTGGACCAGAGTTTCAGCAGCGTGAGGGGTGAGGTAGTGCCGTAGTCTGGCGATGTTCCGGAGGTGATGGAAGGCGGTGCCAGTTGTGGCGCGGATATGAGGAAGAAAGGACTGCTCAGGGTCGAGCAGAACACCGAAGTTCCTGATTGGCTTTGAGAGGTGGAGAGTGCAGCCTTGGATGTTTGATGATAAATCATCAAGTTCAGTGCAATATATGCTATTTTCCCTTATAAATTATGGTCTGCACCCAAATAAGAAATCAAATTATGAGTTATACAAGGCAGCAGATTTACCATTACTATTAGTTCAAAGAAAAAACAAATTCAGCCTGGACTGTTAGAATAACACAAAGTATGAATTTTTTTGTCATTTCACCAAAATGGAAACTGGATTTTTTTTAGAAACGTGTCTGAACATTACAGAAGTAGAAAAAAGGTCAAATAACCATTTAAATGACCCTCCACTTCGACTGCACCTTCAGTCACTTTCCTGCCCCTATCCTCCCTGATCCCAACCCCAGCTTGGGTCCAAATCCCTGACTGTCCAGCACCTTGAGATGACTTCTCGATGTGAAAATGTGTAAATGTGCACTGTGTAAATGTAACTTGTTAAATGAACTACCTGAAATATTTTCCAAATAACTTATTAATGCAGCAGATTTCAGGATATAAAATACAAAGTTAGATACCTTTTCTTTTAATTTCTCTGCTGGAGTGTCTGTCAGCTGGTTTTGCTCAAGACTGCATTTGCGTCCTTTTCCGCCAGAACTCGATACTTTTGTCTGTCCTGAAGAAACCATTCCGGCCGTAGTTGATCCAGATGTGCTGACTCCTGACACTGTGGTAATGCTACTTCCATTCAACGCCCCATTCATACCTTCAAAATAAACACAACAATTATGAGTATTCATAATTGATAATCATAGCACCATTTCCTTACCAGTGGGCTGAGCAAATAATGCCAGGGTAGCCCATGATCCTTGATCATCCTATTAATAATAATATTTTTTGCATTTGATATAGCACCTTACCACATCTTCGAGACATCTCAAAGCTCTTCAGGGGATATTCTGTAATATATAGTGACTGTGTATTTTACAGTCAATTCAGTCCACTGTATATTCTGTGAAGCGCTTTGAGACAACAACAAGAAGATTCCATTTATAGTGCGCCTTTCACGTTGGAAGGACGTGATAAGGCGCTATATCAAATGCAGCGATTATTATTATTATTATATTTTGTGGGCGAAAGACGGCTGCCAGTTGTGCACAGCAGTGTCCCACAAACAGCCATGGATTATAATCACTCCTTTACTCAGCACTACGTCCTGGTAACACACCTTCTAAATAATCACTGTATTGTTTACACTGAAAACTAAGATTTTGTTTGACAGCATATCAATCAAACAAGATTTCTTTCTCCAAGTTACACTTATATTCTCAATATTAATTAATTTTCAAGATGAAATTAAAATGGGTGTAAGACTTAGAAGCTAATGATCTGAGCTTTCTCCAGTGCGAAGTATAGGGTGACCAAAAAGATCACGATATCATTTATTTTAATAATAATTATGAATAATTTCTTTAAAACTTATTAGACATTGTAATGTTATCATGACTTTTTGGTCACCCTGTAGAAACGAATCAGTAAAATGGCTCACTTATTCTACAATTGATATCAGAATTAGGGTATTATTGTGCAGATAGTTCACAATATAAACTGACTGTCTTTCAATAGATAAATGTTGATGAGTTGGGGGTAAATTACAAGTATTATGTCACACCACTGATCTGCTGGTGCATTAGTTGGGAGTTTTTTTTAACACGTTTATGAGAAACAAAATTCCATGAAACTCAATTTTAATCTTCTTGGGAGAACTCAAAACACTAACATGAGAATATGAAGGAGCTAGTAAATACTCTGGGATACTGCCCTGCGTGAGGGGCACAAAATAAATGCAAGTTGTTGTTGTTAATAAGTACACTCAAAACACTTGCTGAGAAGGTTTAAATGAGACACTGGAGGGAGCTGGTTCCTCACTTGGAAGAAAAACATTGCTAGCTCAATGCTAACTCTAACCATTTTAAAATAGATCAATACATATCAAATAAAAAATTCTAGTTCTTATGGTGGGCATTAAGTTGGCATCCTGCAGAAACACATGTCTGTTACTCATGATTCCAGATTGTCAAGAATGTTAAAAACTATTTATAGAAGATTAGAATATTGTTCATCAAAAGCTGATAAATAAACTCAGTGGGCAATGGTCAGGTTTCAGTAAATAAATGCAGTCCCTCAAAATGACAGGAGCCACTGATACAGAGAACAATCAATAAACTAAATAGAATCTTGAATTTGTCATATCCCAAACCTAAGCTTGGGTACTTCTTACAGTGTTGAGGTTAGTAGCTCCTTGCAACATTCAGACAGTCCAGAAATACTATAGGCTAACATTTGTTTGCATTTATAATTAAATATTACTCACCTTTTTGCGTCCCCTGACCAAATTTGTGTGTGTTTCGGGAATGAAATGAATTGGAATCATGATTTTGTGTTGAAGAAGCAAACAGCGGTGGAATTCTCAGCATGCCTGATGGAAAGAAAGTGGTTCCTGTGCGAGCGTGTGTCTCTGTAGCTCGCCACCATTCTGTACCTGCCAAAGCAAAAATAGCATCTTCACGCATTTCTTATACTGGGTAAGTTTAATATTTTCAAGAAACTTATGGTTGAATTAACATTTGGTGCTGTAATGTACATTAGATTTTAAATTATTTTTAAAATTGCTCTCTGATTTAGAGCTTTCATTCTTTTTGCAAATAAAATTGCCCTTCCATTCTAATAGGGCAAGACAAAGGATGAGAAGATTTCCTTTAAGAAATTTGAATCCTGCATTACGCAAACTCCCTTAGACTGCAAGTAAAGGACTGCAGACAGTTCTGATCAGTGAGATACAAGGAGCCCTAGAGGCAGACCAGAAGAGAACAAGTCTGATCCCCAGTGTTAGAGCAATGAGCAACTATTAGTTTTAATTTAAATATTATTTAATTTAAATAATTTGTTTTAAGTGTTAAGAATTTTTATAAAAAACCTACAATAATGTTTATTCGGCATATGTCTAGTATAACGAGGAATTTAACATAACCCCAATCATACTGTGCAAACAATATTGTTGAAATAAATCAGTAAAGAGAAGTCTATAAAAAAGTTGTTCGGTAATAGGGTTTCAAACAAAGTTTGCACTTTGAGACACCCTCCCAATATGAAAGGTGCTATATAAATGTAAATTACATTGTAAATTGTATTGACATTCAAAATAACTTCGCAGGAATGCCTTAATACAAATCTGTTTGTATCAAACAACCCACCCTCCAAATTACGTATAAGTGGCAACAAATAGCTAATTCAGTTTTTAAAGTTTAATTAAAATATTAAGCAAATTTTGCATCGCTGCAGGCAGCAATTTTTTATTCTGATGAATTGGTTAATATTCTATTTCTATGCATAAAAAACATATTTAGAAACTTTACAAACCTGGAAAAGCTGGTATTTGCGAGTGTCCCACTAAGGCTGTAGAAGCACCAATCGTCCCCAGGCCACCAAACTCTGAACGCCCTGAGTTTGTCGTGTGCAGACCAAAGGCTGGGTGGCTGAGCATTGGGAAGGCACTCGATGCTGCAGACAAATTAAATGGCTGATCTCCAGCTGCTGCTCTAAACATTTGCCCTGAAAATGACCAAAAAGGCATATGCTGTACTTCACCATTTATTTGAAAAAATATTAAAGGAGGGGGAGGGTAAGGAGGAGGTAGAAAAAGGAATGTGGAAAGAATGTTAATGAACGCATACAACGATTTCAATTGTTAACCATGTTAAAATGCTTCTACTTTCATTTTGCAAATTGCTATCAATTTTATTCAAACGCTTTTTCCTTAATAGAGTTAACCAAAGACCTGCAGCCAAGCAGATTCAACTACACACAGGGCCCCGGTACAATACACCAAACATTACCTCACCCTTGATTTTGAAATTCCACCAAACAACAAGAGATGAATGATTGAAAGCAATACCCAAAAGGATAGCATCCATTTCTATAGCGCTGGTGTTCACGTAACGAGGAAAGACATTTATTAATATTAATAGATTTGAAACTGCGGCACAATTTGAATTTAAAGAGAAACAAGCAGGGATACAATGTTACGTCAGAATAAAAACATTACAGTAATTCCTTTGGCATAAATAAAAGCAAAATCTAAAAAGGTGTAATTTAATTTTTTAACTATAAATAAAAGTTCATCCTCTACAGAAAGCATTACAAAATAGAATAACTAGAATTGACAAATTGCAAGCCAATAACATTTGCATTGACAAATTGTGTGAAATACTGGCAGCAAAACCTTCACAGTTGTATATGTTATAAGGACTTTGGAAGTTTCTAATAAGAAGTTACCTAACACTCAAAATGTAGTTTAATACATTGTATTCACTGAATACCAGAAACTAGTTCATAGCATACAAGTTGAAATTCTAAGAGTTCTTTCAATTACCAGCATAAAGGAACTAAGTTTCAAAGGATAAATAGTGGAAAAATATCCCCCTCCATTAGTAAATCATCAACAAGAAGGCATAAACTGAGATATATTGCTAGAAGAGTTAACAAAAAGAGTTAAAGGAGAAGGTTAGGAGGGAAATGGAGTGAGTTTGCCACAAATGAAAATTGAAGCTGATACCGTAACAATATGTAAAGAAAATTTGATAAACATTTGAAGCATAATATTAAAGGATAGGGAGAGAGAACAGACAATTGGTATTAGATCAGTTAGCTCCAGATCAGGATTAAAGTCAGCTCAATAAAACTAAATGTTAATTGATTTTTTTTCTGTTAATTGATGTTCAAATACATATTTACACACAATCAACAGGTTATTTCATACATTCACAGAATTTTATCACAGAATGAAAAGTTTCATTCAGTCTGTTATGTCTATACCAGCTCCTAAAAGAGCTATCCAAACAGTCAATTTTCCTGCAGTTATCCCTCAATATTTCTGTTTGATTCAAATAAATATCCTCCTCCCACACCCTGTCCTCCACACAATGCTAACCACTCCCTCCCCCCAGCACCAATCTGCCCTCCCAGCCCCCACACAGGATCACCCTTCCTCTGCCCAACATACAATGCAAATCTTTCTCTCTACTCCCACAGCTTGTAAATCTTTGCTCAATAACACTCGAGCTCTGTTCGTCACCATTGCTTCTTTTGTTATTATTACTGGAGTGTAAGCAGCTATAACTGTCCAAATTCCCGTTTTAGATAATTGTGACACAGGATTGGACCACAAAATGTTGCTATACATAGAGGACATATTTGTTTGTGACCCTGCAGTCACTCGCCAATTGGGTTTAAGGCTTGTCACAGAATAAGGCCATCATTGGGGATATAAGGTCAACTTGGGATGTCACCACCTCAAGAGCTTTGCGATTCCTACCCTTTAAATGGATGACAAGTTTAATTCCTTAACACACAACCTTCTTTGTATTCATTCCTACATCACTTACCCCCTCTTATGGTTCAATCCAAAGAGAATGTTAAATCTGATTGATGAATTGTGTGTGAATCTCGCTGAAAATACGGCAACAGGAAGCACAGTGTTTCAAGAGAGCAACTTTGACAGGAACTAAGAGGCTCAAAAGACAGATGCACGTGTTTGTAAAGAATAAGGCTTATCTCCCAAGAAAGAAAACAGAATCTATTCAGGTTTTGTTTCTCAAAACCTTTCATAAATACGTTAATTAGTAGGAGAATTCCTAGGACCAGTCATTGTGGAGGTGTGTCTAGATGTAAACGACGATAGAAGTACATTTAAGGATAAGGTTAACAAGATACTGAGTGTATTTCAAGACCAAAAGGAACAAGATGGGAGAAGGAGCTAATCTTAAGTGTGAATCATTGAACAAATGTTTGTATTTTAATATTGAAAACTATATGTAGTCCTGTAGCTCAGTGTTTAAAGTACACGCTTTGAAAAAGCGAGAGACCTGGGTTCGATTCCCGGCAGGGTGAAACCTTGGGTAAGTTTCCTTACTCCACACCCCTAATAATAATCCTTCAAAAATAAACAATAATAAATTGGTCACTCAATCCACGACTGTTTATGGGATACTGCTGCGCGCAATTGGCTGCCACATTTCGCCCACAAAATATGCAGTCAATTCACTTTACAGTCTATTCTGTGAAGCGCTTTGAGACGTCTAGAAGACGTGAAAAGCGCTATATGAAATCCATGGATTATTATTATTAGTGGAATGTTTGCAAGATGCCAGTTGGTGTGAAAAGGCATTATAACTCAATGAAAATATTCAAAGGTTGGGTCAAGCCTGTCTTTTTTGCATTCATGTTCTGTTGTCAGATAGTCAAATATATTAATCTACTCAGTGCATTGGTGATAAGACATGCTTACCCAACTAAACCAGGAAACAGTCACCATCTCAGCTACATTGTTCAGTGACTAGTAATGAATGTGTTGCTAAACATTCTAGAAGTAAAATATTGTACTTACCACAGGTTGACAGTGTGGAGCCAAACCCTGTGGAAAGGCTGCCCTTAGAAGCACCTGATGCTGTCGATGTAGAAGATGCTGAAGATGTAGAAGAAGGGGCTGAGGAAGCAGATGTCAATCGTTCCCCAGACTCCATATCTGGAAAAAGAATCATCATTATTCTAAATTAAACCACTGAAATTACTAAATATATATAAACAATAGCTAAAGTTCCACACTTTCTTTAATACAGACTGCACCATAATACATACTGCACCATAATACATACTATAAAAACACACATTTGATCAAATCACACCAATACGGAGAGGACATATACATTAGCAGTTTGATTATCTGCTCTATCAGTAGCCACAAGCCAACACATACAAATCCAAAAGTTGCAAAAGCTCCAAGGCAAAGGGACTCCGTCCAGGATGGAGTTCCCGAGAGTGGGGGCCTGACCTAATCTGAAACATCTGACAAATGAGGATAAAACTGACAGCCCATAGATTTATCGTCTATTCATCCTACTGTCAAATTGTTAGGCAATTTTATGAAGCGGTTTAAGCCAACAAATGCCAGGAGGAAAGTTTTACTTTTAGAGCAAACTCACCAATCCTCCCCTTTCATACAGCCTACGTAATTGTCCATGTAGCACTACAAACCAGTCATACTTAAGTTTGTTCAAACCAGTGGAGACAATGTTTAAATGAGTCTAACCAGAAGGGCAAGAGTGAAAAAAACACCTACACCCACAAATATAGTAAAGCAATCAGTGCTAACACCTAAGGAACTGTAACTCAGCCTTATATTTTCTCCCCCCAAAAGATAAACACCATCACTTGCAGAGTTGACTACCAACTAAGTCATTTATGAATTGCCAATTTGATTTTTTCATTGTATTATAACATTTGGAAAATTTTATGTAAATAGCCTAAACAGAATCAACTGCAACATGGAACTCCCTGCACTCTTAAAAGAGACAGCCAACCAAAATAAAACACATCCCCTTGGAATTTGTTGGCTTAACCTTGAAATAATTACTGACGAGTCAGTATCCCTCCAGGATACAATCAGCTTCTTGAGACAATTTTCAATTGGAAAGCCAATTTTATTTCAAAGTGCACCCCACTCCCAAAATGGGCTGTGGGTCTCCAACTAAAGGAAAACAAACATTTAAAAATATTTAATATCTAAAACATATTTCATTTGTTGAAATAATGCAACAATACAGTAATGAGGAAAATTTGCAAAAAGCATATTTCCTCCTCTCCGAGACTCGGAGTCCTTCTATGTGAGGGTAAGTTATTGTGGAGCGGTTACATCTAGTTTTAAATACATTTTAGTGCAATTTGTGGCATATTCCGTAAATATGATCTGCTCAAATTCTCCAAATAGAGGTCAGATTCCTAGGGCTCCGTGTTTATGGATCTGCTTCTGTTGTCAGTCCGCATATTAATAATGTCGGGGCATGCATGCATTAAATTCGTCTGGCTTGTGAATATTAATAAGCAGTGTGTGCACAACAGCCAGTGAGGGGACTTCAGTGATACAGATACGGTCCACACACATACACTACACTCAATACACGCCACACCCACACAATACACAACACACACACAAACACAATACACAGTAAAAATAGTTTTTAAAAAGGGTAAATCTGTGGACACCTGGGACTGTGAGACTAAAGCAAAAAAATTGAAAGTGAAATGTCCTAATTTACAAAAAAATGGAAAATAGAGGATAAAGGAAACAAAAAACATGGCAGGCATAAGCTTATCATCTTAGTTATTATTATTGTGTGGTGTTAATATTACAATGATAGAGTTAGTAAACTTAACCTATCAGGTTATATTAGAGTTTGTTTCAGTTCCATTGCAAGACATAACAAGCTTAAAATAATTTACAACCTTGTGAGCCTGGAATTCTTTGGACCCAGCAGACCTTGAAGAGTTCAGCAAAGTGAACCCAGAATCTGAACACTTGTGTATATGGTACAGAGAATCTGGGTGTACAATCCATTTGGTAATTCCTTATTACTGCAGTTTATTCTTTGAATTGTCTACCAAAAAGCCTGTAATCAACACTTGGGCATTACTGAGGTAAATGCAAGCTCTTGGCTTCCAACAGAGACTCTGACCTGCTGACTCCCTACCAACCTGCCCGCTCTCTCCGCTCATCAGGCTCCGGCCGGCTCCATGTCTCCCACCCGACCAGTCCTACCATCGGTGGCCGGACTTTCAGCCTCTCTGCCCTCACACTCTGGAACTCCATCCCACGGTCCCTTCCCCTCGCTTCCTCCCTCGCCTCCTTCAAGGCCGGTCTCAAGACCCTTCTCTTCGACTGTGCCTTCGGTCTCCCTCCCACCTCTCTGCCTTCCCTCACCTCTACAGCACCCCTCCCCCATGCTCGGGCCCCGACACCTGACTGTTCAACGCTTTGGGACATCCTCCTGCCGTGAAAGGCGCTCTACAAATGTAATTTTGTTGTTGTTGTTGTTGAAGGGTCTGAGCACAAGTGAAACCAACTGCATAGTCAATTTTAAAGCAAAAGTTCAAAGGTTAGAAACCTTAGAAAGAGTTAAGGTTTATCTAAGTTCTAACCTTGCTCCTCACAGCCCTCTGCCCCTCCTGATCCCAAACCCCAGCTCAACTTCAAATCCTTGACTGTCCAGCGCCTTGGGACGTCCTCCCAACATGAAAGACGCTATACAAATGTAATTTGTTGTTGTGTTGATGATGGATTTTACAGTACAGTATTTAGAAAAATGGCCTAAAAGGCCATCAATCTATTTGAACACAATTGCTCACAAAATGACGCGAAATACTGTACTAGACTTCAACTGATTTTAAGAGGCAAACACAGTATTTTATTTATTTTTAGGTATCTTCCTATAGGATAACAGATACAGTAATAAAAAACACATCACATCACTTAAGAGGTGACTGATCATCACCTAGCACCCATTAACATTTAAAACCGCTATACAGTATTCACACAATTTTATATTGGTGAAACAAAACGTGAAATGCACTTATATTTAGTTCACCAATTTAAAATAGCAGTGAAAACTACATCTGTTAGTCATTAGTTTACAGGATTTTATGTAGAGATATACATTTCTTGTTTATATACAATTTCAGAATGGAAGCACTTGGGTGTGTATTACAATAAGGAATGTGAGTAATATGTATATAGATATATATGTATATAGAGAGAGAGAGATAGAGAGATTATTTTTGATTTGTATTACGTTTGTTCAAAGATATTCTAAAATGTTGGTTGTGGTGAAACTTGCTGTCACTGGTGTTTAACCACATAACCGATTCCTCTCTTAGACTAAGGTCAAACCTAACCCCAACCTGATAGGATGAAAATGCTCCTCTTTCTTGTTTCAATCGTACGTTTGGACAATCTCAACCCACTTCTAAAGGCTGCAGGCCTACAGCAAACAAAACCCTCTTAATATGGCACTAACCTGACAATGTTTCACTTTCTCTTCTACTAAAAGTATATTGACTGCCTGGCAAAGCTCACTGCTTATAGTTCACATTTTAGTTGCTGATACGGTGACAATACGGTGCAAAACAAAAATGCCAAGATTCCATAAATCCAAATGCTCATTGGTTCTAATAAACTACTCAGCAGCCAAACGAAGACCTTCCAGGTTAGAATAACCATTAGACACAAAATCCAGCACCTTCTCTCTTTGCAAATCAGGAGGGAACTAATCAGCTATCCATTGAACATTCAGGAAGTCACAACTTGTACTCTTAAAAAACAATACCTTCACAGGTTTTTTAAAAAAGCACTGAAGTAATAAAACATTTAGCATTATATAATGTATATAATGCTGTGTTTTGCAATGCAGGGCCACAACATATGACACAAGATTTGTAGAATCCAGACTAATAGTTTCAAAATGATTTGTTTCATACACGGGTTCTGCTGAAAACCAAACCCACAGATGTCAGTTGAAACATAATATACTGGAGCATATTGTAGTCTGATCGCTGACTAAACTAAATTCTGCCTCGCTGCTAATGAGAGCCTCTCTCAATTATTCATAGAGCTACTAATATTAGACCTTATTTTTAAAAAAAGAAAACAATTTCAGAGATTTAGTTTATTTAAATGTCCAGTTACTATAATGTTACGCCAATCAAGTATAATTTTTAAAAATTTACAGAAAGACGACCAACGATTCTTGCCCAATTGCTTGTTGTACAGGACGGTAACAGATGGCTGATGCTACCAGATAATCCCTGCAACAGAGTGATCAGCATGGATCAGCAGTAATCAGGCTGCGGACACAATGTCTCTCCCCTAATGGAAGGTGCAGGCGCGAGAAACTATATTTCACAAGATGCCTCGACCATAATTTCAGTCAGGGCTGTCTCCGCTGCAGTGCATTTTACCTCCCAACTGCTGATGTGTTCTTATGCAGCAGGTTTGGTGNTTTTTTTACCAGAAGAAATGTTAAAAGGGACAAATTGTTGTGAAACAAGATCCAATTTTCAATCACAGACTGTAAACAGAACAGCAAGCAGCCAGGCTAATCAGACAACACTATATATTTCTCTTGTTCATCTTCCCTTGGGACCACCATCCCAGGCAGCTTCAGCCTGTGCTACAGTAATCTTTGGTTGTTCAGTGGAACTCACTGTCAGAAATGCTGAAAATCAGCCGCTCTAAACTTCTGCAACTCCTTTTGGTCAAGAACCAAATCCAAAAAGGACAAAAAGCTCCAGCCTGACAAACGTTCTGATTTTCTATTGTAAGGTAGCAATACTGACCAGGTCAATCAGTAGTTTCAATTCAATGCAAAGTCATTCTCACCTTTTTTTGGACAATTACTGTTTAAACGACACATTACTGCAAATAATTCAGTAGATGCTCAACACAACTCAAAATATATAATCCCACAATATGCAAAGAAAACCCATCTGAAATGAGCTACAGCTGATGTTGTTTACCTGAAAACCAAGTTGTTAATGAAAGCAATGATAATGTTTTAAATACAGTTGCAGTGGTTACTACACTTGTAAACACATACAGTACTTACATTTAATACATTGAAACAAAATCCAGCTTCCGCATGAAAATATGACCTTTTCCTTCAAATGAGGTTCCTCCTTCTGATACGGAAAATG